TCCTGACAGTTACACTTTGCAGACCCGTAGATGTAGATTACATAATAAAGCCAGGACGATGAGGTCATCATTAGATCACGTGATTTATTATCTAATCAACTACCAGGAGCTTGTGGGGTAACTAGAAGAGACGACAGCGTCGGAAAAGCACGAATTCGGGAGCAATAACGAACAAACGAGAAGTCATCCTGAACAATATCTCGAACGGCTGATTTTGCGGACACGAGGCAGAAGAGATCTTCCAGGGGCTGTCTACGATTCGTAGGAAGACGCGAGATCTCGGTACCTTTTCAGTGGCGTTTCAATTCTCCTAATAGCACTATTTCGGCGTGCCTGGAAGTGGCCTCCTGGACTCTGCTATAGCTTACTCCAAGCTGCTTTTTGTGTGCGTGGAGCTTCATATGATTCCAGACTGAAGCCTGGGGTTGAAATCTCTCCTTTGCCCCTATAGAGTGTGACAGAAGCCATTTAGACAAGCTCTTTATATCCGAACAAGTGTTAATTCAGCATCAGCACCGCGATTTTCAGCCCCTTGCCACCCACATATTTGCACCTTCTATCCGGATGGGAAGGCTATTCGGGACGACCGTGACGATTCTAAACTCCGAATAAGTTGTGTGCACCAGCTTTAGGGAGCACAAAGCCCGGATAATGTTTGGCATACATCTTAGTACGAATTGAACGTCTGAAAGAGGCATCTGACGATTTGACGATGAAATCATCACTTCATAAACGTATCCTTCTCCGAGAGCAGGGTGATAGTACACTGTACTCCAGCATTCGTGGGTTTTACGGCGATAAGGCATGGATCGATGATCTGGATATAGTCAATGAACTAGGAGGCCATAATGGTTGCGTCAACGCCTTATCGTACGTTTGTGCAGTTTCAATTTATCTAAATAGGCCACAGTTGACGGAATTGCTAACGAAATATATCTAACAATAGATGGTCGAACTCTGGGAAACTTCTTGCTTCAGGCTCTGATGACAAGCATCTAAACATCTTCTCCTATCAACCTGAATCGACGGAAGCATCATTCTTCCTCAACACAACAATTGTTACTGGCCATTCAGCAAACATATTCTCCGTGAAGTTCATGCCACATTCGAACGATGGGACCCTGGTATCCTGCGCCGGTGATTCCGAAGTCCGTGTTTTTGATATCGAGCATCAAGGAAGATCTGCAGCTACAGAGACTTCTGCTATTACCTCGGCTCGAAGACGAAGGATTAGTAATTTCTTCAGTGGAATGCGTTATTTGACAGAGAATAACACGAACTCCCGGGTATATCGGTCACACGCAGATCGAGTCAAACGAATTGTCACCGAGAATTCTCCTCATCATTTCCTCACTTGCTCCGAGGACGGGGAAGTTAGACAGTGGGATCTACGGCAGCCGTCGTCTGCATATCCATCTCCCCGTGGTGGCCAGGGCTTCATGGCTTTTAGGCCAGGCTTGAGACATGACGACTCCAACGTTCCGCCGCCATTGATATCTTACAAGCGGTACAACCTCGACTTGAATACCATATCCTGCTCTTCCAGCCAGCCACACTACATCGCGCTTGGAGGTGCCCATCTCCACTGCTTTCTACACGATAGACGGATGCTAGGCCGTGATTTACAAGCCGAGCGTGGTCAGCCTGGAAGCCACGATCCTCCAAAATCTCGGCATGACAACGAGGCCATGGGAAAGGCTACACGTTGCGTAAAGAGGTTTGCTCCGCGCGGCCAGAAAAAGATGAAAAGGAGAGATAACGGGCATATTACAGCTTGCAAAATTAGCAATGCAAACCCAAATGAGATGATTGTCAGCTGGTCTGGAGAACATATTTACAGCTTCGACTTAGTCCGCAACGACGATGCATTGGACCATAAGGACAATGACAACAGGGAATGTTTGGATGGCACAAGTACTGGAAGAGCTAAGAAATCCAAAAATAGGAAAAGGAAGCGAGGAAAAGCCCGATCCGTCAGCTCTGCTAGCAGTGGATCCCGTCACCAATCCCGGCTTCGTCCTGAGAGTAACGAATCAGAAGACCTAGCTTTTAGAGTTCGTTACCGCAATGGCGAGCTCGAAGATATTCCTTTCGACTCACTTCCAGGGACAAGCCTGGCTGACACCCCACAGGAGGTCCTTGAGAGGGCACGTGAATCTGTTCTCAACGAGGCCCAGAAGTTGAGTCTTCGAATAGCCAAGGGGCTGGTTGAAGTTCGAAAATTGCTTTTTTCGGTCGATGCTTCCACTCGTGAGGCTGTCGAGGAACAGTCGATGGCTGATCCCACCCCATATACTTCGTCATTTACTGCCGTCCTTGGCCTTGCAGCGACATATTTGCCTGAAATGGATGACGTTATAAGGAATTGGGGATACCCTCTAAATCCTACACATGGAGATGTTGTTTTTCAACAGGCTCTGCGCAGTAACAGGGAGTCATCTCGTCGGTTTATTCAAGCCTCCGGCACCTTAGCCAGGGCTCTTGGTGGTAGAATACAAACAGCATCGGGTGGTGAGAGCCCACAGCTTCAATTTTTCCGCCAGATTGAACCAGCTCCTACCGAAAACGGAATCATTGACAATAGCAGTCAATTTGGGTACGATTTCTTGAAGGCAATCGTACTCTGGCTTGAAGGAGGGAGACCAGCCCTACTAGAAGGATTTAAAGAGAGGCCTTCTGAACGTCGCAATGCTGCTAGATTCCCCATTCCGCAATCTGCAACAGACGAGGCTATCGATACCATTCTGATACCATACTTGAAGGGATTGGCTGGGAACAATCCTATTGTGAACGTTGATACCTCGAGATTCGAGCTTGATGAATCTCGCGTGATATTTTCCTCTCAATCACATGCAGTGAATGCTTTTGCCCAGGCAATTAGACTGCCTTTAGAAGACCTTTCTGGTGCAGCCATGTCATCAATTGACGGGGAAGAAATATCAAGGGATAATTCTAATCTATCTGCCCTAGACCGCCGTGCTGCCACTCGATTCTGGGGTTTAAAGGTAGGGAGGGGCATTTTGATGGACGTTGGTGAGGGTGTTAACTTTGAATTTGTCAATCGTGCCTTCGGAGGCCTTCGAGCTACGCTTGAAGAGGATGATGATGATGAAGATGACGAAAGAGAAAGACTACAGGAGGACATCGATCCCAACGAGGAAGAAGAAGAAATATCCGAACTTCGCGTTCTGCATAGACACTCACGCCACAATCGGCACTCACATCGAGAACCCATCTCCAGGGATGATGTCGAGGACCATGATATTCAAAGCTCATCTGAAGAGGATGATGAAGAAGAGAGTGAAGATTCAGAGAGTGAGAGTGATAGCAGCGACTACGACTCTGAGAACGAAAGGTTAAGGGAAGATGATGATGAAGATGAATTTGGAATATCCACCCAACTATCTTCAACGTGTCGTAACTCGGTAGAGTCACATGTTCCCTGTTCTTCTCACCTCAACGTTTACCAAGGCCATTGCAATGTGAAGACTGTTAAGGACGTGAACTATTTCGGTTTGGACGATGAATATGTTGTGAGTGGAAGCGATGACGGAAACGTTTTCATATGGGATCGAAAGACATCGGATCTACTCAACATTCTCAATGGGGATAGTGATGTAGTCAATGTGGTCCAAGGTACGAGAGAATAATTGCCGCAGGAAGTAAGGCTTTGGGATCGCTGCAAATAATAACTAAAAATACATTTAGGTCATCCATACGAACCCCTTCTCGCTGTGTCGGGAATTGACCAGACGATTAAAATATTTTCGCCCGATAATCGAGCACAAGACGATGCTAGCAATGGCATCAACATTGCCGACCCTGATGCCCAATCCGATCTAACTGTTGGTGTCGAGAGTGCGTTAGACCAGACAAATATGAGAAGCCCCGGACTTGCAAGTAGAAAACGCTTGCATGACAGCTACCAGATTCTAAGCCGGAATGATGTGGACCGCCAAGGGGGGATGAATGAGGCCTTTCTTACGGTACGTTTATTGCAACCCTTGACTATCCTTCGAAGAGGACTATCATTCGCCGAGTGGGCGGCGTTGTTCTAAAACAAAGGCCTATCTTACCACTTGACGCTACCACCCCACATGTGCTCGTACTTTGCACGTTGATCTTGAAAGTAGCTCCGATACTCATGACGAATTTTCATAAAATTTAGAGAAGCATGCTCGCCCGTGTAGCGGCAACGCTTAGGGACAGACATAATGTTAGGCTTGGATTTGCCGGCGCTCACACTGGGGGAGACGAGCATCAGATTGTGCTAGATGAGAACTGTTCTGTAAGTCAACCTTACCTAGATGGCGTCGCATTCACAGTTACTAATTGCTTGTGTTCATATAAATAGGTTATGTGATTAGCCACTCAAATGTCTCCCCAGGCAGCTACCAATTGTCCTTAGCAATTCGAAATATATTTTTTCTCTGACCTTTTTCTATACCCGTCCTCACTGCCTTTTCCGATGTTATGGAAATGTGCATCAAACCGGCATCGGGTATACTTTACTTCTGCCGTTTGCATGCACTGGAGCTAGTTGCATAACTGTTCAATAATATTATTAGGAATCATTTGATAACTTGCAGCCAGCCATCTAGGCCAATAACCACCTAAGGCACTTATTAAGGAGCTGGCTTTCTTATGTCAATGCTTACCATGGGCTATCTCTTATCCACAGAGCTTAAGATGTCTAAAGCAGCGCAGGTGATGAAAATGAGCTCTAACAATCGCATGGGTCAACTCACCCCTTACGATCCCCAGAAGGGCCAGGTCAATCACGTGACTGGTGAATTTTTCCGTGGTGGCCACCGTAAGGTGATATGCAAGCCTCCTACTACAGACTCCGTCGGTTCGCCCATATGTCGTGTCATCTTCTAGCTGCAAGCTGTTGATGCGTATTTCTGTGCCTCCCAAAACTACCCATGATATTCTTTTTTTTCTTTTTCGATATTTATCCCTTACCCCACCAGGAAACCTGTTCCAAGGAATAGTATAGCATGTCTCTACGGAAAAATGAGACATGTGAGCCAGATTTATTGAAAAGGCGCCGAGAATGCTCTTTGATGATTCGCATTGATCCCTATAATCCGATTCGACATTTTCAACGCGGCTTAACATACCAGGCGCTTGGCTTTCCCGACTTAGCTGCTGCTGATGCCTACCGCGCCCTTACCTTACTCGATTCCGTAATTGACCCCGATACAAGCGAATATCCGGCTCGAAAACGAGTTGATTTGGAATCTTTTTCAGACTTGAGCTCGCTTGAGGTTTTGGATGGGAGTGGAGGTAATACTCAGGAGTACGGAAACCGCCACGATGTTGAGAGCCCCGCGTTCGAACCCCTTTCAGATAAGGAATATGCCGAGCATATCTTTGAAGTTTACGAATTATTGGTGAAATCTCTTGCCCAATGCGGGTGTTTGAGGGATGCCTATGACATGTGTGTGCAGGCTATGAATTTACCTACAGATGGGGTTAAAGGGAAAATGCGAAACACAGAGCTACCGTTGTTACTCAACAACATCAAAGAAGCCGCCATTTCTACTAACGTGAATTCAACCGGCTTTGATCCTATGACTCTTCCTGCTCAAGGTCACGCTCGGCGATCATTATACCCATGGAACACTCACGAACCGGATCGAAACAAACCAGAGATTGTAAAATATCTGAATGAACGGCTGGCCCAGGTAGCACCCAAATGCGAGGTTCGTACAACAACTTTACCATCTTTGCACGAGAGTGTTGTGAATGGAAATTTACGCGAAGACATCACTTTTGAAGGCGGTAACGTTTCTATCCAACTTGGCTTATTTGCGAAAGAAGACATTGCTCCCGGCGAGATACTATTGCATGAATCATCAATGTTAACAGCAACAAATCGACTGCATGATGATATATGCGATGCTTGTAATGGTCCCTTACCAGAACTCTCATCCTCTGAACCACCTGTTGCTTGCGAAGATTGCCATGATACTATATTCTGCAGTCAAACGTGCCATGATCTAGCCCAGGAACTCTACCACGCTGCAATGTGTGGGCAAGATGGGCTAGAGTCTATAGGCAAAGATGTCCCGGATCCAAAAGATAAAGCTGATTATCTGTACCTTTTACTGCTCGAGCGTTCCATTGCAATGGCAGCCACTCAAGATATCCACCCTCTTGACCTCCCAGAAGTCAAATACATATGGGGTGATTTCTCCTCTTTGGATGGCAAAGGAGATGATATTTTTGATACAACTTTCACTAAAAGACCAGCATCCGCTACATTGCCGTTTTCTTTTCAGCTTAATATCGTCCAGCCTATGCGTATTCTGGATGAGATGGGGATTGATCCCTTCAAATCATTAGATCGGTATGATACCTGGGTCTTGAATACCCTGTATGCTAAATTTCGCGGGACTGCATCTGGTCGTCTATCTACATGGGATGGCGGTCCTGAAGTTTGTGCTGTACATCCTCTGTGGTGTCTAGCAAATCATAGCTGCGATCCAAATGTGCGATGGGAATGGGGTGGCGAGATCACTTTTACTGCTAGAACCGATGAGGGGAGGGTCAAATGGGGTCCAGAATCCAGGTCTAGCAAGGGAGGTATCTCGAAAGGCGAAGAAATTCTAAATCACTATTGCGATATTAGCCTTCCCGTTAAGAAAAGACGTGAATGGGCCATGGGTGCGTTGGGAGGGGCTTGTCTATGTGAACGCTGTATCTGGGAAGCTGCACAAACTTAGGCACATGCATCTAGATTAGACTAAATTACCAACAGTCATCTATTTGAGCTTGTTGTTTGCACCGAGATACTGTGACCTGGCCTTCATACGTTTTATAATTTATGACCCCCACTAGCCGCATCGATGTTGTTTAGAGGAAACCAAGGCTACAAACTGCTTTAAGAATTCCAACAGAGCAAACTAGATTTCTATTTCTAAGGTTTGGCTATCTAATTTCATTGTGCCCTGTTTTATAACTCCTCCATTGCTTCTGTATCCTCACAGTCCCTTATGTTTTCTTGGTGCCATTCTAGTTGTGGGCAACGTTCACGTTGATATGGCCGCCGTCAGAAAAGGAGATGATGTCACCGTTTCCAACACACTCAGTGTATCCGTGGTTGTAGCAGCAGTCAATGATTTCTTGGATTTTGTTCGCGACAGTAGTAGCATCGGTATAGCTGTTTACCGAGGGATGATCACCGGTACGACGTAGTGTCAGTTTGGCGCTTCCATAGGTTGCAAATGTAGAGCCGCTTCTTCCAGAGACATGGTATTGCCCGCCGTACGCCTGAACAGCACCCTTAAGCCCAACGATATGGTCTCCCTTGGTGCCTTTCTGGTAAACACAGCTAACGTTACTGGCAAAGGCGGTGGAGGCGTAGACCGTACTTATGATGGTCGCGGCGGTGAATTTCATTTTGTCGGTTGTTAGTTTCGGGAGTACTATGCGATGGTTAGGATATGTGAGAAGATTTTGCTTCAGGGGATGAGGTGGCTGTTCGTACATAGTGTGTATTCGGATATGGAGGTTGGTCTTTTTTACCCAAGCTGAAGATAATGATGAGAAAGAAGCTACCAGATGAAGAGCCTGAATCTCTGCTTTTATAGACATTCCTGGGATACACCAACAACTATTGCACACTAAGAGGACAGGTGTAAGGCTGTCAATTAACAAATGAGCTATAGCAAATTGCTAGGAGGCGGACTAACTACTCCGACCCTGGCAAGCCATGATTTAATCTTAATCCACTAAGACTCACTCGAGCGTTTGCTGGTTCACCATGGCGTCCCCCGTTTTTACTCCCTTGATAGACAAACCTTATATTTGTGGAGACAAAAGGATCAAGCTTTGAAGGTCCGTGCCACATCTAATGAGCTTAACTCGACTGCTTATTGGAAGAACTACCCATCAACCTGCAAGGGTCGGAGCAAACCCCCGACAACAGTTGCAGCGAGGGTGACATTTCTCACTTCTCCTACACAAAGAAAAGCTTCTTCAAAGGGAGTCCAGCTCTATTTATTTGATAGTATATTCATCAGGCAAGAGGTATTGAATGAAACGTTGTGAATAGACGTGTCCTCAGCCTAGTGGTTTATTCACTTCTAATCTATTCACTATTCATTAAGACAGCTATATATAACTAGCAGACTACATCGCCGAGAAATCTAAACCTAAGCACAACTAACAACCAATAACTAACCTTGAGTTGATACCGACAGCGACCAGAATGACCCGCCCACCCTCTCTTGGGGCTATGCCTCTAGATATTCTATGCATGGTCTGTGACTGCCTTGTGGACTGTGACCCAAGCCAGAAAAGCTTGTTTTCCTTCTCGTTAACAAGCAAATGGTGTAACATTGCAGCAACGAGACAGAGGTTTAGGCGCATCCCAATCTCCTTAGAAAGCAAGGAGAAACTAGCTGAGGACATGGAGCGATGGAGCTGCATTCTAACCCCTTGTGGGTACATTGACTATGTGCAGGTCGTGAAGATAACCGGAAGTATCCATATTCGGGATATGACTTCTAACAGTGGAGAATGGCCACTCCGAGACATGAGCCTTGGGTACCATGAAGCAGACGATGAAAATGACGATGACGAGTGGGCCACAGGTTATGATGACCAGAGCGACAGCGATTCAACATGGGAATATGGCGATAGGAAGGTCTTCTCTGATGTGACTTTACTTGGTGAAAATCCATATTTGACAAATGAAGAGAGGCAGGCCCAGGAGGTTGCCTGGAGCCCCCTTGTGCACTTCATCAAGAGCCTGTCAGGCCTCAAAGACTTGATTTACGCGTCCGAAGACCAAATTCCGCTCTGCGTACTTTTAGCACTACACCAGCATCACCCAAAGAGTCGCCTTCACATGCACCACTTTATCCTCCACAGCCTCTTTCAGCCAGCTGACTATCCCCGGGATATAAGCCTAGAGGAATATACCCTTGCGACATCTCCATGCTTATATAGCATACGCACACATCAGTCCGATTACGATATCCAAGGAAGAGTTTGTTATAACTCTGAAGCAATTCTACAAATGGTGGCTGGTTTGGCACCAAACTTGAGACATGTGTCCATGGCAGTTCCGAGCGCTTTCATAAATATACAACACAACCCGAAGCCAGCATGGCATGGCTTTTTCATCAATAATCCACCAGAGCAAAATATCCCCAGACCACTTGGACAGCTCCGGAGTCTATCCTTCAAATTCATAGAGAGTTTAACCCCTTCCACACTCCGCAAGTGGTCTCACTACACGGATTTCTCCAAGTTGCAAACCCTTCGAATAATGAGCGATGATGGTGTTGGCATAGTCAGAATCCTTGATCAATTGGCAGTGGAGGGGAAGTTTAGTTCCCTTCGCTCTCTCAACTTAAAATTATTTCTTTCCACTTTCGCAGATACCATAATCTTTGACAGGGTTATGGCTGATTTTCTACGAAACCTGCCTCCCCTCAAGGAATTGAAATTGACTGGCTTTGTCGCTGAACAGACGTTCAACGTTATCCTTGAAAAGCATGGTAATACCCTGATTAAACTGGATTTTATTGCGTCTCGCGGATTCATGACAGGAGCGAGTTTATTTGTCCTCTACAATAATGAGGTTCGAGAGATTCAGAGGCAATGCCCGAACCTCCAGACGCTTGGCATTCTCATACCTCGTACCAACGGTAATAAGGATGAAGTAGATATCTACCGGACTTTGGGCATGTTCAAGTGGTTGAAGCAATTGATCCTGAGGCTTGATTTTTCTAGCGTCATCCACTACAGGCATTCCTCGTCCACTAAACCCGGCATCGATAGCCTATGTATTAGTTCCAATGCAGTAGCAACCTTGGATCAGATGCGTGAAACGTTTAAAAACTGCGCCATTGACGCAAACCTCGCGCTTTCCATATTCCGGATGATATCTACTGCCAACGGACTCAGATACCCTTCTAAATCCCCTTCGCTACAATACCTCAAACTTCAACCTTGGGGACATGGAGAATTCGGAAGTGGAGTATTCAACGGAGAACTCGGTGATATCACAAGATGGCTTGGTAGGTCTTGGCTCTGTACGAGGCTACATGGGGATATGAATTTCGAGAAAGTGGTTACAAGAGAGGTTGACAAGAAATGGCGGATGCTTTTTGAGCCCAGGATGGAGGATATTTTTGCGTGGGAGAAGCACTTCTTTGAGCAATCTGCACAAGCTCGGTTTTATCAAAAGGTCTGGAAAAGTATCTGGCCTGGGCATGCAGATGGAAGAAAATGGACGGATGATTGGTCAAGTTGTCCACTGCTGGAGGAATAGGTCCGCACCAAGCGTTAACATTGAACACACCCTTTTCGAGGCTTTTCAATCGTTCCCCGCTTCCCATACTTTTTACTCTTCCTACTTTTTCAGAAGCAAGTGATACAAAGGGCAACCAAAGCCTTATGTATACCTTTTAATAGTGTTTATTAGTCATAGTCATCATCATCATCATCATCAAGTAGCATGGAAACATAGAAAAGAAAATGCATTGATGCTGGCTTTGAACCTCCCAAAATTATTTTGCGTGTAAAAGTAGTTCTTCATAAAGCTCCGCAGGAATTTTTTGTACAATTAGAACGGTCAGAGCGATTGTTTCTTTTGCATCGATAGGCGGGAATGACCGGAGGATTTTGTTTGGACTACGTAAGAGTTAGGAAATGTACCCAGAATTGGAGTATTAGAGGAATAAGCTACTTACCTCTGGCTTGCCAAGATAATATCCCTCATCCGTATTAATTGTGCAACAATGCATAATATATTCAAATGAGGTCCGTAGGCGAAAAGAAAATCCCAAAGATGCAAAACCTCTGGTAGTGGGGGTGTACAAGCACACAGCGTAAGTACTGATGGGAATGCGTATAATTCGGCATGCATTCCCTTACTGAATAAGTGATTGGCTAGCTTTGGCTCAACAACTTCTAGGCAACGATCCACTAACTTGACTCCTTTGTGGACTCCGTCCATGGTACTTTTGGCATACCCGGGACATTCACGGGTGATAAAGTGGTGGAACAGCGCGAACGCTTCCACTTCGCTTCGTGATGCATAAAGGAACGGTGCGCATAAGACATTCATCCCCTGTACATATATTGCAGCGGAATCCGATGGGTTCGGACTTTGGCCATCAATAGCGGCGGCATGGCCATCGGGGAGGAAGACAGATGAAGTTCTTCTCGAGTTTGACTGCTGTGAAGGAGAAAGCTGGCGCGAAGAAGTTCCTGTCTTGGAGTCATGTATCTTCCATGCCACAGCATTGAGAAGTCGTATAAGACTTGCTTCGGTAACTCTCCGTTTAAATAATGGATCAGTGGCTAGGGTTCGGAATGTGTCATTACGGATCTTGGTATATGCCGGTGACCGACCCCGGTGGACAAGGGAGAGGTATTCGTCTGTTGGGAGAGGAGGTATATCGAGGAGGGCGAGCCAAATGTATATACGGTGAGTTGACTTCAATCATGGAACATTAGCACAGTGACCAGATGCCCTCTTAGGATGAGTGATTTCACTTACCATCCCATCGTTATCCGCATCGACTCTTGTGGACAGAATCAGGTACCGCAACTCTTCAAGCCCAATCGCAAGATTGTTATTCGGAGGGCCCTCTCTTAAGAGATTTTCAAGCCCAGAACGCCTAGTGAGATAGCCGATTGACCCTGATTTTCGATTGACACTGGGTCGTTTGCGTGGTTGCGCAGCTCCAGGCGCAGCTCCAGTAACATCGCTATTAGACCTCCCACGGCCATGAGTTGTTGCAGGTGTCGTTGCGGCAGCTACTGGTTGCTCCGACGTCTGCTGTGCCGATGCCTCTCGGGTGTTAATGCTCGTTGTATTTCGGAAGATCGGAGGTCGGGAGCCTACGGCCGGGCTACTCGAATGTGTCGATAGTGTCTGGTGTGATTGGAATCTGCGTAATGTTCTAGTGGGTTGAGGTGGCTGCAGTCCGCCTGATACTGGGGGGACGCGAGGTTGGGATGGTTGAGGCATGCTGTCAGAAACGGCGGACCCCGTTACCAGGGCCGTATAGTAGGCGCCAGATAATGCCCCTGGAGCACGTATATGTGAGTGGCTTTCGATAACTTGACCGCGATATGCAAAGGGCTGGCTGGCATGCAAGTCATGGATTTTTTTCCCCTTTACCCCTGCCCTGAAAACCGAAAACCAGCCTCATCGCGACTATTTTTGCCCAGCGCGTCGGGCGATCCAGCCAACTTTCTGGGGGTCGCTTCCAAGGTTCCAGTTTATAGTGGTCACGTGGTGATGTTAGAGGGTCTTGGCATTATCAAGCTTATTTAGAGTTTAAAGCGGTGTGCCGGCGCGCAGTTAAGAGCAAGGGGGGAAAACGACGACAGCGCAGGGGATTGCCGATAACAGGAGCGGATAGTTGACGATCTATACAAGGCGAAGAAGTTTTAGATATGAACACCGCCGCGAGCCGGTTTGTGGTTCGGGTACGCCATGAAAACACCGCATGACATAGTATAGTGGTTTGGTCATTATATTATTCACAACTATAAACATTAAAAGTGACGCTATCCAGCTGCCGATGCAATTAATACACTATCACGTTATGGTAATCCGCAGATGACATTCAGCTTTCCTTCGATTTTGATTTGTCTGCCTTTGGGTCTCCCGGGCCACCAGTTAAACTTCCAACAAACTCCTCATACCTGAACACTTCGGCTCGACTTCTCGACCCCGTAAGAGAGGAAGTTTTCCCTTTATTACCAAATGCGCGTCTGCCGGTAAATCCCTGTATGACTTCGTTTATTTCGCTCTCTGTCAACGGTCTCTCGTCTCCTTCGGGGCTGGTGTGGAGTAAAGCATCTCGAAGCTCTGCCAGGTCAATCTGACCACTGTCGTCTTCGTCAAATGCTGCAAAGGCGTTAAGGAGCTCTTGAGAAGACGATAGTGGTGCTAGATGGGTAGCGATCTGGTTTAAGTACGTTGGAAGGTTGATGGATCGCGGGCCGTTTGGCGGAAAGTATGCGCCTGTTGCCAAAGAAGACGAATCTTCGCCTAAACACGCATGAGTCAGCAAGAAAATATAGCCCAAAGATAAATCAAATGTCAAAAAATTGGCCAACTAACCAAGGTTGTTTAAAGCATCGGCTACATCTTCCCTGTTTACTTGGCCATCGTTATCACGATCTAATACCTGGAAAGCCTCGCGCATCTCCCGCAGCTGTGCCGGAGGTATCTTGCTCAGTAGATCGTTGTTTTTTGGCGACCTTTCAGGTGTTTTGGGCCTTCCCATAGCTGAAAACCGATCTTGAGCATTGGCTCCTTTTGTAGGTGAAAGTTGCGGTGATCTGGGGCCAGGGGAGGATCGTGGTCCATTGCTACCGTTCGTAAATATATCTCCATTCTCTCTTTCTAGTGCTTGGAAATGGCTCAATTTGCTAGGGGAATGTGTCGGGGTGGTTCCTCTGCTACTCGGGCTTCCGGGTATATTTGGCCGGATCACGGGTCCGGGTGATGAAGGCGGCGGTGAAGAGACAAACGACTGGCGCCGGAAGGGAGAGGAACGGGGGGATCCGAAGGAGAGAGGCGACGGCTTATATGGCGTTGTGTTCGGCGTACCCTGCAGTCGTTGTCAGTACGTAATGAATAACTTTGACTATCACCACCAAATTAAGCCTACCATTCTTCCTTTCTGCTTTGACTAGGAGCAATTATTAACAATGATGGGGTGGGCAATCGAATAATGGCCGTATAGTTATTGGTGCCGTGGTCGTCTCAAATTTTTGTTGCTTGCGGTTCGCTTCGTTCGATGTTATCTTGCCTTTTGATAAGCCCAAGTCATGATGCACTATCCGGGAGCCCAAAGCGGAAATCAACAAACATTGGGCCGGATAAATGATTTCCCTTATCCGGGCGCAAAAACGTTATTCCAGTACACGTTTTTCTTAGTCATCAACACCATGTGAAGGCGCCAGGTCAGCCAATCCCAACCCTGCCTGCTGTTCGCCTCGATAGCCGCGAGTGCAAAAGAAACCAAGAAAAGGGACCCTCTGCTTGTGAATGGCGCATCGCATGGAGAGAGAGAGAGAAAGCTGTTCCTGGGGCGTCCCTAAATGTTCCTTGATCCACGCATGCTTCTGATGGATTGATAGCCAACACTCGATAAGCGCATTGCGTCAATAGCGAGGTATGCTGAAATACGTTGACTTATGCGCCCAAGGTGACTGCCATGAGATTAACCATCTTGCTCTGCTGTAGAATGCAATTTCTCGTTTCTGCCCCCTTAATCCTCTGATTATACCACCAATATTCAATCATGGCGAACTCCTTGGCCAGACGGCCTTCCACCAACGGCTCTTCTCACGACCGAGGCACCTCATTCACCTCCATCCCACCCTCATCTATATCCCCGCATCAGTCCGTTTCTATTGGACCAAGGAAGAACCGATCGCAGACGTCTCTCAGCCACAAATCAATTGGGAGCTCTGGGGAATCCTCACAGCGGCGATCTGTACATTCCTATGGCAGTTTTCAGGCGCAGAAACGGAGGTACAAGTCGCAGTACCCCGCCGACTCTCCAGAACCGCATGTCGAGTACATTCTCGTTGCCTCATTTGATGTAGACCGAGGGCCTATTATGGAGCATCAGTATCCTAGTGCCATTAGTGGCGATGAGAGCATGCTGGCAGAGCTCATGTTACCTGATCAAACACACGTTCGCAGCCAGGATTGGACGATCTTCTTTTTGCACAAGGATAATGGTGGGCCTGAAGAAGATCCTGAATTTGGGGAAGATAAGGATGGGGATGACGAGCAAGACGAAGAAAAAAGTCGAGATGACCTATCTCAGGAGTATCCGGAGGAAGACGATGCCGGGAGTGCGGGCATGGATGATGAACCACCCCTGATGTACGTCCTGAATCTTGTGAATACAAAACAGGACACATCAGTTAAACGGTATTATCACCCACATTATGCGTTTTACCTATGAGTTGATATACTGACAGATACAGTGGTGCAATGGTTAAAGCAATGGCAATATGCACAAGACACTCATTTCTGCATATATACAAGGTTCGTTCTCCCCAGTTGGCTACAGTTGGGCCTCCACTAACGAATTCCCATAGCCACTGCTACTCCTTGCCTTAGAAGACTATTTCAAACACCCATTCCCGGAAACTCTGGCCAAATTATATGATTCTCTCAATGCTATGGATCTTTCATTGATGCCGTGTCTTTCCTACCTTGAACGACACATACTCCAGTCAACTGAGACAAAAGATCTCTTTGTGGAAAAGTTTGAAAGGATGATTAAGCAGAGGCTTGCAGACGAACGAGCAGAGCTCGAACGTCAAGGCATTGATCCTCAAAAGGCTGGGCCTCCATCCCGATATACCGTGCCTCGCGACACTCATGAATTTGAATCTAAGATCGTCTACAACGACATTGCAATTCCGGTCAAGGTCCCTACAGCAATCTCCCCGGAAACCGTGGGTGATTTTTCCTTGGTCAAACTGATACAGACATTTGCAGGTCCCCATGCTGCCTCCCCACAACCTTTTGCTCTGCACCCCCATCTAACAAGCAGCGGACCTTTCACACATCCCATAATTGTGCTGGTAAATGCTCTGCTCACTCAGAAACGTGTTATATTCCTGGGGCATAATCGGCCATCTGGAGAGGTTGCTGAAGCTGTCCTTGCAACATGTGCCCTTGCTTCAGGAGGAACACTACGGGGGTTCACTCGCCATGCCTTTCCATACACGGACTTGACGAAAATTGATGAACTTATTAAAGTGCCTGGTTTTGTGGCCGGTGTCACAAATCCGACATTTGCTAACCATCATGAGTGGTGGGATCTTCTTTGTGACCTCCCTAGCGGACGGATGAAGATTAGCAACCGTGTTGAGGCTGCTCCGGTAACGGAAGGGATGCAGTATTTCCAACCACAAAACCAAAATTCCTCCTCGTCTCTACTCGGTAGTTCCTCCAACCCTCCGGACCTTACTGGCGATGTACAGTTCATGGATGATATCCTTAAGAGCATAGCTTCGAGACATAGTGAAGGTGTTATCCGAGCCAAATGGCGTGCCTATATCAACAAATTCACAAGAATATCTGCCACCTTTGAGGAAATAGTCTATGGGGCAACTGCTCTTGATATAGTGGGGCCTGATGAGCCCCCGCCAGATTCATCTCCAATGCGTGAGCGCTCTGGAGAATCAACTCTACGCGGACATGGATACGTTTGGGTCGATGAAGCCACCAAACAACGTGAACTCGCCGCTTGGGTACCGCGAATTGAAGGGTGGAGGAACACCCGGTCATATTACTATTTTATTCAAGACACTGCAACAATGCATCTTGTTGGAAAGCCATTGAAGGGTCTAGATGTTCAACATCACCATGATCGACTACGGACACTCAAGCTGAGCGATGTGGATGCTAAGGCAGTATATGTTGCATTTTCGAAATCCATCAAAGATTACAATTCTATCTGCCAACTTCTTTCAGTTATACCCGAAACACAGGCCGGTCTCTTCTATCTCTCTATGGGCCTCTTTCACAATGACTCGGTAGTTCGCAATGCTACGGTTGATTTACTTGATAGAATATCTGTTCATGAAGCCGGTCGGCATTTCTGGGCTCAGCTCAGTCGGTTTGCAAGGCTAGCTTACTATCGAATCAAGCGCGACAAAGAAAGGGAAGTAGCTAGCCCCTTATCCTCCCCTTTTGATGACAACACGTCGCACAGCATAGTCGGGGTGGCCGTGAGCCATACTTCAGTTGGAACCAAAAAGGGAGTTCGACGAAGCTGAGAAAAAAAAAAAGAAAAGGAAAAAAAAGGCATGTTTAATGAATAGTTTTTGTGTTTGTTCCAATATTTACGAAGCACATAATTTCTCAGTTTTGAGACATCTATCTTCCCTTAAAATCCCTACCCTTCCACAACACCCTGGTTTGGTTACCTATCCCGCCATGTATTCATAGTGAGACTACCCCCTGTCGTCTTTGAGTTATGATCACCATTTGTATATCAACGTCAAAATACTACGGAAGCAGGTGTGCTTGATTCCTATCTAGCACCAAAAGTTGAATATGACAATATCAATGCTCAATCCCGACAAGTTCCACAAAGCTGTAGAATACCAATTGGTATGCGATCAGCAGACACCTAGGGCGCTGTACACTATTATTTGATAGAATGGATAGCTGCCGTTATGGCACCCATAGCGACCTCTTGGTGTTATTCTACTGGCTATGAAAAAGCCAATTCAAAAGCCTGACATGATAATAAAATGTAACGTGGACTGTTAGAGTGATAGCTAGAGGATTAATGCAGAAAATAATTCCTCCGGCAGCAGGTACAGGAGTCTCAAAATTCTAGCTTTCGATGTGATCGGGCAGGAAAGTAATTCAGGGTACCCGATAGCTATTGAATAGGGGCTAACGCCCTTTCACATTCAGTGCACCCTCCCACTCCAGCGTTCGTAAAACTCAACATACCATGTACCCTGCAACCCATCAAACCGGCTATTGCCCTTGCAGCCTTACCGCTCTTTCATTAATGAACATCTCTGCTAGGTCTTGGTCATGCCAACACTCCATGGGTCTGACAGACAGCACTGTCACAATAACGCCACACTCCAGGCCCGCCCAGCCGTAATGAGATAGATCCTTCTCGGCATCTGTCTTGCTTCCATAGCCGGTTCATAGCCGAAACACTCATCAAGCAAAGCGGGTGGCTGCAGTCAGCTTGTACTCCCCAGCTATCATTAACTGGTCCAAGAGTCAAGCCCAAATCAATTGCCGTAGGTGAACGGGAGACGATAGGGTATCAAGATAAGCTCTTTTCTCTTGCTTTAATTCTATCCCCTCGTTTTCTTCAACATTCCAGGAATGGTTAACCTTTCCCTTAGACTTCGTACTATATAGCTACCCTGGGACCAATTAACTTCAATCAAAGCAAATGAAAAAACTGGTGGCGACCTTTTTTTTCACCCTTTTTTGTAGGGAAATGGCAAACGCCACCTGTTTTTGCATCTGAACTGTTGAAGTCGAGGCGCCGTGGAAGAGATTTAACCGAATGATTTCCGAGTATTAGGAAAATATACGGTGAGTTGTTAACGGTCAGGAGTTGAGTGTAGTCAGGCATAGCTGAATGTACGGATTGCACAAGGGATATGCATGTCAGCCTGGTGGTTCATAGTACTTAATCGGCTCTGTAGAGCCTATGGGGAGTGCTCCGTACCAGAACATAGTAGGGTTCTCATCGACTATCAAATAGCTGACCTTCCAATCTAGCGCAGCAGCGGCGCAAATAATGCAGGCCATGTCGACGCTTAACTAGTCAACTGGGTTCCTCGTGTGCTTTTTTTTTTTTATTGTATTTCTTGGGCTACCTCTCCTCCATCCTTTTTATCATGATATTTATTCCTTCTATCACCACTTCCCACTCGATCTTGTGTATTCTCTCCTTGAGTGCCTCCAGATCTTCATCCACACCTTTTATAAATGGGATCTCGCGTGTCAGGATTGGTTCGCCCATATCAACCTCTGCAATGACTTTATGGATCATGACTCCTGTCTTATCAATTTTGCCTTCTAGCCATGCTTCTTGGGCGCGTTCAATGGCATGCTACCGCTCGGAATTAGAATATTAAGCAATCATAGTTAAACAAAGGCCCATGCGGGAAGCCTCATGACTTACAGTTCCGTTGAATGCGCCCGGTAGCGCGGGGTGCAGATTTATAGTATCCAGGCCTGCCTTTGCCATTGGATCCAGGAACTTCTTTGATAGCACATACATAAACCCTAGACAGACAACAAGGTCAGGCTTATCGTCCAGTACTATCCGTGCCAACTCGGTGTCATATTCCTCCCGAGCTTTCTTGACACCCTCTTCCGTGTTTGGGTGTTTTTTCTTGTATGTTAGTAGGTTATGGTATACGGTAGGTATGCCGGCTTTCTTTGCCCTCTCGAGGCCATATGCGTCTTTCCGGTTCGACAGGACTCGCACGACTGTTGCGGGGAGAGTTTTGGCGTCAATGGCATCGATCACGGCTTGGAGGTTGGTGCCGCTCCCGGAGATGAGGATTGTGAGGCGCGTAGGGGAATCCATCCTATCTTCGGTGGCCTTTCTTACAGGTCGTGTCATCGGTATCGCAAATAATGAAAACTTCCAATATTATCAAAAATGCGCTTCAACATTTTCGACCCCGCCAGTTGTTTATCTCTAGATTACGTAATAGTTACATCACGTGTAGATTATATAATAATATATTAGTCATCAAGCGCACTTTCGCTTATTTTTTTCTTTCCACAAAACGATCTTTTTTTATTTCCTGTTTCTTTCGTTCGTTTGACCAGCAAGCATCAACAACGTCCAGTCAACGCGACCTTCTTTCGACAACGAGGACAGACAGCAGACATCCGTCGCAATGGCCAAGGCTAAGAAGACCACCGATACCCTCTCCTCGCGCCTTGCGCTTGTGATGAAGTCCGGCAAGGGTATGTTGCTGCGCCTCGAGACGTGTGAAGAAGATATTTATGCAGAAAGCTAACGAGATCAATCATGACAGTCACCATGGGATCCAAGTCTACCCTCAAGACCCTCCGCTCTGGCAAGGCTAAGCTCATCCTCATCGCCGGAAACTGCCCACCTCTGCGCAAGTCCGAGCTCGAGTGTAAGTCATCATCAGACCGGCGAAAATATCAAGACCTGACGCTGACCGATTGCGTATATAGACTATGCTATGCTCGCCAAGGTCCCAGTCCACCACTTCCACGGAAACAACGTAAGTACTCAATCGCCTATATCTCCTTGTTGAAAACCAAAAAAAAGAAAATCCTGGAAAAAAAAAGTGAAGTACTCGATGCGCGTATTCGTTCAGAATACGCGTGTGGGGGAAAATACGCAATAAGACAGCTCTATCTCCTCCATTTGCTCTGCGAAGAAGTTACACGTAGTGGACTATCTCTATGGTGACTTTGGAGAGTAGTAGTTGCTCTGAGAAGGGATTTCCCTCCCACATGCTATTTTTGTATACCATGTGCTGGGATATTGCTGGAGAGCTTGGCTAACCGCTTGGAACGTTGATTACGTTCGCCCGTATAGATTGAACTTGGAACTGCCTGCGGTAAACTTTTCCGCTGCTCTACCATGGCCATCCTCGACGCTGGTGACTCCGACATCTTGACCCGTGAGGCATAGATGTGCATTGATTTGCGCTGATGTGCTCGGGGCTCATGGCTGCTATGACCAAACGCTAAGGAAACCCCACGCCTGGCTAGGCTGAGAGCGGGAGGGATGAAGGAAGAAAGAAGAAAATATCTACTGGCGTGCATCGTTTAGTTGTCGAGTTGAGTCGAATGCCCAAGGAGGGATAAGAGTAGCGCTTCGTCAGCTACTCTCGGCTCTGCTCTGCCCTGCCCGTGCACTGCTCTCTCTCTCTCTCTCTTTGCCTGCAACCTGCTCTGTATTAGTAGCCTCTCTCCAGCACCGAGCGGACCAAAAAAGAAAAAGAAACAAAAAACGATACAAAAAGTTATCCAAGCTCCTGCATTGCAACCACCTGGCAGACGTCTTTTCCTCTTTGCTGACCATGCGTCTTGGACCGGGGGGATTCTGTTAGCAATGACGCTGCTCTCCCATGCCATGCTCTGCTCCCACCTTGGGGGTTCAAAACCGAAGCAAGGGGTTCATGAGGTTATGATAAATGATTATATTTAGATACCAATCAACGGTTTCCACAAGCGATCAGCTGACCATGTCATCTCGCTCAACCCCTTCGCTGCTTGTAGGATGCTTGACGCTGTCGTAGAACTATGTAATGTATGTACAACGGAGCTAGCAGCTGGCTACCATGTCTCTGTAGTTTACTTGGGCGATAGATAAGACTTGCCCGGCGCTGGCCATCGCACATTCAAGCAGAGGATGGATGGATGGATGGATGGATGGATGGACTAATGCAGGCGCTGACAAAAACAGAGTCATCTGTAGCTACACGAAGATGACGACGCCGCTACTTTTTGATCATCTGCTGCTGCGTCTTGCTTTCTTTTTACCCGAAAAGGCCGAGAAGGCGAAGGAACCGGTCGTCGCATGTATGTATGCACCGAGATGGCTGAAAAAGGGGGAAGAGAGAAGATGAGTAAAAGAGGCAGCCTGCGCATGCCCGCATTGTCGTACTGCAGGCAGATACATACCTGAGTAGGGGGGGGGGTTCTCTGCTTGCTCGCTGTACGACCAAAGGTCCTCCTCCTCGTCTAGTGCTCGCCGTAACCAGGGACCGCGCAAATGCCGATAGTCCTCGCCTCGGAAAAGCTGCATTTTCGAGGCTGAAACGGCTGGTCAGCTTGTCCATCCAGGCATCGGCCCAGCTAGTTAGTGCCATGCGCCCTGCAAAGCCACGGCTAAACGGAAGAGGCATATGAACCTCATCTTTCTTCAAAAAAAAAAAAAAAAAAAAAAAAAAAAAAAAAAAAAAAAAAAAAAAAAAAAAAAAAAAAAAAAAAAAAAAAAAAAAAAACTTACAGGGAAAACGCACAACTAAGAGTTACACTCGCTAGAGACTATCAAGCCCAGCCTCAAGGGGCTAGGCAGTGCCTCCTCCCCCCGGGGCTGACCGGCCTTCGCAGGGCATATCTCCGCCGACAAATGGTCCGAAGAGGCCTGCTGTCACATATGTTCTTTCTTATTTTTTCAATTCCTCGATTCTCAGGTTGTGGATGGCCCTAGTTATTTGGCTTCTCTCCTGAAAGCGAAAGGGGAGTCAAAAAAATAAGACAAGTTGGCGAGCCTGGTTTTCAACACGGAGAATGAACCACGGAGATCCTCCAGCAGCCCTATCCTGGCCTGGGCCGAGCCTTGGGGCCTTGGGGCCTTCTGAGGGGCTTCAGTCTGGGGCATCATGGGTCTGGCTCAAATCCACGCTATATCCAACCGTTGGAAAAGGGCTGGCTGGGGGGGGCATCGATGGGTTCAGGAGCAAAAAAAAAGGGTTGCCGCCACGTTTTGAGAAAGCAAGATAATTGGGTCCCTTTCTTTTCTCTCAAGGAAAACATTCCCATTCCCGGCAGTCTGTTTATATTCTTCGGGGCCGTCGAAGTCGTTTTTGCAAGCTAGCTTTTGCCCTAGCAGGGTGGGAGGCCTTGATATAAGTTGGTTCATTGAGTTCCGACGCTTCGCTTATTGCCCGCCGCGCGTGGGAGTTATTAATAAAATTTTCTTCGCCCGGCAGCCTGTGTGCTGGATACTCTCCCGCTGCCTACTGCTTGGGATCTCGCTGGCTGGCCGGCGTGGCCTCAAAATAAAGTAAAATAACATGGCCAAGCAGGCCCAGCAGGAGTGGGAGACGGTGGCGCTGGGCCATCCCAGATATTCAGACCGTATTCATGCGGTCTGGGGCGCCCGTTTGCTTAGCTCGCCAAAAAGACGGAGAAGAAGCAAAGAAGACCGCTCTTCTCTCTCTTTTTTTTTTTTTCCCCTCTTGTGCTTCATCTTTAATCCCATTTTTGTTGGATCGATAGTTGGGTTCGTCCCTTTTTTGGGTTCTTGTTCCTGCGGCAATGGGCTGGCTGGTTCCTGGGGCGTTGGCAGACGGTAAAAGCAACTAGCACTGGCTAGTTGAGGATGAAATTTGCAAATGCACCGGCCATGGCTGGTGCAATGTGTCATGAAGAGAGAAAAAAAGAAGGAAGTGGACTGATTTATTGAATCGACCGAGTTGATTAATGATCACTCGCCTCAACGCCGAACAAGCGAAGAAGCGAACACCTCGATGCCACGAGCGGATGGAGCAGAAGGGCTTGGAAAGGGAAGGGGGCTGGAATCGGGGGCCGAGACAAGTTATTATCTCGAATCCTCCTCTGGCCTGTCCGGCCATGCTCAGCTTCTTGTCTGGGGGTCTCCTCCGCGCTCCATATAGTTAATTATCCTTCTGGGGGATCTTTCCTGTTTTTATTTTAATTTTAATTTTAATTTTTTTTTTTTTTTCTATATCTTAGTTATCTATGGCAGGAAACAGGACGATGGATGGAGCAATGGGATATGCATGTTCGCTTTGCTGGTGCCATGTATGTATCCTCCTGCCCACCCCTGGAGAAGATGAGGAGTTATGTGCATATATCTGACGTCCAACCTTATGACCAAGGAGGAAGCGTTTCTCCCGCTGCTGGCCATGATGGATCTTCTGCGGGAGGGGTGCATATTGCATGGGAGGAGGAGGGGGGGAAGGGGGGCTGTTTTGGTAGGCGATGAGTTGGCAGCAACGATATATTAATAAATATACGCCTGGGTGGGCGGAGATGTTCTAACCCCAGCAATTTCGAATGTCAGTCCAGAGTATATTTTTTATATATTTTTCTTTTTGCTTTGTATGTTACTCCAGTTAACTTCTCCTCGTTGGATCATCCCCCAGAGTCGGAGGGGAGTGGCATCTCCATGATCCCCCAATCCCCCATACCCCCAGGTCAGGTCGACAGCAACCACCCCCGCGAACCGCCGGCCGGGGAACGTGAATATCCCATCCGATCGTAAATGCATATCCCGTCCTGGTGATCATCGACATCAGAGAGACGAGATGACGGAATTCGAACTCCAAATGCCCTCTCCTGACCATTAAAACTAACTACCGGATATCTCCCTTGTCTAAAGGACCTGTGATCTGCAAACTCCGACAACCTGCTCTGGAGGCTACGGCTATCTCCGTGCGGTCTATTTGCTCTGTAATCTCATATAGACGGGTATGGAGGTGCTAGTAAGTGCTAGTAAACCGGTTCATGTCAGTGCTAGCGGCGCTATACCGGCGAGGGGCACTGGAGAACTTGGTGGTAGCCGCAGCTTATCTCTCCTCCTCCCCCTTCCCCTTTCCCCTGTCGACCAGAATCTCTATATTGGCATGTATGCAAGTGAAGATGCATCCAGGTTACCCTGCATCCTGAGGACTTTTTGCTCTTTGTATAGCAATGCACTGTAGCTTTGCCGAGATAGGTAATCCTCACTCGATGCACATATGTATAATAACGTATCTGTCGATCAGCCAGACCACACAGGCCAGCAGAGGTCACGGTCCGCTTCCCGCTCAACCATATTCCGTGTCATGGCCCTCATATATATTCCTTTTTTTTTTCTTCTCCTTTTGTTTTCTTTCCTCTTTGCTGGTCGGCAATTGAAGAGGATCATGGCTGGTGGTACGGAGTACACGGATGGATTCTGCGTCCTTTGTCCTAGATAGGCAACCAGCGTCGCCCGGCCCGAGCGAACTATACGGACGGCTCTTTGGTTAGTTAGTCTGTCTAGCAGCATCGTGAACGCCTCAGCATGAAGCCAAAAAGCAAGCAAGCATAAAAGCATATAGTTAGGAAAAGGGAAAAAAAAAAAAAAAAAAAAAAAAAAGCAACCGTCGATAGATGTCGATAACTCGAGCGAGATCGCAGTGTCTGCGAGCCTCCATCGGACTTGATCCAAAGGTGCCCTGCTCGATCTGCTTGCGTGCTCGTCTCTCTGACGAGTCAGGGAACAGAGGCCGGCCTGGGGATAACGTCACTCTGCAGTGGCTGGGACTGTATGCATGCATGCATGTCTGTATATAGTGCATATGTGGTATTTTTGGGGGCTTTTTGATATGTTTCTGCTCAGGGGAACACGACGTGCATGCGTGTTTATGTATGCACATTGCCCGTACTCTGAAGTCAAGCAGGAGTCATGTCAGGATATGTCGACATGCATGCTGGCTATACGTCGCATGTTATGCATTGTCATGATCCCGGATTTAATCATAGCCGCGATCTCCTCGGTGCAGCCAGCCAGCCAGGCCCCTGGGCGCAGTCGGCTGGTGATAGACACAAAGACAAGACCGGGACAAGAACAAGACGAGACAGGATGGCCATCGGCCTCGCCAGCAGCATCAACGGTCTTGCTCCGACGAGATCGATAGGGCCGACGATTAAGCGCAGCCCTGGACGTCCTGCTGATGCTCTAGTCGAGTAGTGACCGGCGCCTTTTCCCACTTCCCGCGTTCCCCCTTTACGAAACTGATGCCTGATCCGACCGGCGGACCGGGGGGGACAGAGAGAAGCTCGTTTCATCCACCCGCCTGGATTAATGATCGCGTTCGTGGCCTCCCTTTCAGCCGGCCAGCGAGCGAGTCCATGCGAACAGCTCGGTTGGGCTGTCCTGACTGCATGTAGCGCCGGAGCTTCCATGCAGGCCGGCCGCTGCAGCGGGAGAACAGTCATAACGCTGAGATATCAAAAAGCGAACGTCCAACGAGAAGAAAAAACCGAAGATTAAGACGACAGCCGTCTACTCCGTATAGACAGCAGTGAAACAGCGCATCAGGAGCCTGTCAAACCGCGTACACTGCCGGCTGCCAACTTGGCCATGCCCTGCCAACCCCATCGCGACAGTGGCAACGCTGTATGTATGTATGTAACTAGTCGCAACGGGGCGCTGACAAGCCAACACATGCATCGACAGGGCCGGCAGCGCAACCAGCCTGCTGCTGCGCTGCTGCTGCTGCATAACATCGCAATCCCCGAGTCAGTGGGCCAAAAAGAAAGCAAGCCAACCAGTTCGTGGACCCCCTTAGCACGGCTGCTGGGCACGATTTGAGCCCTGCCGGGACCCATCTCCAAATTTGTGATCGAGGAGGGCCGATCGAAGCTGGCTCGACGGCGTATATTTGTCACTACTATATGCTATCGGTATCACTCACTGCCAGAGAGCTACATGGCATGCCCCTTTCGGACATGGGCGTTCAGGTTCAGGCCCGGATCGGCTCAGCCGTGGCATACGAGTGCCATAGACATGCAGATGATACATTCCATCCATCAGCAAACAGCCATACATGAGACTGACCAGTCTAGCTAGCCAGCCAGCCAGGCGCCTGCAAGCCAACACAAAAAGGAACCAAAATACAACTATAAAAATGAATCAATACAGCTGCCTAGCTAGCCCATCTTGCTCGTCTTGTCCATCGGACCAGGCGTCGTGACTCAGTATCTCGTCCGCTAAGTTATCTATGGAGCCTCGCTTTGCAGCCTACAAGACACCCACAACAGCGGCCTTATATTCTTCTTCTGCCCTGATAGTGGGTTCTTCTGGATTTCTTCTTCCCTCCCCCTTGCTGCCCGGCTAGACGCTTCCACGAGCCACGTCTTCCGTTTGTTCCATCTCGAAATCTGAAGTTGAAACAGGAAGTGCCCTTTAATTCCGCGGTGGTTTGACCCTGGGCCTTTTTTCCTTCCTTCTTTTTTTTCTTTTTTATTTTGGCTTTTGGCTTTTGGGCTCCCTGTCGTTGCTTTTTCCTGGCAGTGGAAGAGTGTGGCTCAGCTTGCCGTCTCGTCCTGGGTCGTCCGTCTTTCTTTTTTGCAAGCTGCGACTTTGGGCTGGCTGCCTTTTTGCAAAATTGGCTGAACCGAAGCCTGGCCGCCTGAATACAACCAGCTGGGCGAGAGAGAAAAAGCAACGAAAGGGACAGAAAATCATCCCTACAGCGCACGGTGGAGGGAGTGCAGAAGTCTCCCCTGGTATTGCTTTTTCCGCAGCTTTTCATCCTCCGGCTCGGAGAAGGCTTTTTTTTGATATATAACCATCTTCGTGTCCCTTCGCTCTGGACTCTCTTCTCTCCTCTCTCTGCTTTTTCCTACAACACTCACACATTCACACAGAAGAGAGAGAAGCCTTGAGACTACCCTTTACGCCGGCCGTACATAGGAACAAGCATCTTTACTCTTTGCTACTCCCTGCATAACAACAACACCTACCAACAGCCCTCCGGCGTGCTCCGGCAATACAGGCAACCGTCAAAAAATTGAACAAAGTCACCGCCATGTCTTCTTCAGCAGTCCCTCGCCAGGCACCTGGCACCTCAACAGCCACATTGTCCACCCCCGGATCTACATATGCTACCTTTGATGCAGTCCGATGCTCCAGATGCCAGCTCTCCCTGAGCTCACCCGGTTCTAAGTCAGTCCAATTCGGTGTCAACTGTTACTACTGCAACCGATGTGCCACTATGGTTGGGTTTATACGATGAAAACGAAACCAGAAGCAGTAAATCAGACCAGGCCACGAATGAGATACGATGCCCTTCCTTACATGAAAAAAAAGGATACCAGGCTACAACATCACGGCAATTCCACAATGTCACGGGCGGAGCCTTTCAGGATGCGACCACATTCACACACCGTACCAAATTACCTACGATGCTACTCACAGGAGATACAGGCATTCTCCTTCGCACAGATAGCATTTGACCAATTCCCGAGTCATACTTGCTACTGTCTGCAAATCGACGAGTCAGCCATCTAGTAACCTTTTTGACTTCCTACCAGAGGGGGAAAAAAAAAACTTCAACAACCACAAGTACATACGTGGAGAAAGCGGCTCCACGCCACGTTCTCAAGCTCTCGAGCAGAGGAGGAAGGAAAAAGGCGAACCAGGCAATCGACCAACTAACCAGCCAACCAACTGTCACCACACCATCACCTCACCCATCTTTTCCTTCTCTCCCGCCCCTTTCAAAACAGGCTTGAAACGGCTTCTAGCTTCTCCGGAAAACAAAATTAAGAAGGGATCAGTTGCCGCCCGACCCACAGTCCATCTATCATACAGTTCTCTTGTGGAGCCCTCGAGCCAGACACAACGGCGCTTTCGCCTCTTTCCCCCTCCCTCCCCCTATTCTTGTCCTCCCCTTTCCTTCCAGTCCCCCCCTCCCCCCACCAATATTCTCCTATTCAACCATGTATTATCTAGATATATCACCAATAATAACCCCCTGGGTCTTTATTTATCCTTGTGGCCGAGCTGCTGGCAGCTTGGCGTCTCTCCTTTTATACTTCTTTGCTACCTGCTAGTTCGTCGCATTTTAAGTTAGTATTTAATCTACTTATTTAATTTCCAACATCATATTTGAGTCTCATATCTCATTTTTCTGTGCCGTCCAGAGCAATAGTAGCAGTCATTACGGGGGACGCTTGGACATGAAGCCCCAGTTGCCTGAGCTGTATCCATGGTAGGCAGAGAAGGTTGCCTTCATGGCCATTGACCTCTTCGAGGCTAGCCGCCCAGATAGACTGGTCTGGCTCTGGCGACCTTGACCCAACCCTGGTTGGATCTGTCTTGTCTAGATGTGTCGGAAACTCTGAAGCCAGATTATATAATATGGGAATCTTTTCCGTTTTCCCTTTCAAAAGCCGCTCGATGTAACTATGTAACTAACTTGCTACCACAGATTTTCCTCCCCCTCGCGGCTGGTGAGTACAAGCCACACTGATCGTCACCACTTGCTCGAGCTTGTTCGTTATTTGCCTCCGCGCCTTTTTACTTGTGGCTGTCTGTGTCTGCTACCTTGTTCAGCTCACCGGCTACCGGCTAGCCCGCTCTGGGCCTTTTGCTTGCTTTGCTTCAACGGCAACTCCTTACCCGGCCTATGTAAAAGTCGCCATAGAGAAATTCAGCTCACATTTACTCTGCGGAGGTGTAAGATCAGCCCAGAGAGTTAGCTGTCTCTTCCCCGCTCCTCATCTACAACCTGCTTGTAGATGGTCACATTCGAGTCCAATTACTCCGTGTATGTCTAGAAGGAATTGAGATTGATCGGCATCATTGAACTAGATCCAGACACCTTGATATCACTCCATGGATACTCCGTACCAGCCAATATGTAACCGGATCTTGTAGGGTTATTCGTCATCAAGCTTGACATCCAAGCATTTACCATGCTTGTATCAAGTGGGAAAGCTATCTTGGCCCGATGCTGGGGCACCATGTGTGGAGTAGCAGCAGCTTGCGGTGATCCTTGAATGTTCCCACGTACATTTTCCATATCTGACACCTGATTCGGGATGGGGAGAACATTGATCTCCCTATTGGGTCTTTACCTTTCAGTCGGCATTCTGTGAATAACGTAGTCCTTGTCTTGTAGTTCCGGGGTAGGCCACTTCTTTTCACATCCTGAAGAGGCTGGGCACATATGGGAAAAGAACGTGAAACTATGCTTCGGTATCAGGAGGAGTTAGATGGTATTCATGTTTCTCTTCAGAATACCTAGAGATACGAAACCGCTTCTCCACCGGCTTTCCCGGGCCGTAAGCTACCTGCACCTCCTTCTTGTTATCGTGCATAAGTGAATGCCGCTGCCCCGGATATGGGGGTTATGCTTTCACACCTCATGATCACGGCATGCCGGGCGTTTGCATTGCCGAGCGCATGCAACTATTATCGCCATCCATCGGTCTTGTCTCCTGTCCTTTCGCCGTCTCAACCGCTGTCTGCATCGTTCGTCGTTGTCATCTATACTAAATGCATCCCTTCAAAGAGCCTCACTGGGGCATGGGGCTTTCTGATTGGCTCATCTTGCCCGGATTAACTACACATAACGTGACTAGGATAAAACAGCGCATTATTTGCTGACTAATGAAAACTCCCCCTTTCCTCGCAAATCTTCAACGGCTTCCGGCTCGCTGCTCGTTACGTCCCTTCTATGCAAACAGTCCTGATATTGTTATAGACGGGAAGGATAGACGTCGTCGGACAGCTACCCATTGAAGAGGAGGCTCATGTCTCATCAGGCATTTTACCGGCAAGCTTGTAAGTTAGAACGATTTATTTATTGCAGCCATTGCTCCTGCAAGGCACGGAAAACCTGACAACTGAAAAAAATATAGAGACCAAACGCCATGCTTCCAAAGAAATGATGATAACCCTGCAGATAGAAAAAAAAACACACAATTCATGAGCAGCAAGGGTCGATGATCTGCATAAACAAAATGAAGAACAGGCTCGCCAAGTGGATGATGGTATTGGGGGTATGGGGAATGGAATCATGATAACGGCAGCAAAGCATGCAAATATGACTGGAAACAACAAAATAAGTCTGAGAAACGGGAAGATCAGCTCGAGATGGTGAAACGAAGTCAAGTCTCTTCGTATCGTATACCCTATAAAGTATGTTCCACTGGTACGTTCCAAAGGTCTCTTACCCGGTTACACTACTGTTGCGGGAATTGTGGACTCCAGCCGGACGGCTTAATATTGGGTCGGTCCTCTCTTTACCTTTATGCCAGCGCAATCACATCAGCATGGGGTCGGTCCTTTATTCTCCACTGAATATTTTGTCGTATTGTTTTGGAAATGAAGAGGAGTAGAAGAGAAACGACAAATGGGCGATCACAGGTGCAGTGCAAGTGTGCGCTGGGAGAGCTCATCTACTTGAACAAGTCAGTATATTATCTTCGGATGTCTTCCGTTTTCCCCGTTACTTGGGAGTTCTGGTATAATTGAAAGGAGATCGAGTTACAAGCATATATCAAGCTTGTTTCATCATGGATCGTATGCGGTGATGTTGGCACTGACTGACCTTTCTCGACGCCTGTGACCGGAGACTTGGTCCCGACACAGGAGCCATTAACAACTAATGGCTCCGTGCTATTCTTGCGAGAGCTGCTGCTGCTGCTCTTTTCGCTTTTAGTCTCTGCCTCGTCAGCAGTCGAAGTTGGTGTCACTGCAACCAGCGAGGGTGATGGCGATTCTGTTGCCGACTGCTGGGTTTCCTTCGTCGGAGTTCCAGGAGTTGTTGCCATTGTCGATTGAGGCATACTATCTGCCCCCTGCCTCGCTGTTTCCCCTGGTGCTGAGGCTGTCGGAACCGCACCGGGACGCTCAGACGCAGCGGCAGTCGACATCGCATGCTTTGCGACGCCGTTTCTGTTGGGGTTGTTGTTATATCCATGGCCATACCCATTACCATTGCCATGGGCCGTTCCAAGACTTCCGCCACGCTCCCTATCGAAACGAACTCTTATCCGCGACCCCCTGAACATGGAGTTATCAAACAGCGCAATGGCTCGTTTGGCTTCCTCCTTGTTCCGGAAAACCACTATGGCACAGGTCCGCGTGCTGCCGCCGATCTTTCGGTCAAATACATCGCATCGTTCAATGATCCCTGAGGTACGGAGATATTCCTTCAGGAGCTGTGGGGTTGTTTCATGGCTGAGATTATGAATGAAGATGTTTCGTGATATCGGCGTGCCATACTCGTGGTTCATGCCCGATGCGACCCCAACGCTAGGGCCAGATAGACTGTGTCGGTGGGGGAAGAAACCGGGGTAGGCTTGGATGCAGTTGTTCGTCATGTATCGCGGCTGCCCGAATTGATATGAATCAAACGATGGCGGATAGAATGCTGGATGAGGTACGAAGAAAGCGTTCTCGCCGGGAAAGACTAGGGGGACATGGTACCCGACTGACTCTGGGAATTGAACATATGGTGGATGGCAAGCGCCTGGCAAGGGCGCCATGAATGGCGGGTGCTGGTGGTCTGGCGGTTGAGCAAATGTAGGCGATGCCGGCATACTAGTTCTCCGGTAGCCCATCGTTAGCTCAAACCTCCCTCTACATTTGTCTATGTCTTCAATGACGTGGCTTCACTTACTCCTGGTTTGGAACGCATGCTGGACTGGCTCCCATTGGAGCTGAAGTGACTGGGGGAGCAGAGAATCCAGAGGCATATGGCATTCCGCTAAGAGATGGACTTTTTGTTGGCCCTGCTATCGGTTTTGTCGGCTCGCTAGCCAGTGAGAGAGTCACTGTGAGACTGTGTCCGTTCCATCCGTTTGTCGACAGTCGATCTACGGAGCTCCAGTCAGCACAAGCACCACAGAACACCCTTACCCTTGACATAGGGATAATAAAAGGATTATCCCTCAGAACGTACTGTATGTGCGCCATGCCTCGTCCTCGTTCTTCACTATAATCTGACCTAGGCCTGTCGGATGGCCGTGGCAATCATCATATACCACCGCTTGGCGGATATGCAATGCAGTCTGGCGAACAAAGTCCTTCAACTCCTGCCACCGGCACTGTGGTGGAATCTGCCCCACACAATATCATTTATTAGCTGCATGTTCAGACACAGCTGCAAGCATATATTTCCGGGGAGTATCATATCTTCAATATGAGGGACGAGACTCACCCCTTGGAGGAAGACGACGTACTCGTCCTCCAGCGATCGAGGATTCCGATCTTTCCCATCTTTCTGTCGTGGAGAAATAGGCATCACCCCGTTGGATTTCATCTTTCGTCAGGGCTATGTAACACCGTCTCTCCAGTCTTCCGAGACACGGGGTTCAACCACTCGAGGATGATTTGGCGTATAGGCTCGAAGTGCTTCAAAATGGATGTGACGAAGGCAGGGTCTGATTCCTGCAACCCGGGCTAGCGATACTCTTCGGTCTTCCCAAACTCGGCCACCCGTCTTCTGCCTGCTACTCGCTCCTTAGGCCCAAATCCTTCTTCCGGGGGCAGATAGCTCAAGCGTACCAAGCCGTGGCCGTTTCCGGTGGTATGGATGCGCGAGCTAGAACAAAGAGGTTGAATTTATGCGGGGGATCGCACCTCGTTTCCCCTGCCACATATATCCTCTTATCACGAGGGTTCTTTGCTTCTTTCTAGAAGAACAAGAAGGGATGGGGGGAACTTTTGGTCTAGAGAAATAAAAAAATAGGACTGGCCTGGGCTAATGTAGGTGTTGTTGGTGTTGATGTCGATCAAGTGTACGCAACCTACTTCCGAGAACCGGACAACCAACAGACAAGACAGACAGGCCTTCGAGAGAGGAGGCACTGCGCCAGAGATTGCGAGAGGGGTTGAGTGGCTCGGGATTCCAGGGAGGCTAGGTTTAAATCTTCCTGGTTTTTTTGTTTTTCTGTGTTCAAAGGTCGTACTAGATCACCAGGAAGAGCCAGCGAAGTGGGTATAATATGTGTATATATAAAAAGATAGTTAATCCAGAAATGGATGAAGAGGTTGATTAAGCACAGCCTGTTGCGCTGGCAGCTGCAGTGAGCGATATATAAAGGCAAAAGGAGAGGAAATAAGGCTAGATATCAAATGTATATATTGAATGCCAGGCAGGGTAAAGTCATCCGGCGGAAGTGTAAGTGAACGAGAGTTATTAAAGAGACTCTGGCCGGCTCTTGTTCAAAGCAGCGAGCTAAGCTAATCGGCAAGGTCAAAGAATTGAAGAGAGAAAGTGAAGAACGAGAGGAAAGAAGAAGAAGGAGAAGAAGAAGAAGAAGAAGAAGAGACACGGATATTATTAAGACGGGGGTGCTGACTCCATGGGGCAGCAGAGAGAAGGGGAATCGTGAGCTGTACAAATAACCATTAAGTAGTCCACAAGCATTAAGATGGTAAAAGGAAAAAAAAAGAAAGAAAGATGGCCGGGATGTTCAAGAACTGGGGACAACGATGAAGATGAAAAGAAAATTGATTTAAAAATTAAAAATTCAAATATAGAAAGGGACAGGTAGATGGGGTGAAGGAAGGCCGTAGCTTTAAAAAAAAAAAAAAAAGAAGTACGCCCTCAAGTATGTACGTACGGAGTTTGTATATGCAAGTCTTCTTCTGCGCATGTAACAAGACCGAGAGATGTAATATTACCCCCATAACATAACATAACGAGCCCTCTCGGCCTTTCTCTTAATTCTCAGCTCTGTATGGGCGAAAGGAGTAAGGATTAGTCGCATGCTTAGATTTGATGGCGCTGTCAGGTTCGAAAGGGACCAAAATAGGGCCTTGCTATAAAACTATTAATTCATCCCTGTGTAGCCCACCAACTGGGCTGGAATCAAAGTTATTGGATGGGAAGAGCGGGAGATTGGACAGAGTTGGCTGCTTGTCTTTTCTTTTCCTTCATCTCATGCTCTGTTTTATTCCTTTTTCTCCAGTTTACTCTTCCTGAACGAAAGATTACCGTGCTGTGTTGTTATTACCATAGGTTAGTTAGTTACGGGCCCAGCTGATTTTTACGGCAAAGCATAGTTACAGACAAGAGATATTGACTAACTCACTAAATACCATGGAGCAGGAAGATGGGCGGGCGGCGGCGCCCTTTTTTTCGGGCCTTTTCTTTTCTTTTCTTCTTCCCATCTTTCCTGCATTCCATTTGGACATGCTTGCTTTTTCCCCTTTTCGTTTCTTTTCTTTTTCCCTGGTTTCTCTCTGGCCGCCTCTCTCTCCCTCGCTCTCTCTCAATATCTTTCTTCCTCGGGTAATCAAAGCTGTTGTTGATGCAGGCTGAGATCTGATATCTGCAAGCCTCCCGCAGGGAGAGAGTAGGGGTCCAATGCAGGGATGGAGACGACGACGACGACGACAACGCCGATGATGATGATTATGGCCTCTGCTTTCTTGGTGAAGAAATACGAGTCCATGCATGATTCGAGAGTTAGGATGTGTGAGGTCAGATCAGAAGAATCTAACATTTGAGATTCGAGCTGCGCCCGCCTGTTGTTTGCTGGTATTCCTCCCCCATCTGGCTCTGGATGGGCCATGGTGGTGAAGAAGGTAAGGAGCTCGCTCCCTCGCTGTCCGTGAACCATCCAATCTCAAGAAGCCAGGCGGGAGAGGGACAATCGTAATCCAGTCCATCGGCGCATGGATCGCAATTGCGACCAACGCTGCAGATAGGCAAAGAGGAATACACACACATAGTACCGGCAAAAACAACTAGCTCCCTTTCTGAAGATGGCCAGGGTCTCTCTTTTCTTGCACGAACTCGTTAGTTCGGCTCAGATCTCCCCTAACTGATCCCCGTACTGTACACATGGATATACTTGTGTACATACATGCGGTTTATGCCTCCATCCTGACAGAGTAAACAGGGCCCCAGTGAAGAGAAGAGAAGAAGCGTGGTGCTGTCTGCGGATTCGTCTTGAGTAACTCTGCGCCAGTTGGTGTTGGCTAAGCAAGCCCTTCCTGCGGCCGCCCCCTTCTCCCGTCAAGGAAGACAGGTGATTTGCCTCCCTGCCGACCCCGGACAGAGCAGTGGATGAGAGCGAACCGTTTCAGTATCCGTAATGGGGCGAGGAGGTAGTTCTCTCTTTCTCTCTGCCCCCTCTGCTGACACCCGTGAGCAATGATGAGCTGGTCTTCCAAGATAGCACAGACAGAAGGATGAAGGTGCTGCAAGGACGAATCTACTACCTACTTCTCGGTAGTTACGGCTCTCAGGACGGGAATACCCCCCCAGCAGGCCGACTAGCCGTTAATCCGTTAAGACTTGAACTGAGATGGTCCCGGCGGGAAAATAAGTCAATCGACACGACTTTGATCGATCGATACAGATCAGTTGTATGTATTCCCTGTAAGGATGTAAGTATTTCATTCGGGCATACACACAAGGCCCTTGTCCATGACTAGAGGGAAACTAGTACGTGCGTGCCGCAGATGTGGAGAGCTTGAATAAAGGGGCACATTTTCGGGCCTGAACCAGACAGGTCAAGCACGCCTCACCTGGACCGCTGATGCTGCTGATATGAGGCATCAGAATGCCTGTAGTTACCAAGTTCTTTTCGTCGGGCCAGGTTCCTTTTCTTTTTTTCTCGTCTTCCTCCTCCTCGCCTTCATAACCTCCCCCCTACCTCTCTGAGAGCCCCCGAGGAAGTACATATATTCTACTCTGTAGATTTATGTGTTTCCTGGTGTAAGGACGTATGTAAAGAGATGTATTTTATTTGGGCCACTCCCTGGTCGAGAATTAAACGCTCGAAAGGGACCATTTATCATCTCTCTTCCTCCCCCCTTCGAACCCTGGCCTGCAGATAGTTTACAGGGGATTGGCTGAGCTTGGTCTCTGTGGAAAAGAAACGAGAAGAAAAGAAAAGCTCCCTGCCCTCCTCCAAGCTTCCGTTGGCACGTAGGACAAGAGGGAGGCCATTTCTCGCAGCTCTGAGTGGCCAACAGTGTCTGACGGAGGGAAGAAACCAGAGGAGAACGGGGGCTCTCGACTGGACCGAGGGGCATATCCCTTCTTCGGGGTACTTTTTCTGTTCTGACGGAGAGACGAGAACGCAAAGGGAGCCGTTATTTTAATTATTCTGTGCAAGAGCTGGACCGCACAGGGCAAAAAAAAGGGTCCTCGACAGTCAGTCACCCGCAAGCCACCCCTTTGGTGGAGGAGTGAGATAGAGATGCACAGGCGTGATCTGTAGTCTGGATCGGTGGCCACCTTGCCCGTATCGACGGGGTGATCAGCCGCCTACCCTTGCCTCTGCAGCAGGCGTTGACGATTGTGTGCAGGAGGTGGTGGTTGGTGCTGCTGCTGCTGACGATGAGACTGATGGGATTTGGGCGTGGGCAGGGGCCGTTGTCTTGGTCTACGCCACAGGCAGGCCAGGAGCCGGGACGAGTTGATAGACGGGACAGACAGGGCAGAGGGCCCTTGTCCGGGTCTCTCTACCTTTGCCAACTGTTGCATACGGCCCCCTCTTCGGTTCCTATCTCTCTCTCTCTCTCTCGGTCTGTCTGTCTCTGGCTCTGTATCCTGGGGAGGCCCTGCTCCAGGTTGGTGCCGCCGCCGCCAGAGCCAAGTCCGATAGTTAGTCTGGCTAGCTCGCTGCCTGGACGCTGATTGACGAAGCGAGAGAGCGCAGGGAGGAAGAAGCAAAGGGAGAGCGACGGCTAGTAACCGCCACTGTAGATCGATGGATCGCGGGTCACTCGTCGTCAACGTCAACCAACACCGCCATGGTCAGACATCCAGCACCCGCAGCGGCTATGGGCCCGACGATGCCGATGTCGACGGCGAGGTATCCATGGTGGGCAGCCGGGCTCTCCCGTTACATGTCCAGCAGCCGTGTCCGGTGCTGTTGCTGCTGTCCGGTGATAGCTAGCAGCGGCGGTGATGGTGGTTCCTGTCGAGCGCCCCTGGCCGTCACGCAGGAATAAGGAACTGCATGCATGCAGGCAAGCAATGGAGCTGACGCCGGCCAGTGGTACAGGCGACAGCGAGCTAGCACTGCTCTGTGTACGGGGCCAGCGAGCCTGGTCAAGGCCGTCTTCTGCTTCTCCCTGGCATCCTCCTGGTAACCAGCGAGCGGTTGCATGTTGACTACGGAGTACTGTAGGCACTTACGCGCCCGCCCCCAAACAACTAACGTGCTGGAAGGAAATATATATATATATCGACGTTTCGGGCGATTACGAAGCCGAGCACGGAGTACAACGATATACTCCTCGCTTCTCAGTCGCCGAAGGGCTAGGGGATGAAAGAGCATGAGAGCAGCTGAGAAGAGAGCGGTCGATACCCCCAGGGCCAGCTGGCTGCTGGAGCCCTTCCACCCGCGGCGGTTGCAGGCTCTGTGTGCTGCACGACATGCATATGGGAGTACAGACCTTTTCTTCTTCTTCTTCTTTCTTCTTTCTTCTTCTCCGCCAGCTGCAATCTTTCTTCTCCTGCGGATTATCTGGTCTCGCATGGAGATGGGTGGTTGCTTTACCGCCGTGGCTCCTCAATTGGCCGCTTCAGGGGCCATCTGCTACCCCGGAGACCACCAACAACGGAGATTTTGATACTCGATCTATACGCCGTACAAAAATTCCTCACAGTTTGCCCGCCTCGTTCTCCGTGTGGTCCGGGAAAAATACTCAATTGGTGGTTACTTCTCACGATATCCATACTCCTCGCCAGATCACCCGCCTGTTGACAGCATCCTTTACTCCGTGCTTTAAATACATACGGGGTGTATATACACAGCATTGCGGAGGGCCGTGTGTTTCACGCCAGCTTCTCCAGGCCTGCATTCCTCCTATATATGCCGATAGCCAGCCTGTTTCCCGCTGCCGATCGCTAACTAATCATGGGGCTGCATATTCAGTCAAATTCTGAGACTGCCCATGGAGGAAAATAGTCGCTACAGCATACCACTGCGTCCGCCACTATGTTTCCAAGAGGTGTTTCGTTATATACCTCTTAACATGCAGCCATGTACGGAGTATGTATTATTTATTGCATAGCTGGCTGCAGATGACATAGTTATCCCTATCTAGGGTCCCAAAACAGCTACGGCCCAACTACTGGTGAACCATGGGATGCTTCGTTTTCCTTGCACTACTTCAATTACTCGCATCAACTATAGGTAGGACTTGACCAACGTATATACCACCTGTTCCACGTGCGAGCCGCGGTCGACAACGCATCTCTTGGGGCGGGGAGACAGGTCTCTATCCTCAATTGTCTGGGGAAACAGAGACTGACTGAGAAGAAGCAAAAAAAGGGGGGGCGGAACAGGAGGGTGGTCAGGCTTGCTAGACGAATAGTGAAGCGACCTTCAGGAAAGACTGCCAAATCACCGCTCACTGCGAGTTCCCCCCCTCCTGGGCATTAGCCGAATCAATCATATGAACAGATGTCACAAGAGGACGGGTGCTCACAGCCCTGCTGTGTTCTTGATCGGTGTATACGGTAATTATTATCATTATTCTTCTTGTGCAGTATCTCTCCCTACACTCCTACCGTCTCTTCCTCCTTCTGATGCGCGTGATAGCAAAAGTGATTAGTCTCGTCCTGGCCATGGATGTCCCATAATCACAGGCTTAACGACGAGGTAATTTTTGTTTACCTTTCCCAGAATTGAATTCGGGCTGCCTTTGTCCGCCTTGGCCATGATTGCGTCTGATCTGATTTCAAAAGAAAATTGGGGCTGGTGAAGTTGCTTATTTGGCTGCCCTGGGAGGTACATGGGCATAGCTACATGGGCATAGCTACATGGGCATAGCTACATGGGCTTCTACGGGCTGCCTTCTTCCAAGGGACCCCTTGGTAGTCGTCAGTCGTTTCGTAGAAGCCTCAGGTGTCATGGCTTGGGCTACAATCGCTGCTCCTGATGCATAATATATCTACCTATTGAACGGCAAATAAACTTCCCTTGACCTCCATGCGTGGCTCTGCTCTGGCCTCCATTGCCCCCCTGTTCACGATGAAGCCTGGCTCCTGGCCTTCGGGTCATCCTACACACCACTACATCATACATACATCCTATCATACACCCTATCATACACCCGCCTTTTCCTTGAGGCAAAGGAAAAAAAAGTAGGATTCCACACCTATCCCAACCCAGCCCGGCTCAAGCAATCATACACATCGCCTTTCTTTCCCATCCGGCGAAGTCCGAGTATCAGACGTACTGGAGTTCTCCGAAAGACAGGATGAACGGCGAGAAAGGGCAGGGCTGAAACTTCCTCCCCCCTCAGAAACGGCGGGATACAAAGGTGTTCAAACACCTGATACACTTCTCTCTCTCTCTTTTGGTTCAGTCCTGCACAACATCCCGCATATTCTAGCTTGTCTTGTTATACGTGTGAAAACTTGACCCGAGCTGTAAAAATCCTAGCTGGTTTCTTACGGGACTGGGATGTTTCTCCTTTGGGAGAATACATAGATGAGTAACCGTGCATTTTTATTTTCTATTTTAATGTTGTTGAGGCTCCAGCCAGCTGGTTGGGGTTGGTGGTGCAGTTTGCTATATGGAGATGGTTTATCATACCTGGTGGCTGAACGGGTTATAAGACACAATTGTGAAGCTATGCGGCCTATGGCTGATCAAATGATTCCACAGGGCTTTGAGCTACGGCGATCTTGTGCGGGTTGAAGCCGTCTTGGGCGTGGATAGCCATCCTCTATGACTTGGTTGGGACCAGAGACAAATATATATACATGAGAACGGTGTAATAAGTAGGAATATCTGCCGATGAATACCGCAGGTTGGTATTCCTAAGTTTACGATAATATTATAACTCATTCCCACTATGAAATTTGCTTTCCCAGCTTAACTGATATTAATCTAGAGTGACATGAGGTATAAAAACGGCCCGCAACAGCCAAATCAATTTCGCTAGCCAATAGAGATTATAAGGTAAGCCACAATGAACAATGACAGGGTAGAAAACAAGAACGTAAGAGGGTTAACAGTACACGGGAATGCATTGGCCATGTCTCGAAATAATTTGTCTCCTGTCTGGGCGAGTATGAGCTTTCGGCCTACAGGTAATCCGAGGCACGAGCTCGGGCAGATGAAGACTCGGGGAGTGCATCTCGGCTTCGGTACCTGCCACGGCCGTGCGGAGGTGGAGATCGAGACATCGATGCCGACCTCAACCTTGACCTTGATCGTGACCTCGAAACAGACCGGGTTCTTTGACTTGCTCGACCGCGTCGCGGAGATGGCGACCGAGAGACAGAGTAGCTACGGCCTCGAGCTGTGCCACGTCTGGGAGGTGTGGGTGAACGCGAAAAGCTGCGCCCCCTCGCCTTAGTGGTTCGATGGGGATGGGGTGAAGGGGATCGTGAGATAGAGCGTGACTCGCTTCTTGCACCCCGGCGATACCGTGGAGTAATGGAGCGAGAAGGTGAGCGCGAGTAAGAGCGTCTAGTGCGAGTATGGGTGCGGGGAGGTGGTGATGCAGATGCAGATGGAGAGCGGGAGTACGAAGATGCACGCCTATCTCGGCGTTGTCGAGGAGGGGTTGGTGATATTGACCTGGAGTAGCTTCTGCGGCGTCTCCGAGAAGGGCTTCTAGATCTGCTTGAGGGGGTGCGAGAGCGAGAATGGGAGTAAGACGCAGATCTCCCACGCACACTACGCCGGCCTCGAGATGGAGACCGAGAGCGGGAGGGTGACCGGGAACGAGATGACCGGCTGCGTGAGCTGTAGCTGGAGTAAGAGCTGACAGACTCAGAGTCCGATACAGGGGCTTGTATGGCCGGTACAGTTGGCTTGGGTATATTTTTAAGGTGCTCACGCATCTCTTCGGTGAGAACACCCATTCCAATACTGGTAAAGTAGTTGATGGAGAAACGGGTGTTGCGAGGGTTATCGGTCGGGAATATCCCTTCATAGCTGGGTAGAAGAATCGGGTCTCTCAACCGCTCCTGTAGCTTGGTCATTCCCAGCACCTCAGCAAGATCCTGGAAGAGAATCTTGATAAAGATACGGCTACTTGACGTGGTCTCTTCTTCGTTGAGGTGTACGATAGATAAGACATGCCAACCGATGGCATCAGAGCTAAGCATGTGGCTAAAAAAACGAGCAATGTTGCGTAGCCTGTTCGTTTCATACCTGTGGATAGTCTCGTAGTATGTAGCAAAGGCAGTTTCGAAAAGGTCAGCCCATAATCGGTTGATTTTGGCGAATCGCTCTCCGATCAAACCGTAGAATTTGGAATAGGTGCGCTCCTGAGAGCAGCACTCTATGATCATCGATGGCAACTCAGATTCTTTGCCAGTAGGAAGGTTGATTTTCATCAGTTTGTGGCAGCATTCTTCAAAGTCAATGCTAGACATGATTGTTAGGTAAATGGTTCGTCGCAGGTTAACCAGGTCGGTGTTGCTTTGGTCTTTGATATCCATCTCTTTCTCTTCTTCATCTTCTTCCTCTTCAGAGCTTGCTTCTGAATCGTCCTCTTCCTCGTCATCACTTCCTTCTCCAAGAATCTCAGCCTTAAGCTTCTTGTATGCCTCTTCGTGCTCCTCCCACTGAGGATCAAATTTGAAGATATTCAGCCCGTCTTGAACATTGATCTCATCATCCAAACCAACACGATGCGTGATTTGATCTTCTTCTTCAACAAGATCAAGCTCCTCCTTGATGGCAGGGTTGTCCTTGAACTTATCTTTTCTGACCTGAAACAGAACTTCAATCATGTATTGCACACGCTTGTCGATATCTGCTTCGTGCAGAATGTGCCTGAATTGGTCAAACACGGCCAAGGCAATCGGTCCGCTCATTTCCTCCAAATGTTGCCCAACTTCTCGTGTGAGCCCAACCGCAATCTCGACGCTGTCATCGGTAGGCTTATGAAGCAGCAAGAGCAATATCTGAGCAGCAACCATTTCATGTACCACCTGCTGGTTGCATAAGTGCGCAATAAACGTAGTTGAAGAGATGCAAACAGCCTTGTCGTTGCGCTTGAAGGCCTTTCGGAACTGAACGACCAACCGATGTAAGAGAAGCTCTCCAACCTGAGGAAGTTTCGTGTTCACGATGGCAGCCATAGCAGCGTAAATCGGCGTAAACGGTAAACTGGCAGCCTGGGCTTTCATTATACTGCGGCAAAATAGGCCACGGCCACGGACCAGATTTTCACCAAACAGCTCGGGGACAATATGCTTGATGTTCGAAACATTGACTTTGTTGATCAACCCGTTTATCGACTTCTTCAGAGCCTCCCATGCCATCCGTTGATACTCCTTGCTCGACTTATCAGTTATCTGAGCTTGGAGAGCCCGCAGCCTTGCGGGAGGTATATATGTGCCTCCGGAACGCATGTTCAAAAGCTTTTCATATTCAGCCTTTGCAGCTGCTTGTTTCTCCTCCTCTGTTAGTGGTTTGGAGGCCGCAAGCCTTTGGGTTCTGCGAAACCGTTCCGCCAGCTCTTTTTCCCTCGCATCTGGCTCATACTGGCCATTCTCAGCATCATCTTGAGCCGGTGCACGACGGCGACGGTCTGGCGACGGTGAACGCGAGGTTGGGGACCGCTTCCGAGGGACGGATGCGCGCGGAGAATAGGAAACTCCTGGCGGTGGAGTTGGCAGGCGGACTGCCGACTGCATTGCCATCGTGTCTGCCATCGTAAGTAAAGAGTGACAAGTGCTGTGGTGAGCAAGAAGAGCTCGCTGGTTGAAAATTGTAGGTCCAACTCGAGTCAAAGATCGCGAAAGTTTTTGAATAGATATTGGGAACTGACTACATCACGTGATGGTTTCGATTTTCGATACAGGGCAAAAGGTGTTATCTGTTCGCAGCACCAGGATATTTTCTGATTAGGACCAGGAAGTGAAAGAAGTGAAGAGAAATAAAAAGAAGTACGGCTGAGCCTGTAGCCCACCTGATTACAGCCTCACTTTTACCTCCTGACCGTCGCTCTCCCTCAGATATGGTAAAGTTGTTCCATATGCGGGCGTTGAAGGAAAGAGGAGCTACATGGCTAACCAACATCACAGCTAGGCCAACTGTTTGGCTTTGCCATGCTGCTCGTGGCAACCGCAGTGTTTCTCTACTATACGGCATGGACTTTGTTGATGGTCAGTTTATAACTTGAGCTCTACTTCCTCGGCTTGGACAGCTAATTGACTGCTGTTTATCTAGCCATTCGTTGATCAGGGACACCCTCTCCATGATCTCTTTCCACCGCGAGTTTGGGCCATCCGCATCCCAGTGATACTGACAATCCTTGGATCCACGGTGGTTGGCACATTCCTCGGGCTCGTCATGATTCGAAGTAACCGGAAGAAGGCAGCGAAGGCCAAAGCTGCAGCGCTCAAGAAGAAAAGCTGAACGAGCTATCAAGAGTTACATGACAGGCGGTTACACCATTATGACCGCGCTATGCCGATGAAGATACAAGTCATCATCTTTCCTTGGATGGTTTCCTCGTCATTGCTATTCCCTTTTGCGACATCTTTGAAGCGGCAAAGCGTGCATAGATTTGTGTACTCCGTACGCATTCAATGATAAGGGGCGTTGCTCACGGTTTTTTCTTGGTTTTCATAGTATTTATGGGGCTATTAAACAGCGGACAGGGACGGTTAGAGCATTTCCTAGTTCCAAAACATGTTAATACATAATCATGTATGGAGTATATCTATATATTGGCCGTTAAGCTACCGTGTATATACACCCGGTTGTAGCTGTGACCAGGGGTGAATGACCAGCAGGATGACCGCCCAGCGTGCTATCTTCACAGTCACCCGTGGCACCGTCACCATCACCACTCGCCTTTCTACTTCGCACGCTCTTCCCACCGCCGTCTCTTTCTTCTCTCTCCCCCTTTATCTCCTCATCTTCCCCGTCTTCTGCTACCTTTTTCTCTTGTCTTCCATCTTCCCCTTTTCTTCCGCCCGTTTCATCATCGCCTGAACACGTGAGAGTCTCTATCACGTGCCTTATTAGTCATACGTCAAGTGATGAGGCTGTTCCTGGAAGTTTGCCTTGTTTGCACTGTCTTTCTTCCCCCATCAGGACTAGCGCCAACCCACAAAAAGAAAATAAAGAGGGTCCCGCCCATGACCGCATCGGGAGCCGTGACTCTCACCCCGGCGGTTCTTATTTAGAGGAAACATCATCGACCTCAACCTCAACTTCTCCCCCTCATGCAGCTTTCTTCCTCCTCAACACCACAGCCAACCAGAGAACCTACCAGCTACTGAGAAACGCCTCCGTCCCACGATCTCCAGTTTGCAGCAAGGCTGGTCTATCGAGCTATCTGACCCTGAGTGCTGCCTGCAGCTCCTGGCAAGGAGCTTGTTTGCCCCACTGTGATACCTATCTTCAGCTCCCAGAGCTGCCTAGTTAACACTGAGATCCTTTCCGCGGGTTTATCGCGGATCAAGTTGTTAGTACTTGGTATTGCTGTAAGTACTTAACCGACGTTAAATCCCCGCATTTCAGCCCATCTGTACTCTATTCCGTCCTCCTTTTAAAGCTGACATTTTACAGTTGCCATATACACGCAAAGAATATATAAACCATATTTCAGCAATATCTGTCATACTCCCTTTGCCTAGGAGATAAAAAGGGCCGGGAGACCCTCACGGCGGCGTTGTTTAGGCATAGGGGTTGCTGGGAACCCTTACCGCGCTTAACACGTCACCTTGTATGCCGCAAGCGTCTAAGAGCCGCCACCAGAGAAGCCAGTCACCAGCCCCTAGTAGCCCTCTCTCCCAACCACCACTTACATCCGCGAACGTGGCGAAAAAAAAGAAGCTAGCAAAGAGGTCGGACGATGCTGCTAGAGGCGACCATGATAGTACGACTAAAAGTGAAGCGAAGGCGATTTTTGATGAATCGTGAGTAAAGTATATATATTGCTAATATTAAACGGTGAATGCTAATTTGATACTCGCAGGTGCGAACCTTCACCAATGAGCCAGTCACCTGTTCCCTCTATGCCGCCTATGAATCCGGCAGTCGGCCCTCCAAGCGCTATCGACTCACCGGCCTTTGGACCTTTGGACTCCTTCTCACCTTCTCCTGGTGAGCAAGATCTGGCCACGAGAACAGATTCGTGGGCACGAGCTATACCGTTTGGGAAAAGCCCACCAAATGATCCCGCAGATGGAGTTGGATTTGCGGAATCTCCTCCAGCCTTCACTTTACCGTCTCGAGGAGACGCTTACCGCCAAGCTTCTCCCTCAACGTCTCCTCCGCAGGCTCGACTTCGACCACCGGGTTTTGCAGATGCAACACCAGCTTCCACGCCGCCCAACAGCCTTCCTCGGGATAGGCAGCAACGTTATTCAATTAGCAGTCATCGTAGCAATAGGATGAGTTTTCCGCCCCCACCTCACCTCCCACAGGCGCATTTCTATTCTGCACCTGACGTTGATATTCCTGGAGCGTCCCAATCAGGTGCCAAGCACCATCAGCAACCTGGGCATTCATTTTGCGCTGTTGAGCCCCTTCCCGGGTGCTCCTACAAGTCTGCCAAGACAGGAGGCAACGTGATCCTTGTCGGTCGAGACGGTGAGCTGGACGTTCTTGGAATCGAAAATTCACGAACGAAAATAATAGGATCTATTCAAGGACTGAATGGAAGAGTTATCGATGCTAAACTCTTAACATGGACCGCTGGAGCTGATCCTTTTGCGTCGATACGGCCATTAATTGCTCTTACCATCCATGGGATAGTTCCAAAGGAAGAAAATGGCGCCTTACCGGCTTCCTCTACTGAACCAGAGCAGTTGGATTTCCTAACCGGCTCGTCTCCAAAGCAAACAACAAATGCAAGGCCAGACATTCCCCTAGCGCAGACGAGAGTACAGGTCTACTCTCTTAAGACTAGGGATCTTGTTTCAACCTTATTTGCTACTAAGCCAGTTCCATGTGTCGACACCTTTCCTGGAGTTGCTCCATACGTACCTCCACCTACAGCCAACCTCAGGACCCTTGCCAGCGGTAATTTGGTTATTGTGGCATCCGGTACAAGTGGCGAAGTTATGGTATTTGGTGTTGCCCGTCCTCCTTCGCAGCCTATTTACCAGTGTATTGGGAAAATGTGGACGAATGTACAGCCAAAGGAAACTCGAAGGTATTCCAGTTCTTCTGCCTCTACTGACACAGACGACCCACAGGCAGAGGCTTCCCGTACAGCCAAAGTTACGGATATACCTGTTCTTTCTGTCAGCGGGCGTTGGCTTGCTGTAATCAACCCATCTCCAAACCGAGTTTCACTTCAGGGTGCAGTTCCACCCCATATCACGCCTAGAAAAATTTACGGAGTTGATGCCCATACGCCTCCATCCCGACCTTCCGTTACGTGTGGTGTAGATTCTGGCGAAGGTGAAAGCTTCCTGAACAAAGTTGCAAGAGGTGTGACCCAAGAAGTATTTAAAGGAGCACGATGGATTGGAGACCAGGGTCTTCAAACTTGGAACAATTATTGGAACAAGGATTCTCAGACTGGTAACTCTACGCCATTACGCCGACCACAGTCCATGGACCAGCATAGCTTTGCAGCGGATATCTTACCTCCCACGCACGCCCAAGAGACTCAAACTCCTCCATCGAACGAGCCAGACCTTGTCTCCATCTTTGACCTAAAGCCACTTGAAGATTTTCAAGATGGGAAATCCTCAAACCCACACCCAATAGCTACTTTCCAGCCTCCTCACGGATGCAGCTTCCTTTCGTTATCGCCAAATGGACTTATGCTACTCACCGCGAGCAAAAAGGGTGATATACAAAGCATCTGGGACTTGATGCAGATTCGTCATTGTCGATCTCGCGCTTTCCTTGCCGAAGATCCGTCTTCTACTGCCAAGTCCAACCCCCCTGCTACTCATGTTCGACAGGTCGCTCGGTATGCAAGACTGACCACATCAACCATACGAGATGTCATATGGACGGCACCTAACGGCGAGCATGTTGCCATTATAACCAAGAAGGGAACAACTCACGTCTATGAAGTTCCGCCTGCTGCGTTCAGATGGCCACCACTACGGCGGTCAACTGCTGTCGCACCCGCAACGAATGCCGAATCTTATATACGTGACGAAGGAACTGACGATGGCCCTCGCAATGCCTTCTCGAGTGCCATGAAGTTAGTAGGTGAAACTACACAGCCGTTCTTAGCGGCTATGCGTGGTCGAGCTCCTAGTGTCGGCGCAGCATTTGCTGTAACCAAGGGATTTGCAATTCCGTCCGCTGGTGGTAAAGTTGTGGCTGCAGGCTTAAGCAAATCAGTGGGTGCTGCCACAGAAACCATGAATAACCTCCGATACGTGGGTGAAAACAGGCTTCATCCATCCAATTTTGCGAAAGATAGCATAGGTGCAAAGGCCGTTTGGATTGGCGATGAGCATGGCGATGAACTATCCGTCGGCATCATGGATGGTGGATCGTTCAAAGTATACCAAGTCGGCAAAAGCTCCGCTCCGCCAAAGCACAGAAAGCGAACTCAACCATTTTTTGGAGGCAAGATACTAGAGGCACGCCTCCCTGCCGAAATGCAAAACTCCTATACCCACGAACAAACTATCATCCGAGGCCCAGACACCATCACCGGTTCCTGGTATGGGCCTACACACCATCGCCCTGGAGGTAGTTCGAAGATCAAGTCACCACCCTTGGCCCAAGCTGAGATCGAGACGCATGCTCCCTACCAACCGTTCCACACTGACCGTCGTGTAAGCCTGATGGTTTACTCATCGAAGTATAGCGGATCTTCCAATTCAGAGCCGTGGGTATTTGGAAATACCATTCCGACCCATAAGATTCATTTGCGCAATGCCTCTCAGAGCGATATTGAAGATCGGCCCGATTCCGAAGGTATAGCCAAGTCTCGCGAAATGGAGAACCTTATCAGCCTAGGAGGTGAACATGTCATAATAACCACACGTCGCAAACGCGGACGAGGTCAAAGTGGGGATGACGTTGTTGAGGATGGGTTTTTCGAAGATGATTGTGATGTCCTTGACTTCGCGAGGGATCGTGTCTAAGTAACACAAGCACGTTTCGAGCTTACACTCGGTCTAACGTCCATCGAGGAGATCATCACACACTCATTCACACGCAACGGCCTTCGAAAGGTGTCACTAGGTTCAACACCACAGCTAATATCTCTCGTTCTGTTTTGCCTGTTGTTTCCCCAACCAACACCCTCTGCCTGCATTACCTTGACATATTTTCTCTGCTTGCTTTGAATTGTGGAGGCTGGAAACTCTGGAGTTGGAGGGCAATATTTCCATTTACATAATCTTATCTACTGACATGTCTACACAGCTTCATCTTGATTTCTACCTTTGGTACTTGATCATTTTCATTTTCATTTTTTGTTGGCCCTCTAACTAGAACATAAACCTCTATTTTCCCACCACAGTTTCATTGAGGCGGTCCCCTGTTCCTGCTTTATCCGGAGTTCTGATATGTTTTGCCCACATCTGCATATGAAATGAGTAGAGTATGCTATCTCAGATTTGCATACTTTACCTCTACTACATCTTCCCTATTATCCACGATCATATTTTTCGTTCACCCAGGAATCCCCTTTGTTGGTCTTTTTGTTTTTGACTCAATTCTATTGTTAATAATTCATTGCTTGGGTCTAGGGAGTTAATGAGGGCTTGTTAGATGGATGGTTCTAAGGCCAGAGGTTGATACACAGGTTACTATAAGCAAACTAGTTGACTATATAATAAACACAAATCAATCAAGATATATATACGTGCATATGTATATGTATATACATCATCCTCTTGTCCCTGTCTATTCTACCAATCTTGTGACTACTGCTCAAACCCCGTTTGTCTCGTCAGCCCACCAGCGCTGAAACTCCTCGATCCTAAATGCCCGCTCCCTCGCCATCTCCCGTCCAGTAACTGTTTTCATCATCCCTTCTAACTTCACCAACTTCTCATTAAAATGCTCAATCGCATCGTCCAAGTCAGGCTCCTTGTCACCTTCCTTGCCAGCACTTTTAGACCTGGCTCCAAGAAAGGTGAAACATCGTGCTATCCCCACTGCGCCAATTGCGTCTAGACGGTCTGCATCCTGCACGATGGCGAGTTCAGGATACCCACCTTCAGGACTGATCAGATGCTGAACGACACTAGGGTCTTTTATCTCAGTCGAGTAGGAGACGTTTGAAACTATGGTCTGAACTCTCTGCGCTATGCTTTGGTCTGCATGGTGGGATATCAGGGTATCGTAAACGATGGTGTTGGGGTTAATCTTATGCCGGTTAGTTTGTCTGCTGAAAGAGGTGCATAGTTATCTTATCGCCAAGAGCAATGGTCCTTTATCACCTTTAAGGCTCCTCCGTCCGCTGGTTTGGGAAGATATTTCCTATCAGCTATATCGTGCATCCAGGCTGCGAGAGTGACCACCGTTTCGTCATATTTAATGGATGGGTTGCGAGTCTTTTCTTTTTCGAGGATTGTGTGGGCGAGTCTGACGACGCGTGAGACATGACGGGCGTTGTGGGAGGGGTCGTGGCCTGCCATATGTTTGGCTACGAAAGCAGATGTGCGCTCGATGAGCAGCGCGTTGCTTGACATCTTTCAGTGATGGATTTATGTGTAGTAATGAGGGACAATGTGTAGGGAGATCGAAGTTTTAGTTCTGAGCTCCAGGGCTGTTGTTTACGGAAGTTATTACTTTTTCTTTTTTGTTAGATATATATCTCTTTTGGAATTGGTGGATCAAGATCAGCATTTGACGACATGTGGTTGTCGATTATGATCGTTGTTGAGCCTCATCACCAGAAAATCCATTCAGGGTCCAAGCCTACCTCGGACTACCAGGAGAAAGGTTGATAACTCTACGGAGTACTCCGTAAGCTATTTACCTTACTATAAGCAAGCTTTTCTGCCAATCTTTGTTACTTGATCTGCCCTATTCGGGCCATTGGCCTTGTCTACTCCGCTGGTTACTCTTGAGAAATTGTACGACGATGCTCTGCATATGGAACCAGCCAGGAAAGACAGCCCTAAAGGTGAAACTGGCATTTTCAGCCTCAAATACCAGCACCTGTTATTCCCATGGGCTTCTTCTAGACATACATATACATAGCCCTTCCTCGAGGGCTCGTCGTCGCTACTCCGTACTCGATCTGCGGGCTCCAGGAGGGCTTCCCCCGTGTGAAAAGTGATATTCACGTGATTGTCTTCACTTAGTCAGCTCTCGGCAGAGATATCCGTATCGGGTTAAGCGCGGGCTTGCCTCAAGTTTGAGTTTTGCTAGTAATAACGGAGTAAACTTTATTTACTTTCTCCAAACCTCAAGCGAACCTTCGCTCGCTTGTGTTATTACTATTGCTATTATTATTCCGGAGTACTCCAGGTTAAAGGCGCTATTATTATTCATATCATGACGGCGCTTCAGTGACTGCAAGGACGGGCCAGGAGCGTGAAAGAGGGTGGGTGTCAGGTCTCGGTTGCACGACGTGTGGATGTGTGTTGTCAGGCAGCAGCAAGATGAGTTACAGGCTCCATTGAGGGCATGGCATGGATGGCATGTTGATCATCGCGACGGACAGCAGGCTTTCCTGCTTCTGCGCTGCTCGGCAGCCTGTCCACCACCACCACCACCACAGCTCTCAGTGGCCTCCTGAGTGGACTCGAAACTCGGACACACTGCTGCTCCTCCACCCCATCCTGCCTCATGCGACCGAGCAAATAGTCAATGCGGTTCACCGTCCGCCGACCAATCTCCCTTTCACCAGGTAAGACACCGTCTCGCCAAGCTTCACACCCAGCCAGGGCCTCAATCGACGACGGTGTGATGCTGGACCAGCGCCGTCCGCCACTGATTGGCCTTGCCAGCCCTGCGCACCCCAGGGCCTTCGCATTATTGAAACTCTCCTCGGCAACCTCGTGTATCTGCTGATACGCGTATCTTACCAGGCGCCGGGTCCTGTTTCAGAGCTGGCGCCGCTCTCAGCCAATCGACGAGCTGCGCTACTGCCCCGCGGCCCCACTCATCGCCAGGGGCAGCTCGGTAATTACCAATATCGTATCGCGGCTGTTTGCTGTTTCTTTTTTTGGTGTCATTTTGCGATCTCGCCCTTAAAACTTGGGGATTTTCTCCTTTTCTCTCTCTTTCTCTTTCTCTTTCTCCTTTCTCTTTCTCCTTTCTCTTTCTTCCTCTTCTTCTTTTATCCATCAGCTTGTCTACATTCGCTTCTTCCGTCGTCCTTCGCTTTTCTCATATACTCTACTTTAATCTACATCCCATTCCTTCGAGCCAGCTCCAACTCTCGTTTCTTCAACCAAAAAAGAATCCAGTCAAGATGAAGTTCTCCGTTGCTGCCGTCGCTGCTTTCGCTGCCTTTGCCGCTGCTGCCAACACCAGCTTGACCCCAGAGCAACAGTGTGCTTCTCAGTGTATGTATCAACGATCTTCCCCGTTCGTTGTCCAACAAGAACATCTCTTCGAAGAAGGGCCGGTCATATTGTGATCAACGAACAATAAGTCCAAAAAAAAAAATTGGCAGAGCTAACACGACTTTAGGCCCTGAGAAGGACATCTGCTGCAAGGCCATCTGCTTCAAGGTCCCTTGCCCATCCAACCAGGACGCTAAGGACACCACTAGCTGTGCTGCCAAATGTCCTACCGACCAGGGTGCTGTTGCCTACGCCAAATGCCAGCAGGGCTGCATCCAGTCTCACTTCTACACCCCCGGTGCCACTCCCACCGCTGCTCCAACTGGCTCCTCCAGCGGTGAAAGCACCGCTACCACTACCGGCTCCAGCCCATCCAACACCTCCGGCTCTGAGACCACCTCTGGCTCCGGATCTGAGACCTCGCACTCTGGCTCTTCCGGCTCCTCCCCATCTGCTACCCACTCCGGCTCTGGCTCGACCCCAACTCATTCCGGTGCTGCTGTCAGCAACGCTAAGGTCCAGCTCGGCTCTGCTGCCGGTGCCGTCGGTCTCCTCGTTGCTGCTTTCGCCCTCTAAGAGCGAAACTGACATGCCATACCTTCTCTCTTTCCCACTTCTGCAGTCATGTCGCTGTATCATGTCAATAACCTAGTTCTGGGCCATGTTGTAACTCTTTAATTGATAGCGGGATGACTTTTGGAGTACAGATCTTGATTTTTTTACTATTTTTTAACGCGCCAGTATCATAACTTACCATACCCATACCAATACTATTATACCTAATGCCTCTTATTCCAGTTTCCATCTTCTCTCGTAGAGTCCTCGCCAGTAAGGGTATGATTGTCAGTCATCATCATCCGTTGCCGTGCCGCCGAGCTGGCATCAAGCTGGCATCAAGCTGGCATCCTTCTGGAGGTTGATATATATAACTAAATGCTTGCCTCTAGCTGAGCCGCGAAATGCAAGCTCGGCACCCTAACTTGCTGTTCTGGCTCAGTCTTCGTCGACCGACTGCGCCTCGCTGGGACCCCGCGATGAAAATGAACGCGCGGATGGCTGAGCCTCTGTTTTTTCATGCGCGGAAGAGTATCACCTTTATCACCAACCCTGGCTTATTGCTTCTTCGTCTCTGGCGCTTCCCCCCATATACAGCGTATCGCACAGGCGTACATGTCTGCATCGGCCCCATCCTTGCCCGTCTACCAGGTCTAGAAACTGACTGGTTGCTTCGCCCTGCCAGAGACCACGGCTGATATCGCTTGGCCCCTCCCGATTGATCGACGTTGAGTGCGCGCATCAGCTGAAGATTATGCACCTCCGTCCCTCTCATGTTGTTGTTCTCCGTGCTCTGTTGATGTTGAGTTCAGTGGCTACCAGGGACCATGGCGGGGATAGTTAGCTCACTAACTAACTAGCTATTTACGTCATTCTCTTGCGGTATAAATAGTTGGTTCAGATAACTCACGGATTAACCATCAATCTTTCGTTATTCAACGAACTAACTAGCACTGCACTGCGGCTGGAAAAGGAGAGCCTACCGTATCTTAACCTGCCTCTACGAAGTACACGATACGTACAGCTATAGGCGATAGTCCGCTCCGAAGCTTAAGGCAGCAGGGCTGATAAATAGATTTACAAACGAGAAACGTCGCTAAGATCAGAGCGAAGGATGCGTTAAACCAAGCGATTTCGATACTTCCACCTTTCGCATCTCTTTCGACACGCAAGCCGTCCATCGTCTTTGCCTCCCGTCGCTCTCGTCGCCTGTGGCCATCATGTCGGTCCAGATCTTCCTTAACCGGCCGCATCCGTTCTTTACAAACCTCGACTACATCTCCGGCAAGGCTGTTTTGTCCCTCTCGACGGAAACAGCCATATCTTCCATCAATGTCAAGCTAGAGGGCGAGAGTCGGACTCGTTTGGCCGCAGCGAAGTATCCGCATAACGAACGATCGGACAAGAAGCGGACCGAGATTGAATTGCACAAGGTCAGAACGAATATTAAAATATCTCAGATAAGAGAGTTAATGTTAACGCGGGGCCATGTCTCTTTTGATATAGGTGCTGTATAAGGTCGTCACTGTCTTCCCTGGGCCCGATATCCAAGATAATGTGTCACCTAATACATTCTATACCCTCCTGCCGGGGGTGTATGAATATCCTTTTCAGTTTAGGGTGTGTACGGTATTTTGGCTATAATATACGAAATGCTGCTGTGAGGGCTGGCTCGCTGATCTGATGGTTGTGTAGTTCCCATTCAACAACGACTGCATCGACAACCCGCTACCCACCAATTTGAATATGGCTGGCATAAGGGTAGAGGTAGCCCGAGATACTAACCAGCATATTCGAAGGACTCTTCCTCCTTCATTGACCGGGTTTCCCGGTGAAGCGGAGATCAAATATTATGTCAAGGCAACCGTCGTCAGGCCGCAGTTTTACAAGGAGAACTACAGAGGAGTGCGCCTTTCTCACCCTGACATTTGATTAACTAACACCACTGTTGGGGAAATTTTTACAATACTGATGTTTCATTCAGTTTTCGGATTTCAAATTCCTTCCTATAGAACCGCCGCGGAAGAAGGAGATTGATAAAGAATCATATGCCAGACGAGAACATCAGTTTAAGGCTAAAATATCACCGCAGTCGCCGCAGTCCCCACAGTCCCCGCAGGAGAAAAAAGGACTCTTCAAAGGGAGTACTGAAACCGAACTGTTGCCTCGTTTCTCTGTCGATGCACGCCTGCCTAGCCCCCCGATAATAACATGTAACGAACCACTACCACTCCGCATCTTGATAAAGAAGCTCAATGACAGTAACGAGATTGTTACTCTCCAGCTTCTTCAAATAGAACTGATATCCTACACCCATGTCCGTGCCCAGGATCTGACTCGCACCGAAAGCGGAAGCTGGGTCATTACCACTCGAAGTAATATTGGCTTGCCGCTAGGAAATAGCAATGACCGGGCAGGTAAAGAGTGGAAGCTAGATGCGGAAATGTGGAATCGCATCCCTCTCCCTAGTTCCGTTCTTCCGTCTTTTGAGACATGCAATTTGTCAAGAACATATGAGCTGGAGATACGAATTGGACTGGCCCATGGGCCAGTTGGGTCGAAGGTACTCCTCTTGATTTTATCCAATTTCATTTCACCACAGGTTATTTATTTATTTGTCTATTTATATTTTATCCTACCAACCCCCATGGGCAACACATAACTGAACATATACTGACCATTTACCATAGAAAGGCCTGATTGTCCTTCCTCTACGGATGGCTGTTCAGGTGTATTCCGGTATTGCACCGCCCCAAGCACTCCTAGACGCTATGAATGGACAGCCATCGAAGGGGTCAATTCCAGCTCCGGTACAAAACCCGGCCTTCGGATTTGGTCCTGGGCCGAGCCACATACCGCCTAGCCAGCCTATGGCAGGCCCTGGTCCTGGCCCCAGCCCGATCCCGATGAACCCGAATATACCACCTCCTCAGCCCCCACGTCCAAACCCGGCAAACCACCCCGTTTTAATGGAAAACTACGAAGAAGCACCCCCACCCAGCTACGAAGATGCGATGGCGGATGCTCTTGCGCCAGTAGATGGCCCGAGGCACGAGTATAACCCACTTGCCGCATCACAACGCTCTTCATCATGGACCTCAACTGATGCTCAATCTTCAGCGCCCCCAGGTAACCCTAGGAGTAACAGCTTCGGCCCCTCCGGTTCCGGTGGCTATGATATAGATTCAAAAAGTGACGAACGACTATTCCCCAGCGAAGCTGGATCACGCTCACCCACGTTCGAGTTCACGAGTATCCCGCCTGTGACAGTCGAGAGAGATGTTAACCAGCCATCTCATCCTTCCTCCACGACCGAAACTGATGGCCCAGAAAATAGCAACCTGCCAATGCAGAAACAGATGCGTGAGTTTCAACATTATCAGACCACAGGCCAACTGGACGGCGTATCCGAGTCACCAACCACATCAACAACAGATCTGCCTTCAATGACATCCTCATCAACAGTATCACTTCCAATAGACAGACCGCCTCAACAGCCGAGACGGATAACGCCAACCATGCCGAATTTAGGTATACCTCCTAGAAAACCGGTTCCTGCACCGAAGAAGATGAATTCTTTGCCTTGAATTACATACTCAGGATGATTTTCTTTCATGCGCTTCAACCAAGCGGTGGGCTGGTGGTTAGTTAATGGAGTTGTGGGGCTGGTATCTTGATTTGACTTCAAAATTATCACTGTTATCATGAGCGTGGGGCGTATTTTATTTCTATGATGGTACTAAAGGAAGCAGGAGTTGACTCCATGATGGTTTCTATGTGGCCAACCGCTACCGTTATCAACTACCTGGTTTGGTATTAGGAAGAGCGGACAGAACTATGGCCCTCCACCTTCCATAGGAAAACTGATGGAGATATATATATCTACTGAATGATCGAATTGATATCATAGATTACGTCGTTTTCTTCATCTCCTGCCTCCACTGAACCATTCACGGTCTAGACTGTCTGTTTTGATAAACGCCCCCTACTTCGCCGGTCTAGCAAATCGCCTCGGGGCTAGCTATGGAGTTACATACAAGCTAGTTAATTAACTACGCCAAGCTCCCGCGTCACTTCAAACCTTAAACTAACTAACGTGCTGAAGCTCCTCGACTTTTCAACTACGAGCTTCTCCTCCCTCTTCTCTACCTCTCCCTCTATTGTTCTTGACCGATTCAGTCTTTTATCAAGAGGAGAAGATACATCTTTCGTTGTTACGCGAAACGAGAGGATAATTCCTGGCGTGGCCGTTATCGTCACTACCACGGATGCGGACTCACCTCAGTCGAAGAGGCGCGCGAGACCGCTGCAGACTGACCGTTGAACCATTAACCAGCGACATTGATAAATTACACGGCAGTGACAATGCGCCTTCATCTCATCGTTCATCGGCATGAGTTGCCTGTCACGCGCCTTCTATGGAGTACGCCCGTAACGCAAAGTCCCAGCTTATCGCTATCCCGCCAACCGTCTGCGCTGTCATCATTCACCAGCTCCGGCCCTGCCTCCATACGTACGCTGAGCGCCAGTGGAAGTTTCAATACTGCGTATACTTCAGCCTGTGTCCCAGCTGCTGCAGGCGGAGATTCCAATTATATCATCTCTCAGTTGCTGGCAGATGTTAACGAGGTGGTACCATTGGGAACGCCAACGAGCACTGGAGATGCGGAAGATGATGATGGCGGGCAGTGGCATTTACATGACTATGTTGTGGAGGTAATGGGTTCCGAATGTTTGCATTTTATGCGTGTTGACACACTGCTTAGAGAGGGTGATGAAGTTGTGTAAGTGTTGTCCTGAAATCCTAGTATTTTTACCTTATACTAACATTTGCTGTTTTAGGATTCGTCCTTTAGATCATGAAGATATATCCGCCAGAGTAGCGACTGGAAGACGACAGGTTACCGATGACGGGACGTATCTAATTGATGGCGTTCCCTGGGGGAAATCATGCCTGGAGCTAAAACGGACAACCGCATCTCGGCCTTCTATAACAATACCCCCCAGGAATAAGAGACGGCGACTTGAAGGCCCAGATCGGGGTCTCGGTGAAGTGACAGACCCACATGCTCTTCTCAATGAACCGACTGTGGTCATTGAAGACGTTAATCATCGAAAAAATGACGCCGAGAAGTCGGAGAAAGAACCTGCTATGGCGCAAGATAATGTGGTCATTGAGGAGACGCAGGAATTGAATGCTGTAGTTGAAGGAGATGAAGAAGACCCAACCTCTGCCACTGGTGGTGTACCTGTCCCTTCGCAGACACCTGCGGTAGCGGAGAGCGTATTAACCACTCCCCCCACCGTTAAACGACATAAAACAACACATGTCGCTTCGGAGGGAGCTCGGTTGCCGGACCACGAAGAAGAAAATCAATCGGAAGATTCATCAAGCAAAGATTCATCGGAAGACGAGACTTTGAGCTCTAGTGAGGATGAGTCTAGTGATGACAGTTCAGATTCAGACTCGGAGTCAGACTCTGATTCCAATTCTGAATCGGAATCCGATTCTAATTCAGATTCAAGCTCGGACACAACTTCTAGCTCTAGTTCGTCAAGTAGCTCGAGCTCCGATTCAGACTCGGATTCGTCTTCTGGTCTTAGTTCCGTCCCGAAATTGCCCACTTCTAAAAAGAAAGACACACTGCCCAAATCGGAATCTTCCAAGCAGAAGAATAATGTTGCGAAAGGAAAAGTCAATCCCCCGGGTCATGGCACTTTACGCACTAAACATGGCAATTTGAGAACAAAGTGGCGCAGGAGATTGATCCGACTGAAGATTGCTGGTATCCTGGATAAGGATGCGAATTTTGAAGACATGCGCGCCTGGGAGAACGGACAGGGAGGCTCTGAGGCTGTAAATGCTTTGCTTGAAGCTAAAGAACAATCAGAATTTGAAAGAAAGAGAGAGCAGCTACTACGTGATATAGATGAGGGTGGAATTGAAGTACCGTCGCCATCAGAGAAGAGAAGGAAACATAAGGAGACCTCATCATCTGTCGAGGTAGATTGTCTTGCAACCTCTACACCAGCCAAGGATAAAGCTTCTCCTGTTCTAGATGCCCCGGTTTCCGCAAGGCAGTCGAAGTTAGATATTGACAGCACGCGGCGTCTTTTATTTGGATCTCTAGGTGTCAAGACACCAAAAACGAAGGAAGACGAAGAGCAAACCCGGGCTAAACTTGCACAGAAGAGTAGCCTGACCCCAAAAGCTACACCAAAGGAGTCTGAGTGCGTTACACTTGAGACTTCAGAAGAAGTACTCCAGCCAATTGAGAATTGGCAAGCCAAGATTACACTCAAGGCCACCGAATGCTTTTATGATGGCGTTGAATTATCTACACCTCCATTCCCCTTCGTGCAGAGATGGGATTCCAACGCCCAAGCTGTCATTCAGGAGCTACGCGCAAGCCAGGCTCCCCAAGGCAAGAAAAAGAAAAAGAACAAACGGAAACGGCAATCCCAATCCAACGGCGAGAACGAGAAGGAATACCCGGAAGAATCTGGCCAGAACGAGAATCATTCAAACGAAGATATTACCCTTGACTACGGGGATGAGACCGGTGGCCCAAGCATGGATGTATCTCTTGTTGTAGAAACACAGCCAAAGGCGAGGTCTCAGAGTGATAAGAGAACGTCCAGCTCCGAAAATCAAGGCCTCATGGAGTGTGGAGCTGGAGACCTGCCTCCTCTACCTAAAGATATGTCAACACTGCCCAATGCGGATAAAACCAATCTATGGCCAGGTGCGATTTTTGCATTTAAACAGCTAGACGTTTCCAAGGCTACGAATTGGCAGCCCCAAGTGTCTTCCTACCGCACTGCAATTGTGGAAAATGTGAACTCTGCCAACACAATAACTTTCCGTCTTGCCAAACGCGATCGAGATGTAGCAGAAAGCGATGATGCCGATGACGGTCAACCACGAAGTTATTCAAAGTTCGAAATGCCTGGTTTCGATGACGTCGAGGAAGAAGACGATGGGCTGCGGGAACTTGAGATCCAAAACCTCATTGACGCAAAACTCATCAGTGCTCCTCCTCGTGTATCTGCAAGTAAAATACAGGAGCAACTTGCAGATATAGAAGAGGAATTGGTGAGGCTCCAAGAGGAGCAAGTGCTGGAGAATCTGGCAGATGAATCGATAAATCTCGCCAGTGAGGTGTCAGAGACGCAAAATGTTCGCATGTTGGTGTAATGTTAAACCCCTTGTACCATGTAATATATTTACTTACTATTTTTATGCAGTACTGAGAATGCGCCAACCCTTAACTCTTCACAGCCAGAGGATATCCAAGTTTCTTCTCCTAGCCGCCGGGAAATATCACAGCTCATTAAAGATGCTGGATTTAGGTCTTCTGTCAATTCTGAGCTGGCTATCCCTGACAAGGTAGAAGTCGTGGAAGACAGTTGTCCCAATTTGGAAGATAAGCGGCAGGAGGACAGCGAGGGAACTGTTTGCGAACAAAGTCCCGAGGGCCAAACTGTTGTGCAAGGAAGCGTTGCGCTTCCTCGAGATGCCGAGAAAAACGATGCAGCAGGGCCGCGTGAAGATAGCCCTGTTGTTGAATCACCTAAATTCACTGGCTTTGATTATGACTCGCCTCCAAAGGGAGCAACAGAAGAAACTCCGGCAGAACCAGGACCACGTAAATCTCCAACTCCTCCCGTGAATTCAACGGTTCCAGAAACAGCAAAACAGTCACCTTTATCGGCTCTAGAGGATTGGATATCTGCTCAAGGCTCCACCCACGGTAGTGAGAAGGGAAAGAATCCAGAGCCGCCGAACAATCTGGATGAAACGGATGACGATGACGACAGTGGTGATAGCAACCCAAACTCACTCGTACCAAATCCATTCTATGAAATAGACAATCTCTCTGAGAATGATCCAGCCCCGTCATTGGAAGAACTGCTTGCAGAAGCTACTTCGTGCCCGCCAGTTTCATTAAAGCCACCGCCAGCTGCCCACAAGCCTGCTGGGCCGTCCTTGCCTTTACCAACGGCCAATCCGTCCTTGAACACGCAGGACTCGGCTGCAAAATCAACTTCACCCCCGTCACACGAAGACGAATTACCGTTGCAGGATGGGCAGGTCACTGCGGAGAATAATGAACCTCTTGCGTCCCAGATACCAGATGGTTCTATAGTGGTAGACTTGACATTATCAAGTGATCCTGTGGCAGGTGGTGATGATGATTATGTCGATGAAGGTGATGACGGCTTTGAGGAAGATTCATCACTTTTCCATGGGCCTGGGTGGGTAACTAAACGGAAACCAAAGACAGCGGCGAAGCCAAAGCCTAAACCCAAGGGTAAGGGCAAAGCCCGAAGTTCAGCATCACAAGGGAGTCAAAGAAGTGGTCGACGGCCGAGATTAGTGATTAAAAGGAGTACTGTTTGATTTATGGAGCATTTGCATGTAACGGCAAGGGTATGGCGTAATGAAGGATGGGAGGTCATTTCACGTGTGTGTTTACGTTAATGATGACAACGTAATAGCAAATTCAGTATGCAATATCCGAATCTTACTTTATCATCTTGGTGCCCTGTGAATAGTAAGAGCCATGGGTAAGTTGTAACTACAGACTGAAAGACTAATCATTAATCTCGGCTCTCGATAACTGCCAAGTGACAACGTCTCTCTACATGACAACCTTCCCAGGAAGATCAACAGTCAACACATCAGCTCCAGCTACCAATTCCTTCTTCCCGGGCATATTTCCCCTTCTCATGAGCTCAGCGCTCTTTGAGATGATAGGATCCATTCCCATAGTAGCAACTGCTACCACTGTGTCACCAGATGTGTAGAAAGCAGCAAACTTCGCATTCTCAGGCTCCCCTTTCATGACAATGTCATCGTATCCGTTCACTGTGTTACCACAGTATCGGAGCTGAGCACCCAATGCTGACCAGAAAATTGGAATGAACGGCTTTGGCTTAATAGGGTGGCTGGACGTTGACAAGTGTGCGATTGTGCGCCCAACACTACGGCCGGAGTTCTGGGCCACGCTCCAATGTTCGATACGAACATGGAGTTTACCATCCTGCCCTCCAGGGCCGTGATAAGGGTATGTGGCAATGTCTCCTATGGCGTAGACGTCCTTCAGGCCCTGAACGGCAAAGGACTCATCGGTCCTGAGAGAGCCATCTCTTTCAAGTTTCACAGCTGGGTTCTCTTTGATATATTCAGTTGCAGGAGCAACACCAACGCCGAGAATGACCAGATCAGCCGGCAATTCCGTTCCATCCTTCAAATGCACTGCGCCAACCTTGGAGGAATCTGCAGAACAAGGGGTAGCTTTCTCCACAGATGCAGACAAGTGAAATTTAACGCCTGATTTCTCCAGATTACGTTGGAAAATGCGGCCGACTTCTGCTCCCATGACACGCTCTAGAGGTGCAGATTCCATCCCAACGATGGTAACCTTATTCTCTTTCGCCAATGCATTGCCTACTTCCATACCGATGAAAGAGCTTCCGATGACGACAATGTTCTTACCCTTCTCTCCCACTGCAGCCAGGATAGCCTGCACATCCGTTACATATCGAAGAGTAAAAACATTGCCCAACTCTTTAAACCCTGGAAGTGGCAGCACTCTAGGGGTTCCTCCTGTGGCCAGAACAAGTTTGGTGTATGGGTATGACTTTCCAGACTTTGTGGCCACGGACTTCTTCTCGAAGTCGACAGAAGTCACCTCATCCGAGACTGTGTTTACGGAAACGCTCGAATACCAGTCCTTGGATCTGAGTTCGATCTTTGAAGGATCCGCTATCAATGCTTTGGAGAACTTTGTCCTGTCCAACGGGAGGTTAGGCTCTTTCGATATCATGGTGATGTTTCCACTATATCCAAGCTCCCTGAGGGACTCGATGGTACCGAATGCTCCGCTCCCGCTACAGAAGCCTAATGTTAGCGACATCTATACCATCCCCGAGAGAAATGTTGGTGTATGCATACCCTCCAACTACAACGACGTTGTCATTTCCAGCAACTTTGCAGGTCTTCACCGGCTCTCTACCCCATGCTTTGAGGGATGCTTCATCCGTATGGACATAAAACGCTCCGTCCTTTTCAGAAATGTCATACTTGTTCAATGCGTTAGGTGCGGGAGCATCTTCCACATCTCCACTGATCACATTGAAACAGGCTAAATACCTATCAGCAGAGCTCTTTTTTTGGTTCTTTTACGAGGAAGAGTAATTTCACAAATGAAAGAGTCAACGTACCTCCATGCCACGGACAGGTTATTCTTGCATCAGGAGAGAGCACACCCTTGACCAGGGGAGCTCCGTAATGTGTACATCTAGCGGTCATGGCATGAACTTGGTCATCAAGTTTCACGAGAAGAAGCTTCACTCCCTCGAGTCCCTCGACTTGTACCTCAACCTTGTCTCCATTTTTGATCTCGCTGGGCGAGGAACCGATAAGTTTGTATTCGGGCATCTTGGAAGAGGCCGCTGAGGTTGGAAACCGTGCAGGTATAGCTGTGCTGAAGGTCCGATCTATAATATCTTCAATGTTAATATTTCAATCCTTAAGGAGGGAACTAAAGGCACGTATGATAGAATCAGGGTCTGGGACTGTTCCCCTGGGAAGACAAGCTGTAAAAGAAATGCGGGGGAGAATACGGAACTTGACAGGTAGCAAGCTCGCCAGTGAGCTCGGTCTGAGAATTGTCTTGAAGATATACGCTTGTCCAACGGGATAAGAGGCCTGGACCGGCTGAGAGTCGCAGTCTGTCTGGTAGTACGGATCCTGGGCCAGATGAAGACTCGACAAAGAAGAAGAAGATGAGGGGATGGAGGATGCGGCATGCTTTTTATATGGTACAAGGGAGCCTTTACTCTGCGCAGTCAGAGCCAGACAACAGCCCTGCAGTCCTCCCTTCTTTTTTTACGGCGACTCTTCCACCATGCGATATATCTACCTTGCTAGATCATCTGTGACTCCCGGAAGACGTCTTCTTCGGCCTCCAGCTCGACTTAAACCGCCGTCCTCGCACTGCGAGCAGCACTGCTGTGAGGGTCGTGTAAACAGCGGGAATTATGTCATAGGCTTGGCTGGCGTTGGGCGGTTTGACCAATGGCTGCAAGCTGATGGTCAGCAAGGAGGACGAGATTCGGAAGAAGACAGCGACGGGTAAGATGAAGGTATAGAAGAAGGATTGTATAAATGCATCTAGATAAGGAACGAAGATGGTCGTAGGTAGCCTACATGATACGTCTAACTGTTGCCTGGGGCTATTGGCAAAAGCAGCCGAGATGTTATGAGTGACGTTATACTCGAGTCTTGATATTGTATCAGCGGTAGTAGACTCTGCTTATATCCATCTGCTATCCATGCGGATAAGGAGCTATAGGAACAATTTCCCAGTTTGAAAAGAGAAACGAAAAGTGTGTAAAAATAATTAAAAAGGGAGAGGAGGGAAAAAAGGGGGAAATTCAGACACCAAAAAATGATATAACGCAAGAGCTTTCACAATCGTACCGGTCATGCTCTTGTCAGATTATAGACGTGGTGAAATCAGGTAGATATCGCGAGACAAAAGAGAGTATAAAAATTCGTTGCGGCATCACCGAATGGGAACAAACCATATTTCTTTCCCTTTTATATCAGACATAGTGCTACATCTCCAACCTAGTGTGGCGGGTTCAGAGGATGCTGTCGAGCTTTCCCTCCGATTTGGCCTCCTTGACTTGCTCAAAAACCTGCAACAAAACAATAATTAGCATAAATCACGGATGAAGGGCGGATAGGGTAGCTCGTAGCTCGGGATGGTTACCTTTAGCATCTTGTTTCTGGCACCAAGAGCATTCACGCCACGGGCCTCCAAGCCTTTGTCGTCCAACTCCACCAGCTCGGTCCACTTAAGGTCCTTGAGGTTGTCGGTATACTTGTGCAAGCGAAGAGACCGAAGCCAGCCGGGTATGTCTTGAAGGAGAGCTGGGTCGGTTGGGTCTTCTGGAGGCTTGGAGCTTCCACGTCGACCGCGTGGAGAACGACCACGGGGGATTTCAGAATGATCAGACAGGTATCCTTCGTGACTGCCAGCGCCACTGAATTGACCGACACCCATTCCGCCAAGAGTGTTACCCAAGTAGGCGTTAGCGTCATATGCAGCAAGGAACCCATTGTTCTGAGGAGAAGTAAAGTTCATCTGTATCGGCGTTCCCTGGAGGGCCAGTCCAGGAGAATTAGGTCGAGAACGGCGCCCGCTGATGGCAGCTTGCTGTTGAGCCTGCAGAGCAGCAACCTGCTGGGGGTTCAGGATTTGGCCGGAGTCATTCACCATTATGACATTGGTTCCGGGAATGGTGTTTGGGAGGCCAGGGGAGACAGGGGGCTGGTTGTGCATACGGTTCTGATTGTCATTAGAACGAGTGCGGCGGTATTTGCGTGCATCATCCAAAGCAATGCGATTATTGACAGTTGACAAAGCAGCAAGTTTCATAGCCGTGGCGTTGGCAATCATATCAGCCTGGTTTGGTTGGCTTTGCTGGTTAAAAGACGAAACCATGGGGGTATTTGTCATGGAAGCCCAACTTGCGTTTCCCACATTGTATGGAGAAAGAATTGGAGGCTCTGGCATAAGATCTGGAGCAGTGATGGTGGTGCTTTGGATATTAGAAGGACCTGACGAAAGCGGAGAACGAAGGCCAGCAGACTGAAGTGGCTGAGAAAACTGGCCCATCGGTTGCTGCTGTTGCTGCTGCTGCTGCTGTTGTTGCTGTTGCTGACCAGACGACGACTTGGGCCGTGCAATGGGGGCCTGTTGTTCTGGTGCTCGGTGAGTCCAAGGAGAAGCAGGGGGCTGAGGCAAGTTATCCTTGCCAACATCTGTAGTAGAAATGGTAGGAGCAACGAGTGAAGACCTGTCTCCACTGAACACTGCACTGTTACGGTTCGACACGGGAGCATTTCCGGTTTGTTGGGTGAGCTCAGCTTTCTTCTTAGCAATAGCAGCTGCTGCGTCAGGAAACATGGCGTTGATAGTCGATGTATCAAGTCCTGAGTTGCGCTTATTGCCAGGAGAAGGTGGTGGGCGAACCAGAGAATTGCGAGACCCTTCTACGTTTAGCTTCGACATGGCATCACTTAGACGGTTGGACATGGCGTCTGGACGTTTTCCGTGTTAGCGTGTACCTAATCCGGGGGCTAGAGAAGCCCATAGTTTTGGGAAAGTAAACATACCCTTTTCCCCAAAGGTTGCTGGAGACAACACACTAGACATCGGATGACTCTGGGACATTTGCTGCAACACCTGGATGAAAAAGCGGATTTGAACTTGGGTGGTTTGTTGGAGCAGAGCGTAGAGAGCGGCGGTTCTCTCCGCTTCACTCAACACACGAAACCACTGCTCGATGGCGCTAAGCTCGTCCTTGAAATCTTGGTCCAAAGTGGCGGCAGCCATTTCTTCCAGAGTCGTCTCATACTGATCGATGTCTGCCAGCCACTGCTGCGCGGCCCGATCGAGTGCATCGTCCGCATTATTCTGACCCTGTGACTGTTGGTTGAAGTACACTTCGGAGGCGGGGCGAATATTGCGAGCAGACAGCGGTGGGGCGAAGCCGGACATATCGGCAGAGGCGCGAAGTTGATGAGAACCCCCTAGGGTACGGGATGAAGACGGAGGACGAAGGGACGACTTCGAAGCCTCAGGGGTGCTGTTTCGGTTTCCAATAATGTGGCTTGCCATGGCTGTTCTCGGGGATATGGAGAGAGGTTTCACGGCCCGGCTGAAGAACGGAGAGGAGTGTATTAAATTTTTTTGGGTTGGTGAGTAAAGCAAAGCTCCTGCAGCGCCAGCTGAGTTTGCAAAGGGAGAGTCAGCCACGTATTTTCGAAGGCAGGCAGATGAATAACCCCCAGAAGAGCGTCGGGGGCAATGCCCAAGCGACGGATATGATTAAGGGACAGGGATCCGAGTATTCAGCCAGAATCCGGACAGCTGGTTTGATGGAAGGAGTATTTTTTGTTCTTGGACAAAAGGTCGGAGGCAGACCAGGCCAGTGGGCTGCACGGCGGTTTGGCAAGTAGTATAAATGTATTAATATGAAGTAACGCAAAAAGAACTCGCAACCCGTCGAGGATAGGGTCTTGAGGCCGGGCGGCAATTAAGGCTCGAATCTGGACACGGGGGCAACAGCGGTGTATCAAACACAGCGGCTAAACCAGCAAACGTCTGAACTAAGGCATGAGTCGAAGCATAAAAGACCGGAAAGGGCGCGAGAGGAGGATGCGAGAGGGAGGGAAGGGGAAACGAGGTTTCGATCAGGTCGGATTCTGCGAGCGAGCGAGGTGTGAGGTTTGTGAGGATGGAAGAAAACGAGGTTTTTGTGGTGGAGTTGGAGTTGGGATGCATGTTGAGCTGACTAAGCGGCGGTTGGCATCAACCTCTACATCAGAGCATACGGAGACGACAGAGACGACGAAAGACGATGAAAAGACGATGCAATATGGCATTTTAGATCTCTAGTCTAAGGTTGGCTTTGGTCTGCTGGGGGGCGCCCTCAGGCCGGCCGGTTCCGCTGCAGCTTCCGTCTCTTCTGGCGTACATCAGTTGCGTCTGATCTCTGCGCTGCCGCCTTCTGACCCCCGGCAGCGGTCTTGCCTGCTGGTGCATGAACTTCTTTGGCGGCCCCTGACGGCTCGATGTCGAACAGTCTCTTTGGTCTCTCCCGGGTCGAGGAGTCATTGGATACCCGTCTGCTAGACACGGCCGAATCGCCCGATTCCGACTGATCCACGGACAAATTCAGCGTGCTGCCCGCATCCTTCTGCATACTCGAGTCTGTCGTGAAGGACATCCCCAGTCTCAGCTCGCCCAGGCTAATCGACCCGCTCCCGTGAGATACCCGCTTATGCCACCCGTCCATCATGGAAACAGCCTCCTGCCATCGCTGCTCCATCTTCTCCCACCCACCCCGCAGTCGAGCAATCTCAGAGTCCCGGAGTTCCACTTCTTCCAGGGGAACAAAGGATGGATTTGTAAGTAGGGCTCGCAGCTGGTCAAGAGCAGCATCCATTTCCCTTGAAAGTAGTTCGTGCCGGGATAGAGCGGCATCTACACCTTCTTCTTTCACTGCAGCACCCTCACCAACCCCCTCCATATCTCCATCCTCCAGTCCTTGCAGTTCTCTTAACGTCTGAATTGTATCCCGAGACAGCTGTATCAACGCATCGTTTTCATCACTTAAACTCTGGCACAGCTGTGTCAAGTACTCTGTTGTTTCTTGCTTGAGACTGTAGCCCAGTACATCCGCAGTGCTACCCCCCTGAGCCACCTTTCTACTGGAGGTGTTTGTCTTCGGTGGAGGCTGTATTGTAATAGTCATCACACCGTATCCCATCTCTCTTTCCACGCTGTCGCTCGGTCAGGTGGGTTTTTAGTTTCTGCAATTCAATATCTCGTTTGCGGATGTCCGTAGCGCATTGGGTTCTTATCTGCTGAATCGACGATTTCATCCGCTGCATCTGATCCTTTAGGCCACGTATAGTAATGTCTGCATTGCGTATTGTGGATTTAAATGCTGTTTCTTGCCCTTCTGCAAGAGCAATCGAGCGAGACAGTTCTTTCGTTTTGCCCTCTAGTTGTTCCTATTCCCATTGATAACACCGTCAGTCTAGGGTCTATCAAACCACTCCACTTACTGGCAATGGAATCGTGGATGACCAAAACTTACCACCTGAAGTGCCTGTTTTGCTTCTGTCTTTCGGAGATTTTTCACAGTAGTGGCAAGACTTTCCCGTTGTTCTGCTTCACGCTGGCGGGCGGGAAGTGTCAGTGCAACCGTCGCAGTATCATAGCCAGTAGGAACGGGGAAAATAGTAGCACTCACGTCTCTCCGAGTCACCAGATCGTGGATCAGGTTAATAATTTGTGCCATCGTGTCTTCAGCGCCGTCCGCAGCGTTCCCCGGGTCTGCAAAGTCGATCCGTTTTCCATTCCGCAGAAGTCCCCGGGCGAGAAGCAGATTATTAAGATATTCGGAAGCAGACTGCAGATTAAGAGTGTCCATCTTCGCGCTCGCTGCTCGCTGCTCGATGCTCAGTGCTATCCAAAGATGACTCTTCTTCCTCGTCTGCTGGACTGCAACGACGCTCAACACTCCTGAACTCCTTTAACATCCATGGATGGAATAAATCAAAGACGGAGAAACTTTCATCTGCAATGGGTGGAACCGCGACCTTTCCCAAAGCGGAAGTTTGTCAACATGAGGCTGCATGTTCACGTGATATAGGGATCTTTATTTATCCGAAAGCCTAATTTTAGTTCCTTCTTTGGCCCGAATTCCAAAGTCTCGTGTTCACTCGAGATGAGATCATTTTCAAAGGGCAAAAATAATAAGAGAGTAGAAAAGAAGCCGATATCTTTACTGCTAAAACAGTACGAGCAAGGGTTGGCTTTTTTTTTTTTTTTCAGCTTAAGCTACGATGGAAGCATGAGCAAATTAACTAGCCACTGGATCCGCTTTCTGTATGTATTGCTATGGAAATGATACCCAACGTAATTATCTTGGCCCCATGGTGGAAATTCCGGCCCTGGCCCAGAAACAATAACGGTCCCAAGACAAACGTCTGGAATCTGACATACCACTACTGGCCTATTATTGAACACTCTATCTGTTCTCCTGACAGGGTTGTTTCCCTGATTTCGCTTGACGTCTGCTTAGGCTCGCTGCGGTTAAAGTCTTGGCATGAGCTATGACATAAGCGGCTTAAATATGCTCCAGGCACTGCCGCCCGCAGGTCGTTCGACCCGAAATCTCGGCCATGGAAGGAGAGCTGCACATCAGTCAGAGGCTTCTCAGTGCTGCGGCCGAGTGGCCAATACCGGCTGTTTCTCGGGTGCATCTGGCTGTATCCGATAATAACCCGGCACAATAGCTGCGCAACGGTGCGTGCTGGAAAACGGTGCAACAGACCTTGTGAGGGCTTGCCTATCGTAGAAATCTGCTCCGTAGCCTAGTCTGAGAAGACATGCAATACCTCCGTACCTAGACCACCCAGATACGTAGTACTTACATGTTCGTGCGGTGCAGAGAAGACCCCGAGGTACTTAACTACTGCCTGGAATGTTATATCAGGGTGTTGTTTGGGCGCGGATGCGGGAACATTGCCTCACGTGACGGACACGAACCAGAAACACGACCGCCGCCATAAAAGACGAAGATAAAGTGGTTTTTGGGACCTCCAGAAAAGCTGAACTACTCCGTTGCGGACTTGATGAATTGAAAGAGTAGCTTGCTCAACGTATAATGACAAACCCCAAAGAAGTCACTCCTCCCCCTACTGCTGCTGCTGCTGCCCCGGGTGTCAAGGCCCTCGCTCACACCGCCCCTTCTCAACCCAACTCGCCTCTCGCCAAACGCCCCAAGACCGAAGCCATGGCAGTTCCAGAGACCACCGAGACTGCGCCCGCTGTTCCTGCTGCTGCTCCTACCTGCCAGTTGCAGGTCAAGAAGCTGGTGCCGGAAGCCCGCGCGCCTACCCGAGGCTCTGCCTTTGCTGCCGGATACGACTTGTACGCTGCAACGGATACCGTGATTCCCGGCAGAGGCAAGGGATTAGTCTCGACTGGGCTTGCAATTGCTGTTCCAGAGGGAACTTGTAAGTGGTTAAGCGGAAGAAAGCCGGTCTATATATCTTTTTAGGCTAGCTGACATGGTGGTAGATGGAAGGATAGCACCCCGCAGCGGGCTTGCGTCGAAGAACTTCATTGACACTGGAGCCGGTGTTATCGACGCCGATTATCGTGGAGAAGTCAAGGTGTTACTGTTCAATTTCTCCGGTGTCAACTTTACCAGTACGTCGTATTACTATAGTATACTCCGCTTGAAGGGGTGATGCTAACGTGTTGCAATACTGTAGTCAAGGAGGGTGATCGAATTGCCCAGCTCATCCTAGAGAGAGTAAGTTTATCTCTGGCGTTGGCAGCTCAGTCAGAAGCTAACACACGGCTTACAGATTTACACACCTGAAGTTCTTGTAGTTGAGCAATTGGAGGAAAGCGTGCGTGGTGCCGGCGGGTTCGGAAGCACAGGTTAAAAGAAAAAACGATTTTCAACGACTTGGAACTCTAGATAACTATGATTTTCTGTTTCTATTCTAATGTCCGGTATACATGTTTATGCGCACATGGCAGAATAAGAGACTACTGCTGCTAGAAAGCAACATCAATGGCAATATACAGGCTGAAGACGGATCACTGGTTCCACTCTCTCACCTTGAACTTCACAACAGGGTGCCTTACATGTTCGACGTTGCGCACCAGCCTAACCTCGGCTGCCTTCGATGCACGAAGCCTGGCCCTCTTCTCAAGCGCGGCCTTGCGTTCTTCCTCTGGAAGATGAGCAAACTCGGCGTCATTACTCTCATCTTCGTTCTGATATCTCGCTAGCTCTTCGTTCCTAGCAATCATCGTCTTCTCCAGAACCGTATGCATGCTTGCCAGAACCTTCTCAGTGGCCTTGGCAAGCGGCAGATTCGTCGTCGCAACACTGTCTGGAGACACCCAGGAAGCCGTTTCACGAAGCGCGGGTGAATCATTGAACACGGCTTCACGGAGTCTTCCAACCATCAAGGCACCGAACATGTCGCCCGTCCCACTGAAGAAGCAGTCTAGGCGAGGTACTTCGACTTTAAATAACCGAGCGGAGCGGTCAGACCGCATGGTAGAGCCGAAGACTGCCAGCGTGTTGTCTGGGCGTGCATCTTGGCTGACGGATGAATTATCTGCTGTTGAGAGGGAGATGACTGATGATGCTGATGAGGATGGCAGTCCTGGTAGCTGTACAGATGTAACAATGACATGAGGCACGTTATATGTCCTGTGGATGACGGTTACTGCATCCACCAGGTTTTCAGCTGAAGTAATTTTTATTCCAGAGAGTAGCCTTGGTTTATTCTGTTAATTTTTGTGTGGTCGTCGATTTGATTAAGGAGACAGCCTGACTTACTCTGCTTCGAACTGGTTTGGTAAGATCAAGTCCGCATGGGGAACGAGAGCCTTATATGCCGGCACCACATCCTCGTTAACATATATACGTCCCTGGTCTCCCATGACAGGATCAAGCACTGATTCTCATCTGTTAGAAGGGACTATGACTTTAGCACGTACACATCGTCATCGACTCACCCCAGAAAAATGAGCCTGGCTTCTTAGATGCCTTCTTCTTCAGGTCCATGGCAATAGCTCCGACTGCTTCCACTGCGGTGGCGCTGGGTGCATATCCAGTCAGCAAAACATCAAAGTCAGTAAGGTAGCTCTGCCGTAGCCCTTCGTATAGGTTGGTTATTTCCTGGGCAGACGACTTTGTCCCCTTGAACTGTCTATATCCGGTATGGTTGCCTATACATGGATGGTCAGTATCTACTTTATCCGTCTCGCTCGACATGCACCGCAGGGTTGAGAGCGTCTCACTGAAATGAACCGTGTTCAAGGCAGCCACTTCGCAGCCCAAGGACTGCATGGCAAGCGTGGCCATCGTATTGCCGACATATCTGTGTCAGAGCAGTTTGATTTAGTCATGTAGACAGCCAGTTTGAAGAGTGTTCCTGTGCATCCGGGGCCAGCCCAGCAGGGGGGTATATTGTGGAAGGTAGGACATGGCCTTGTCGAAGAGGGAGTACCAGGACAAGCAGAGGGCTTCTTCGTACCCGTAGACTACCTTCAGATACCCAACATTGCCAGGGTTAGCAGAGGTTGATATCACCATTGGCCCGTCGCCAACTTAACCGCAGCCTTGGGGGCAAAACCAACGTACATGACTCGCAATCGCCAACACTTTTGTCTCGGGCACCAGATCGTCAGATGCCATGTTGGCGGCTCTCACGGCGGACTAGTTAACAGCTAGCTATCTAGATGGCTGAATGGACGCTCCCTTCTGAAACTATGCCTGTTACAAGCTGTACAGGATTCCCTAGCTGGCCTCTTGGTCGTGGAGTCGCGGCTGATGGAACCGCCGGGAAATTTCCTCTGGCCGAATGACTCGCCTTCGCTGCTTCGGCTTCCGGCTTCATGTAAGCAAAAGGGCTGCAGGCGCTAGGCAGGCAGCGAGCTACAAGTACCGGTCAAGGTGGCTACTTGTCAGTTACGAAGCTGCTTGCTGTGTATTCGGTAGTTATGTCTGCTGGAGGCCGCAGGACAGAGCAGCGAGGCAGTTGGCAGCGAGACAACCAAGCAGCGGCCTGTCTAGCCAGGCATCTGTATGGATGGCCTCAATACATACAGTCCTATCCCAGCTATCACCTTAAGTCATTCTTATTAACAAAGTAACCGGTAGTATGAAGGTGGTAACTAGCCAGCTAGTCGAAGCCAAAGCTTAGCCTGGCGTCCAGGACAAATGACCATCCGCCGGTCATGCCTCACTTCTCGCTTCCCACAGACATCATCCTTAAAAGGCGACGGGATGGACACCGGCTGAGGCCAGCGGAATACACAGCTCTTCTCCCTCCGCCTCCTTCGCCTCAGTACAGACGGCAGTAGGCCTGTCTCGCCCGCCCGCTGCCTGCCCGCCATGGCATCCCAGGTCGTGCGGTTCCTGCGTGCAGTCTCCAGGTAACGTCGTCCGCCAGCACCGCCAGCACCACTGCCTCACAAGCCCACCCAGCTGGTTATAACAAGCAGCAATATTCAAGTCAAGGGAACCACTAAGCTAACGATGTAACTACTCCACAGGCTTCTGGGATGGATATAGTATGCTCGCCCTTCCCTTACTCCCCTCCCCGCTGCCGGCCGTCAGCCTCACAGGCGGACATCCCGAAGCTGCCCAGAGGAATCACATAGCTAAAAAGAACAAAATATTACATAGCATGCTCTGCTGGTCTCTCTCGTTCTACCCGCAGCCGATCAAGAACTGGCAACGTCGCTCCACCTCGGGCTCGACCATCTCGTTCCCAACCTCCAACGTGCTTGGCTTCATCTGCTACGCCGTCTACACCTCGACCTTCTACTTCTCACCCGTCATACGGCACCAGTATGCCGTCCGTCATCCAGAGGCGCCGGAGCCCACCGTGCGAGCCAACGACGTTGCGTTCGCCTTCCATGCAGTCCTGCTGAGCGTGTTGACGTATTCCCAGTTCTACCCGATGATATGGGGTTTCAAAGCATCGGCGCACCAGAACGTTAGCGCCCCTGTGGCCGGGATGGTGGTAGGATGCGTGCTGTGCATACTCGGCGTCTTCCTCCTGGCGTGGTCGAAGGGCGGTAACGATGCTTCCGATTGGGCCTGGATAGATGGTGTATGTTTCCTGTTGTGCTCCAGCTGCAAACTGCAACTGTAACTGCAACGGCTTTGCTGACGCTGACGGTTGCATTTACTAGATCTATACCATGTCATATGTCAAGTTACTTGCAACGGTAGTCAAGTACTGTCCCCAGGTGTACTTGAACTACCGGCTAAAGTCAACGGTGGGATGGAGCATATGGCAGATCCTTCTTGATCTGATAGGTGGCATCCTCTCCCTGATACAGCTGGTCATTGACTCCTCGCTTGAAAACGACTGGAGCGGTATCACAGGCAACCCGGCGAAATTCGGTCTAAGCAATGTGAGCATTTTCTTTGACTTTATCTTCATTGCCCAGCATTACATCCTTTACCGGAATAGCAATGGGTCAAAGGAAAGTGATGATGAGGATGAAGATGTTGAGAGTCAAGCTTCTGTTCGACAACCACTACTTCGGCAAAGAGAAAGAGCCTAGCTGTTGAAAGTGGTACAAAGAGTACACTTTCCTCCCTTCATAGTTTTTTTTTATTTTCTTGGATAACTGGATAGAATGCTGCTGGCGCTGGCTGGTTTGACCTACTCTAGGAACACGGAAGGGCGTGCGCCAGCTGTTTTGGGGTATTTTCTTGAGCAATCCTCGCTTCTTCCTCGCTTGATGTATTATTTGTGTGTGTTCACCTTGCTTTATTCTTTAGCTACTTTTAGCTATATTGGCGGCTGCCTTTGGTCCGGCCTGTCAGTTGGTCGTATGATGCGGTCATGCTGACCTTACCGCTACTTTCTGTCTGGCAGGGCATGCCAGTTGTTCTCCTTCCGCCCATGGATATGGATACCCCCCCGTACACGCCGGTGCCTATCGGATTCTTACCCCTGGAAAATAAAATCAATAAATAACGAAGCAACCTTGGAAGGCATATAAGACACGCAGGATGCAGAGGCGGACCAGAATCAGAACCAGAACCAGAACCAGAATCACATGAATCCTTCCTTTTTTTTCCCCCCTCCTTCCTTCTCTCGTTCTTTTCTTTTCTTTTTTTTTAATTGGAGAAATAAATATATACACGGGGCCGTGAGCTGGTTACTTATTGAACGAGGTCAATCAAATCGATCAGCAATTCAATAAATTTAGTAGCCCCCATTTTACTTGCAAGGTGTCCGTTATCCTAATAATAATCCTATCCTGAAACCCTCGTCTCAGGACCTCGATGTGTGTTGTATGATGTTGATGAATAATGGCCGTGTTCTCTTTTTCGAAAAAAAAAAAAAATTCCCCTTCCCCGACGGACAAAAAAAGAAAGTGAACGGAGCGATGAATTCTTTTAGCCTTGTAATGGAATGTGAGGAGGCGGGCATGGCAGCGGGAACGGGGATGGGGACGGGGCTGAGATGGGGTTGCTCGTGAGGCGGTGTTTCGCTTTGCTCCCGAGACGATGGCGAGGAAACAAGGAAATATAATAAAATGGGAAATAAAAGTGTAGATAGATGGATGTAATGGAACGTATTAAAGAAATACATAGAAAGAGGAAAAAGCAACGTGGTGTGAAAAGAAAAGAAGAATGATCCAGCCGATGTTTGTACGCCTTTGCAAACCGAGTAATGAGCAAGATGGATAGAGTAGCCAAGGTAAAATGATTGAGGACAAGAAAAGAAAGCCAAAAACGAATGAAGAGAATAGAACCAGACCGGGCCGGATAGACGAACGAATGGAGATATGGTATGATATGGAATGGCAAGATGGATGGCACACAAACAGAGTATATATATAAACTATATATATATATATTCGTTTTAGAACAGGCGGGAGGTGGAAAGGAAAGGCAATGACAGGAAGACAAACAAGCAAAGAAGAAAACATCAAAAACACAGTTCGCTCTCGCTCTCGCTTTGAAATGGGACAATATAATGACGATGACGATGATGATGATATGATGATGATGATGATGAGATAGAAGGACGTGGGTCGTGGTCGTGGTCATGGTATAGTATCTTGAAGAGAGAAAGAAAGAGGGGGGAGGGAGGGAAAGGGGCGGGGAGAACGGAATATGGCTAGGCTCTGCGCCTTCGTCCACGGTTGGCGCCCTCGGGTCTTTGAGCAAGGACTTCTCTGAGCAACGGATCCTCTCTGTCCTTGTCGATGTGGTGGACGCGGACGTGTCTGTTTAAGGCAAAGGCAAAAAGGGGAGAGAAGGTTAGCACAGCCACATTACATATTATGCTTAATGCGTTGGGGGTTATGTATGGATAATATAGGGTGAAATGTTGAATAAGCGCCTGCCTGAGGCACGGGAGGCGCAGCGGAAGTGATGAACAGGCAACCACGCTAAGAGCGGGATCGACAAGGAAACGAAGAACAAGGGCCGAAAAAGAACGGTTACTTCTTCCTTCCTTTCTTTTTTCTTTTTTCTTTTTCATCTTGGGCTTGGTAACGTACCGTTGGAGATTATCAGGTCTGGGATAGCGGTGTCTTTGGTCCGGACAGAACGGACAGACGTAGCCTGGCGAATCGTGCACAAGGCCGTGGCGGATCATCTCATTTTTGCGCTTGAAGCCCTTTCCGCCCTCGGAGCGGGGACAGCCCTGGACGGGGCAGTAGTATGGTCGGAATTGAGAGTGGACATTTGCATGCGAGCTGGGACTTTTGCATTAGAATGAGCTTAAAAAAAAGCGGTAGGGGCGGGAGGGAGGAGACATACTTTAGAAGGTATTGGGTCTGGAATGGGAGGGCGACACAGCCAGGGTAATTGCATTTGAACATGCCCGAGGACGCGATGGAAGAGGATGTGGGCGTTGCATGGCGTTTTTCCGAGCCCTCCTGACTGGCTGGGTCCGTGGGGGTAGGATATCCTGTACTTGGGGAGTCGCTGTACTGGGAGCCAGGCTCACATGAGGACTGAGACAGGGATTGAGAGTGGGACTGGGAATGAGACCGGGAGTGGTCTGTTTTTAGCCTGCCTGGCCAGTAGTGCTGTTGCTGTTGCTGTTGTTGTTGTTGCTGCTGCTGCTGTTGTTGGGGAGGCGGCGGCGGCGGCTGCTGCTGGTGGTGGTGGTGCGTAGGAATATCACAGGATTTGGGAGGAGAGCCCTGAGAGTAAGCTGGCGTAGATGATGTTGAGGATAGTAGAGGAGTAGGGTAGAATTGCTCTGACAGGCGACGTATATGTGACTGTGACGAGGTGTGGTGGCCATGGCTGTGCGAATGGGTGTGGTGTGACTGGCGAGGTGAAGAAGTGACTGCCGGATACGGTGGTTGTGGTGGCACGCCATTTTTATTGAGAAAGTGATCCTTCGAGGAGATAACATCAGGGACGATCTCACTGGGGAAGGAGGATCTGAAGGATGGGAGGCTCTGGCAGACAGTGCTGCCGGAGTCTGAGGAGCTGCCAGCAATGGTTGACGGCAGGCTCTGGCCGCCAGTTCCTCGGGAAGGATCCAGGGGGAAAGTATTTAGTTTCTTGAATGTTGTCGGGGTTGCGAGCAAGGGGGGCCTTGAATCCTGAAAAATCGAGGCCGAGAGGGGAGACTGAGAGGTAGGATTTGAGATGATCTGGGCCACCGAAGGAAGACGGGTGGTCGTGGTAGCAGTAGCAGTAGGAGCAGGAGCAGGAGCAGGAGCAGGAGCAGGACTAGCAGCGTTTGAAGCTCCCTCTTTCGAGCTAGACGTAGTAGCAGGAAGCCTGGGAGTAGCGGCAGCGGCAGCGGCTGAGGGATCCGCTGAGGGATTCGGAGGATCGGTCATAAGAATGTCAGGGCGTGGCAGTGGCTGCCCGAAGCTGTGATGGTGACTGTGGTGGTGACTGTGGTGGTGGTGGTGGTTTCTGTGGCTGGTGCTGGTATGGGTACTGTTGTTTTCGGCAGAATTGTTGTTATTGTGATGGTTGTTGTTGTTGGAGGCCGAGATCAAGGTCGGCGACGAGGGTTTTCTGGCTGCGCCTCCTGCTGACGTCGACGTCGACTGGAGTCGTCTCTTGAGCTCAATGTCCGGGGGAAGGGCACCGTCGACGTCCTGGAGACTGGCGGCGTCCTCAGCACCGCTGGTATGCTCCGAGACCGGGGAGGAGGAGGAGCAGGAGGAAGAATCCCGCCTGAGGGGCGCTTCTCTGGACCTGTAGGCAATCTCGGGGTCATTGGGAGCTAGGGACCTCAGTATTAGCTCGTCGCTTAACGCTGACTTGGTTGATCTGCCACATCGTCGACGCTTACGGTCACCACCTCCTCCAGGGCCGCCTCCGCCCGGCTTGCTGCTGCTGCTGCTGTTGCTGTTGCTGTTGTTGTTGTTGCTGCTGCTGGCGTCGACCGGGCTGCAGGTCTCGCTCTTGTCCTCTGGGATGAAGGGCGGAGGGGACTCGTGCGGCTCGTAGACGATCTTCTGCTTCTCGAGGGGCGGAGAGAGGTTCCGGGCGTCGTCTGAGTCGTAGTTCATCATTTCATGGGCGAGTCCAGGTTCGGCGACATAAGAGGGAGAGCGAGAGAGAAGATAGAAAAAGAGAGAGAGAGACACAGACGAGGTACCTCCGGCAGACTCGGACACTCTTTTTTCTTCTTTCTTTTCTCTTCTTTTAGCCCTTTATATTCCCCCCTTTCTTGGTGCTTTTGTGTCTGCCCTTCCTGTGCTGTTCCTTTTCCTTGGGTTTGGTATTCTCGGACGGGCTGGGATGGTTAGCAAGCCTGGCCTGGCACTTTTATCAGCACAGCGCTGGGAGACCGACGAGGACGCAAAGAGACACGAAGAAGTAGACTCGGAGAGAGAGAGAGAAAGAGAGAGACTGAGAGAGACTGCAGGATCAGTGGAGAGTGACAGGGGGGGCAAAGTAGGGACACAGAGCCAACGGCTTCACTGGGTCGTATTCAGTTGGGGAAGAGGCGACCTCAGGCGAAGGACGGGACAGGACCAGCGCCACAACGAGGACAGCAAGGAAGATATCAGAGAAGGAGAGAGACAGAAGAGAGCGAGAGAGAAACAAGAGGGGGAAGAAGAGGAAGACGAGGGAGCAGCCAGGGAACGAACCGGACCTCCGAGCAGGCAGGGGACGTACAGGCTGACAGTCAGGCCATCTGGTCGAAGCAGACGGGCAGCAGGCAGAGAGAGAGAGACACGCTGACAGAAGGCCAGGCGAGACGAGGACGAGGCTGATGCGTCGAAGAACGGAGAACGAAGACGAAGACGAGGAAGAAGAAGCAGAAGAAGAAGCGAAGAAGACGAAGATGAAGACGAAGATGAAGATGAAGATGAAGATGAAGATGAAGATGAGGCTGTGGTGTGTGGATCGGCGGCGGGAAGAAAGACGGAAACCCAGCCGGGAAAAGGCTAGCAGAGCCACAAGGCAACAGAGCCGCAAGGCAGGCAGACGATGATAGAGAGGAGAAGACGAGAGAGAGAAGAGACAGTAAAGAAGAGGGAGAGAGAGGGAGAGAGAGAGAGTACGTACCAGCAGACTTGGTCAGGAAGATGCCAGGCAGCAGCATAAAGATAGGAAGAAGACGAAGGCGAAGAAGAAGAAGAAGAAGAAGAAGAAGAGAAGAAGAAGAAGAAGAAAAGAACAGCCGCATCCGCCGTGTTATAAGGGCGTCCCAGGGCGGTTGGAAAGGAGCCAACGGGGAGGGCCAGGGAAGCGCCAGGGAGGACGGAGACGGCAGACTCAAGAGGACTCAGCGTGCCCTTGGGCTGGCGACGGCGACGGCGACGGCGATGCTGCTGCTGATGAGACTCAGCATGAAGAAAACGGACGAGCTGGAGGGCATCCCTGACGTGAAACGGCCCTGGGGGGTCTCTTCTTCAGCCCCTTGGCCGGGCTCCATTCGTCGGTGCTGCTGATAGTTACTGATAGTCAACTGCGACGATGCCAGTGGAGACCCTCTCGGGCTGGCCGGCTCGACCGTGACTCTCCTGCTGCTGCCCTTAGTCGCATCTATCGCTGCCTGTTTACTGCTCTCCTGGTGGTGGTGCTCCTGGCTGGCGGTGGTGATATCTCGGTGCTGGCGGTTACCCCTGAGCCTCTTCTTGCTCCTATGCTTCGACCATGGCTTCTTCCACTCGCCACTGCTCAGCCACGCCACCGAGCTGAGGTTGCGGTTCTTATTATTACATATTCAGCACCTACGCTTGCTGTCTTATTGACGGGAGCAGGTAATTAGCGGGAGAGACATGTCCAAAGACAGGCCGAGGGCGCCTGTTCAGCCCTGCCGGAGAGACTGCTTCTTTCTGAACCACCCCGGGTCCTTACCCTTACCTATGGGCAGACCAGACAAACCACCACGGACGAGGAAGAGCAAGAAGATGAAGAGAGAGAGAGAGAGAGAGAGACTTCCTCAGGAGAGACACGTGGCAGACATCCGCATGAAGCAAGGGTTGGTCCTGTTAGCATGATGGAGTATATACAGGGGGCCAGCAGAGCCGTAGACGGGCACGGAGTAGAAGAAGGATGCATCAGAGACATGTCATAGAAAAAGAACAAGTTAGTCACAGCTTGCTACTGTTCCTGCTAGTACTGCTGCTGCTGGCTGTGGCATCCCTCAGTTGCAAGACCTTCTCCCAGGCCTTGCGGGCAAAGGGGCTCATCAGACTGGCATACTCCCTCGCCCTCGCACTGCTTGCCTGTCTCAGCGCATACCTCGCTGCGATCCCTTGCATGATAATCGAGCCCCGGAAGGCGTGGAACGCATCTCCCCAGCCCAGCTCTCGCCCGCTGACTGCCCACCCGCTCACTTCCCCATACCACCTCACACACTCGTCTCGCGTCGGCAAGCCTTCGATCCCCTCGCTCCTGAACCTCGTCTCCGCCGGGCCGCCCTCGACGTTGGCATAGGGGCCCGTAAGATTGCACAGGTCTGAAAGCGGATGTCCGATGGTCGCCATCTCCCAGTCCAGCACCCCTATCACCCGGCTCTCCGTGCGGTGGAAGACCATGTTGTCGATCTTGTAGTCCCCGTGGATCAGGCTCGACCGGTCCAGAGGCTGGCTGCTCTTGGTCGAGAAAAAGGCCACCAGCTCGTCAAAGTGCGGCAGCTCGTTGACCGGCCGTCCTGTCTCGATGTCCCGCGTGCTCGCCTGCGCCGTGTGGATCGTCTGGAACGTCGCCAGCTGCCGGTCGTAGAAGTTGCCTGACCGCCCAAACCTGTCCAGGCCCACGCTCCGGGGGTCGACCCGGTGGAATCGAGCCAGTGTCTGCACCGCCGCTTTCCATCTACCACACAAAAGAAAGGTTCAGATATCTTCTTCTTCTTCCACCCAATGGAGCCTTTTTTTTTTTAAAAAAAAAAAAAAAAAAAAAAAGGCAGCTTCACTTACAGCTCTCGTCTTTCGTCTGGGGTCACGCCCGGCATGGCTGGGTCGACAAAGATCCTCCCGTCCAGAAACTCCATGATATAAAACGCCGTGCCGATCACGCTCTCGTCCTCGCACAGGCATATGGTCCGCGGCACGGGCACGTCTGTCTTCTCCAGCGCATGGATGATCTGGTACTCGCGCTCGACTCGGTGCGCCGTCTTGGACAGCAGCTTGCCCGGTGGCTTCTTGCGGAGGACGTACTTTGCCCCGTCGGCGGAGATGAGCTGGTACGTCGGGTTGCTCTGCCCGAATCCGAACTGCCTGCCGTTAGTTACACTAATATTATACAGAGAGCAAGCTGAGAAAAAGAGTAATGTTACCTGCTTGATGGTCAATGGCGTCTTGATGGACGGGACCTGGGCGTCGATGTAGCACTCAAACGACGCCTGGTCGATGGGCTGCCGAACTTCTCCCGCCATCGTGCCGCCCGAATGGATCACCTAGATAGACAGATATTCAGATAGACAGATAGATGCAAACGAGACTCTCTCTCCTGCGCCCTCCCTGCCGGCTCGAGTGTCTCTTTATCTTTCTTCCCCATCTTTCGGCTATCCAAGCCTGCGTCTCGCTTTCCTGCCGTCTGTCGCGGCGGTCGCTGAGCCGAGGCTTCTCGTGGCTTAGTAAAATATTAGTAACAGAAGATTAGATAATAAATTATGTAATGCATTAGTCATTTATTACTCAGCGGTTGTCCGGGTTATGAGTTGTCAGCGCTAAACCGAGAGAGGAAAACCGTTGTTGTCGCTTTTTCTACGAAGAGTCGAAAGTCGAAAAGACGAAGCTGAAGTCGCAGTTTGATACATCTCAAATGCATCCTTGGATGGCTGGGCTGACCTGGTCGCTGGGTATTTGTTGACGGTGTCTGGCCACCTCGTACCACTTTGGCTTGTTTTTTTTTATTCTCCTTCTGACAGGCACATCTTCCTTGCTCTCCCGACTGGCATTCCTGCCACCTTCAGACCTCTGCGGCCTCCTCAGCTACCAATCCACTGGTATACACCTCCACGATCACTGCGGATAGCCGGATATAGACACTGGATAGATACTGGCCGGAGGAGGTGAATGGTCCTCTAAGTCGGAGCGAGGGATCTTGAAAGATCTCCTCCGCCGTCGCCGACAAAACAGCGTCCTACCATCCATACCTACCTGCCTACCAACCTACCTGAAGGAGCCATTCAGCCTATCCGTCACTTCTGCTGTTCTCTTGAGCTCGCCATGTCGAACTCAGGCCTGGGCCCGCCGGGGACAGGCACATATGCCTCCAATGTGCTCAATGTCGGCGATGGGACATGGGACTCGCAGCGCAACACATTCCTCTTGCCCAACCTCATGGGCCTCAACTTTGAGGCCATGCGGTACAATGGTACCCCTTCTCTTATCCTTCCATTTACCTACGACTGGCTAACATCTTCTAGGGATGGGAAATAGGTTCAAGAACTTGCCCGGATACCATTCGATTATACGGGCCCACGGTGCCCTTGCCGCAATCACTTTCCTCGGCCTCGTACCCATCTCCATCCTGCTCGCCCGCTTCTACTCGAGGAGTCCGTACTGGGCTATAAGGCTACACATATGGATGCAGATCCTCACGCTTTTTCTCACCACTGTCGTGTTTACGCTGGGATGGTTCGCAGTCGGCCCCAAGAGGAGTCTGACCAATCCTCACCATGGAATTGGACTTGCTATATACGTCATGGTCATTGCACAGACTTTCTGGGGTTGGGTTATCCACGGTCGTGTCAAGGGGAAGCGCAGGCTGCACTTTTCTCTGGAGCTGATGGTATGTTTGACCAATCGTCCGGCTATCAATCTTTATCTCCGAGGCCAATCCGCTAACCGCTATGACTTCTGCTTACTTCGTAGCAGATCCATCACTGGCTTGGGCGCTCCCTAGCCTTACTCGGCATTGCTCAGATCCCGCTAGGCTTAACTCTATACGGCTCTCCACTTTCTCTGTTTATCCTCTTCGCATTGGCTGCTTTTGCTTTGCTTGTCACCTACATCATCCTCTCTTACCTCCATGAACGCCGTGTTAGTGCTGGATACGACCCCAGAGGCCACTATCACGGCCCCGAAGTCATTGATGATGATGAACGCAGTCATGGAAACTTTGGTCGTTTGGCGGCTGCTGGAGCTGCAGGTGCTGGACTAGCTATGCTGGGTAACCAGCTGCGTGGTGGTCGCGGAAGGAGTAGAAGTCGGAGTAGAAGCAGAAGTAGAAGCAGAAGCCGGAGCAGAAGCCGCAGTCATTCCCCTGACACAGCAGTTACCCCCTACATCAATGAAAAGGAGTCGCATCATGGGGGCTGGGGGAAGAAGCTGCTGGGCGTAGGTGCTCTGGCTGGCTTGATGGGCCTGGGAAAGAAAGCATTCAACAAGCGCCGCGAGGATGATTACTCCGAATCGGGCTACCATCCTGCACACACCGTCACAGATAGCTACGATGACTCTATCAGCCGTGTGGAGGAAGGTCGGCCGCCACAACCGCCGCCTCATCGACACCAGGGCCAATACCATGGTGCTCCCAGTGAAGATCAAACCACTTCCTACACAGATACTGATTATTATAACCACACCGAGGATTCCAGGCCTGGTGGTGGTGGCGGCGGTGGACATCCCGTGCGCAACGCCCTCCTTGGAGCAGGCGCCTTTGCTGCCGTGAAGAGCTTCTTCGGCCGGAAATCAAGGGAAGACCGCCGAGTTGAGCAGATACGGCAAGAAGACCTTGAGCATGAACGAATTGCCCGAGCAAACAGCAAACGCAAGCACCAGGGGGACAGACGTTATGACAGACCCCATTCCCCATCCAGCGAGCTAGCGGCCTCTGACGCTGCTCCTGGGCCATCAGGCACCGCTGGACGACCACCTCCGCCAGCCGCCTCCTCAGTAACTGATAGACCACCCAGTCCCGGACGCAAACACCGCAGTCATCACAGATACCCATCCACGCTCGGTGTAGGCACTGCCGTGGCAGGCGCTGCTGAAACAGCCGGATCAGGCCACAGGAGACGAAGCGGAAATCGTGGTGAAGACGCATACGACTCTCCTCAAGTTGCCATAACGGTCAAACCTGAGGGACGCCATGTTACATTACGACAGCTTACAAAGGAAGAAAAGAGAGCAGAGCGTGAAGCTCGTCGTCGTGAGCACAGGCGTCAGGGTCGAGAGGGCTCTTTCTCAGAAGATGAGCACTGGCGTCGTGTCGAAGAACGTGAGCGCCAACAGGCGCAGGAAGAGCTACACCCGCCATCGCAGTCTCATGCACCCTCACATTCACCCGTTCCAGCACCAGCTCACTCACACGTACCTTCACATTCACAAGTGCCGGAATCTCAACTCAACCCTCCACACTCCCCAATGCCTCAATCCTCGGCTCATCCCCCCGGATCCGTAGCCGCTCCATCATCAATTCCCGCTCCTCCACCTCCACTACCAATAAGCCATGCCGGCCTCCATTCCCCAGGCACAGTAAGCACCGACCTAAGCGGTAGCTACGCCAGCAGAAGCGGCCGAAGGCGTGCAGAACGACGCATCGCCAGGTCCCAACGCCAGCATAGCGTCGATTGGACATAATCGGCCCCGCCAACCGAATAAGCTACAAATTAAAAGGGGAAAAATAAAAATAAAAAATAAAAAATAAAAAGATAAAAATATGAGTGAGAAAATGATACCCCCAAATTAATGTCAAAGGATATAATGATGTCTTCTTCTTGTATCCATGTACATGGCTTTCCCCCTCCTGGATTAATAAATACTGTGTGTCTTTTTATCAGGCTGATATTCACGATTTATTACGTCCTGCTTCCCTTTTTGCCCCGTTTTTGCTCGGTTCCTTCTTTGTCCTCCTATTTTCTGCTCATGTCCATTGCCTTGACTTTTATTGCCCGATGAATTTATGGTATATATGTATGTTTTCCCTTTGTTTTGGTTGGTAGCGTGTGTGGTGGCCGGCTCTTTGATTTATTCCTTGCCTGTTTTCTTCCCATGGATGCTAAACATATGCATAGCCAGCCATATTCTCACCTGGGACGAAATGAATTGAGGAAAACCTGATTATTCGTTGATGCTGATTCTGATTTTACGCGGAATAGATATGTATTATTTACGTTACTTCTTGAAATGAAACATATTGTATATCAAAATAGCAACTACCATAAGCATGAAAGAAAAAGTGTCGTAAATGTATACAAAAATTCTTTGGCGTTTAGAGAAAACAGCTACTGTTTATTATTCTACAGGTTCAACAGTGAGAGAAACGGGTTTTCGTCAGTCGGGATGAAACGGAATATATACATCCTACAACTCTATCATTTCAAAGAAGCTTGGAGACTCTCGAGGACCTGACGCGGGTGAAAGAATCATGTTAGTACATATCCATTGCATAACAGGGTAGAATGAAAAACAACGGGTACACGGATTGTAACGCACCTCTACCTGGATCTTGGCCTCAGCGATTTCCTTCTCACTTCCAGTACCGGAGGCGAGTCTCTGGGCCTCAGCCAGCTGGGACTTGACGGCCTATTGTCGGTTTATTAGCTAGTTGTCCCATTGTATGTATTTACCCCTATATTCTCATCTCATATATTCCCAGGTATTGGGGGACAAGGGCGGGCGAAACTCACATCAACGCTGAAAGCATCAAGAGCGAAACCCTCAACAGCGTTGATGTTGAGGTTGGAGTCTGGCTGCATAACGGCGAATCCACCAGCAACTAGAACAGAAGAATATCACATCAGTACATGCAAAATATACCCAATATAAAAAAAAACTTGATATCGACGCCAAGACTCCGGCTGGCTTGATATTGAGTTACAGAAATTGAGCAAGAGTCGGATGGAAAGGGTATAGCATACGGAAGAACTTCTTAGTCTGACCACCCTCCTCGATGATCTCGATGAGACCGGGTTTCAATTGTTCGATGCTGGGAACGTGGCTGGAGAGGATACCCATGTCACCGGACTCGGCGGCAATGTTGACCTGGACGCTAAAGAGGTGGAAATATTCGATTAGCTTATGCTGTTTTTTCGTAGTTTCGTCACGGTTATAGGTTGGAGATAGGGACTTGGGTCTTTGAAGAGTGGATTGTTGGATAGGTTTGAGGTTATAAAACGTACACGTCGGCTGACTTGTAGATGGTCTATTCCGAGCCAATTCGTCAGTTTATCACAACCCAATTCATTTCAAAAGCATATTACGCTAACATAGCGCATCGATGGGCAGGAGTGAAGGGATCCGAAGATTCTTTTAACGCACCTCCTTGGGCAAGACAAGAGACAGCTTTAGCTTGTCTGCAACGGCCGTGGCGTAGGTTCTCTGGGACAGAGGAGCGCGGAGAGCGGTGGCTCCGGCCCTGAAGGCTGGTCTGGCAAAGCGGAGAGAGAACATGGCTGCAATTGGCCTTGAGATGGGCTTCGAGTGGGATGTTGGAGGTCGTCCTGGCGTTGAGATGTTGCGATGCTTGAAGTCGCTGAACTTTCGGGACGTCTCGGGCCTAAGCCGCTTTGGGACGCGGATTCAATCACGTGATACGTGATTGGTGCTACTTTAGCCGCTGCTCAACCGATACACTTGCGTGGATAGAGGTATAAACCGCTTTTGAGCTGGATGGTTTTATATTTATAGCAAATATGGATTCAATTAGTTCCTCATTCGCTCAATTTATTTTATTGTTCCCTCTCTGCTCCTAATATTGAGTGTAAATGAGATTCTGATAGAGCAAAGTTGTGAAACTGTGGCCTAATCCGGACTAGCGTCTCGGGCGCCAACGTAAGCGAGCCCATCCACACAAACAACTTGAAGGTCTCAGCTTTCTCAAAAAAGTTCATCTCGACAACGACGACCTTCTTACATCAACCGTTAAAGTTGCCGCCAGACCGTCAAGATGGCCAGTACGTTTTGCTCCCCCGCCAAAGTTGCGATTCTTCGCGAAATCTGCTTTCTAAAACTGGCGCTCTCCGAAGCACCTGTAGCGAAGTTCAACCGCTAACAACTTATCTCAAAACGAACAGAATCCAAGAACTCGTCGCAACACAACCAGAACAAGAAGGCCCATAGGAACGGGTACGTCGATATTTGACCCCCTATGCCCAAGCGAGTTGAACCTGTCTGGGCGGCGATACAATTGAAGAGCTATTGGTCTACATATGGCGCTTATCGGCGAATATTTGGACATGCCAAAAATTGGACTTAGAGCGGGACGTAACTGACAAGATGATTTTTGGATAAAACAGTATCAAGAAGCCAAAGACTCACCGATACCCATCCCTCAAGGGCACAGACCCCAAGTTCCGAAGAAACCACAGACATGCTCTTCACGGAACTATGAAGGCATTGGTACGGATACACGCCAACTTTGTCAGAGGAATTTCAGGCTAATATATTCTACAGAAGGAGGTTAAGGAGGGCAAGCGGGACTCCGCATAAACGGGACATGCATCATATCGGCCTTTTATTTGGCAAAAGAAAACGGGAATTGTTTTTTTGACATCCACCGTGCTATCTATTCGTCATGTGTCTTATGTCGAGATAGAGCTCATTTCTACCTCCCTTTACAAGGATAATCGGAAGGAAATGTAATGAAAAAAAAAAAACGTTCAAATTTCAACTCTCGTCTTTTGCATTTCACAATCGCTTGCAGATTTCTCGGTCGATATGCGTGGTTACTTGGGGTTATCGATCCCAGTTGCAACTCTCAATTCAAAATCTAGCGGGAAGGTAGGCTACATTCTGCCTTCTTACCTGATTGGTTACCTTGACCAGGCATATGTGTGTACAGCAGCGGAGTCAATTACCTGTCCGATTGCTGAAGGATTTATTCTTACGTGCCAAGATTGAACCGCCATCTAATTACCAAACACCCTGTCTACCTTCCCCATGGTGCAGAGGTGCATGGAACGATGGCTACATGTTGTTCCTTTAAGGACACTACATTGTTATAAGAGTACAGCCCAGTCAATTTGATTATCTGAACCTAAATCTCAAGTATGAATCATCAATCATATGCAAATTAGATTTCCAACCCAAACGCCGTTGCTAGATTATATATTATTGTAAATAACTTCAATTTCGTCCCATCTTCATTACAATTAGTAAATCAAAAGCCTGCTTCAGGATATCAAAAGTGCGTCCAATGCAATGGTGGAACACGGCCAGGTGATTGAGCGCCAGCCCCAATCAACCAAACATATCTTCTGCACGTCTTCTCCTCCCCCCTCGTCCTTCGAGGGTATCTGAAAATAGCTCTTTCCCTTCGTTGCCAGTGTACTTTGAGGGGAAAAGTTCTCTGACGTTAGCTGCCCCTTTTATAGATATCCCACCAGAGGCAGCCCCACGAATAGAAACTCCATTATTCTCCGATGATAGGCCACGGATGTTCAAGCTCTGAGACCGGTCCTTTATTGAATCTGGAAACAACTCCACATTACGCTTGTTGGAACGTTTAGCGTCATCATTAGCACCGTCCACGAACGGAACAGTCATCCGCTGGGCAAACAGATCAGTTGTTTCGTCAGCAGCGTCAAAAGCATCGGATCGACGATGCACTGTGTTGGCTGGTGGAGACACAGTATTCATCAATAGTTCCTGTTTTAGGTAGCTTGAAGCAGTCTTGTTGGGAAACAATTCCCTCCCTCTTGCGGCTTCATCACCTGCGTTGTTGCCAGAACGATAAAGCTCTTTGCCAGCATTAGAACGCGACCTATCCCTACTGTCACGGCCAGAAAGAGAGGGTCTATCACGGAAACGCCTATTAGACGATGAACCACCAGCAAGTCGAAGATCCGGTCCGTCTCCATTTGCCCTAGAAGGTGAGGCACTGCGGTCCCTAAGTCGCCCTTCCAGCGATTCCATACGATCGTCGAAAAGGTCACGGTTATTCCTTCTTGCTCGGCTCCTGGTATATGAGCCAGCGCTAGATATATCACCACTGGAAGCACGTCGCCCACGGTCCGCGTCGTCATCATACATACTAACATCGAAATTATCGTCTCTGGCCTGGCCTTTGCGTCGACGGTGCTCTTTATCATCAAATCGTTTTCTCCGATAATCACCATCATTATCACCTCTGGGTCCCCGATGTCTTCTGCCAGAAAATTCGTTCCGCATCCGTTCTCGAGGATCATGCTCTGGGTGCATCAAGTAGAAGCGGCTAGCCTCATATGCGCGATGTTTCTTTCGATCCGACTTCACGGCCAGCCGGACCTGTAGAACTGAATCGGGGTGAGAAGACAGTGCCTTCGCCGTCCGAAGGCGAAGTGAGGGCGAGTTAGTAACTGCATCTTCGACATTCTCCTGAGTAAATGATGATAGGGCTTTGGATGCCACCTCTGCCGAGCTGTATATAATGTTTGCCGAGGTATCATCTATCCACTCAATTCGCTCAGGCTCTTCTAAGGTGAAATGCTCGGCAGCAAACCGTTTAATATCATCCGTAGTCAGTTCGTCAACACCCCGAATATGGACTTTCTCTAGCTGAGGTTCGTCATTGGGGTTGGCTACTCCAGCCTCGGTTTGCCCCGCGATCGCAGACGCTACTGTCAGAGTAGAAACGGGCTCCTGTATGATGTAGTATTAGCACTGCTTTAGTCTTGAAATCCACCCTGCAGACGTCACTAACTAGCTCAATCGGATCAGGTTCAGGTAACTGTCCAAGGTCCAGGTCCATATCTATGTCCATCCCAGTGTCCATTGTCCCGTTCGCCGCAGCGGCGGGAGCTTCCACCGCAGTCCTGCCCTCCATAACTAGAGCCACAGGATTGAGCTTCAAGTAACAACCAACTACTCGAAATTTGAGCGAGGAAAACAGGTATTCGTAAGGAGCACGGAGAAGACGGGGAAAATGGAGTTGTAACTAGCACGTCGGCGTGGTTATTACCAGAAATGAGTATCCTTCTTGCTGCAGAAGGCTGGCTGCTTTGCTCTCTCGTTTCTCACGGAAGCTCCAAGCTTTGCTTTTGCGCTTTTGCTTTGCTGAGGGAGTTTGCCGCCTACCGCAAAGGGCTTAGCGCGGAGGATGTCACTTGCTTAGTCACCCATCTCACCTCCCGCGCTTGCGAAGATGCGGAAAGGAAAGTGAGCTGTAGATGGCGTTGTTTTGACTCGATTGATAGTCACTTTGCTGCCTTGAGATGTATCACTTTTGGCCCAAGAAATGATTGTGCGATCTAGCCTAGTTATAGCTCTTCTCACTTAGCTTTTACTGAACGGATCTGTACCACTTCTTCGCGCTCGGTTTCAGTGAGCTGGATCCTCGTCTTAAGCAACCGGATTCTCTGCCCGGGTGTCTCATTCCCACCAAGGAATTGCTGGCCAACGAATAGCTGGCCTTTATCAGGGGTCTAGCTCTTACGTAGCCCGTAAATAACCCAGAAAGTGCCCCTTTCCAAGCTATTTTCTATTTCCTCGTAGAGTTGTTCTGCTTTAGACGAGTATCCGTTGCGAATAGCGAGGTTCTCCTAGGTCCTCATAGGTCGAAGAACAGATTGAAGCCGTGAGCCGTAAACTATAGACGAATCGGATATACCCAAAGGTCTCTTCAGGTATTTCCAGGGGAACCACCATGAAGGTCTATTAGTGAACTCGAGGTGGGGGGGAGTTCAGCATAGGTAAACTCCTAATTTATGACAGAGATGATTTTTAATGTTCATCGATAAGAACATTACTTGGCCGGAGGTGTCATAGCAGAAAAGCCTGAATCCATTGTGGCCATGTTCATTCTGGCGTAGATGAAGGAGCGGCTGCCCTGGGATCCTTTTGACTAAGTATTTATGGCGGCAATCCTCCTCTGACTCGACAGCATCATTACGCTGGGTTAATGAATGGGTATATTGAGTCTCTGCAAGGGTAGCGATGGGAGTTCGGCTGTAAGGTAGTCCCCAAGCTGCACAGGCTCGTTCATATTCATTGTCAAAGGTCATTTCGTAACACCCCAACCAGAAACCAGCCATCAGACTGGGCTGAGAGAGAACTGATCTTGTTGAATGAATATTTTTATAGCTGCAGCAAAATATCTCTCCTGCCCGTAGAGAAACTCCAGAGTTGGTTCATCAATCATCAGGTCGAGCGTAGGACAGTCGTCTCTAGCATAGCCAGGCGCCCTTTAAATTCTCTATAAGATGTGATGTGCTGTAAATGAACTCCATTAAAATGTACGGACCCATGCCACAAGGGCCTTCCACGATGGATGGGACAGGAATCGCTGTCTTTTCCTTGATATACTGCATGACAGCAATCTCCGATTCAGTCTTATGGAGCCTTGGAGAACATGCTACAGACAGGAAGGAAAACCCATCGCCAAACTCCATACGATAGCAAAAAATTGAATGCACCGACACCTGTTATAAGAGCGCGATCTTTCGGCCGGGGTGTCAGATGGTTGGCTGCCATAACCACGATCAAGACATCGGGACTTATAGCCCTTTTAAAGGTATTAAACATTGAGTCGCTTTGTTCCCAGGCCAGATCATCATGGGGCATTTCCATGGCGTTTTGGTATAGTTAACGTAAAGAGACAGATGTGTCAACGCAGGCAAAATAAACGATGATATGCGGTTATCCGCGATATCGCCTGACGTGTCGTCTAGAGGGAGTTTTAAGATGAGCCGGGACGAGATGCCGAAAGGAGAAACAAGCCAAGACCGCGACGAGGGACCTAATATCGACGTCAATCAACCTCGACGTCGAGCTTGCAGCTGTTAGATATCATCAGTCCCTGGGATTAACTTGAGGGATGCGGCATACTATCTACTTATTCTTCCTGCACCTGATAACCACTCGCTTTTAAAAACTATCCTATTAGTTAGTTGACTAACGAGTGACTGATGCAGCATTAACTAACCAGTCAACTAGTTCATATTACGACGCCTGTTGTTGTCCTCGCGAAAAGCACACCATGATACCCCAGCTGTGCTTCTCGGATACGAGCAGCCGATTCTATGGCATCTTCTGGTCCTTTACACTGAGGTACTTAGGCTTTGTTCCACTTTGTACTCCAGCATGTACCATATGAGAGGAAGTTAATTTGGTTGGACGTTGAGCCGCTTCTGCATAAAGGCACCCATATATGGCATACGGCATACAAGAGAGTCCTTCTTAACTATCTCCAAGCCGCGGAGCGAGTCTAGATTCTAAACGAGACCGTGCTATTCCAAGCCTGGGGTACTAGGCTGCAAAACCATGCAGTTAGAATGCAGTCTCATGAAACACTTAGACGGCCTAAGCACTGATGCCAATGGCCGGCAATGTTTATCCGTGCGGACTCGACATATACTTACAACCAAACCTCATGAGAGACGCCAGCTTCTTTAAAGATGTATAGAATTGTTACACCGTGCCGCAGATCTCTCGGTTTCGAGTATTCTAACCCCGAGAGGCCGGCAAACCCTGCTCTCCCTATTGGACCGCTACACCAGGAGCTAGAGGATGAGGAATCAACTCGCGTGTCAGACGTGGAATATGCAGAAATTCTCACATACATATCCTTGGTCACGAGCGAGGTGCAAGGGCTAGTATTTGGTATTACCTCCAACCGTTGAGTCCAAATACACAGCAATAATGCAACCAGTTCACGAGACGATGACACCGCAGATCTTTCTACTATGACCGCATACTCAAGCGATAGGCTCCTCAAGGCTATGGATTTACTTATACTGAGGACTACTACTATCCCACATCCATAGTATAAAGCCTCAAGACTTTGCCTCTCTATGGCTGGGTTGCTTCATCTTCTTAATATAGTCAAAAGATCGCGACAAGACACCCGGATTATATAACTCTTAAATATGGTACCCATGAAGCCATTATGCCTACCCTTTCGGATGTCCTTGGGAAGGATAACTTTGAGAGCTAAGCTCTCCACCTTACCCACTGCCGGTTGCTACTCAGTCATTCCAAAAAAGCCAATTTCACTGCCGCTGCAGAGGGTATCAACCTACACCTCCAAGAGCTCAGGAGTCTCCGAAGCAAACCATACTCCGCTTGCAATTCTGGTAGGGATCGCCACTACCATCGCAATCGGTTCAGTTGTTGTTTCTAGGAATAGGAAAGAGAAACCAAGGGAGATATTTACCATAAAATCCAACACCGGTGTCGATCTCTTCGCGGAGACATCGGCTGATTACTCCAAACTTCCTAAAGAGACTGCAGTTTTCACGGCTGCACCACACGTCCCACCACCAATTACGAGGGATTACCCGGTGCTCCTCCAGGTGCCGTTAACCACAAGCACGAAAACGACTCAACTATCCAATCAGTACAAGTATGAGCAATGGACCTTCAACGGCACTGTGCCTGGACCATTTATACGGGCTCGAGTGGGGGATGTAGTGGAACTAACACTGACCAACCACGATGTGACGGGCAACCCGCATAACATCGATTGTCATGCATTCACGGGGCCAGGAGGAGGTGCAGCACTTACAACTGCTGAGGAGAAGGAGAGCAAGACGGGGCTGTTTAAATTGTTGCATCCAGGCCTCTATGTGTATCATTGTGCTGCAGCGCCAGTCCCGGTGCACATTGCCAACGGTATGTATGGGCTGATATATGTACAACCAGAGGACGGAGACCTGCCCCCAGTCGACCGCGAGTACTATGTGATGCAGAGTGAGTTCTACCACGAACCCCCCGAAGTGTTAGAGAACGGCAAACGTTCCTCGACCGTGGAATTCTCGTACCCTAATGCACTTGAGGAGAACCCAAGCCTTGTGGTTTTCAATGGCAGCGAGTCTGCGTTGACTCGAGACCAGCCCTTAAAAGCGAAGAGCGGAGAGACGGTGCGCATATTCTTCGGGAATGCGGGCCCAAACCTGACCAGCGCCTTTCATGTCATCGGCACTACATTCTCGAAGCTATACCGCGACGGTGACGTGGTCAGTCCGCCTGCTAACTGGGTTCCCACTACCAGTGTTCCTCCAGGCGGCTCTACCATAGTGGACCTGAAGCTGGTTGTCCCTGGAACATACACCCTGGTGGATCATGCAATCTTCCGTTTGGACAAAGGCGCTGTTGGCTATCTGAACGTTTCGGGGAAGCAACGGCCGGATGTTTACCAGAGTACTCTGCCGCCTGCTCCCTGTGTTGGGTGCAAGCTACACCCGTGACTCTTTTCCATCAAGTCTGTGTGTGCATGTACCTTTGTGGACTATAGTTCTATGCAGTTACTGAATATGAGGACTCGCCTTTTCTATCTACTACGTACATACATATATGCAGCTTCCTTGTATTTATCCTCCAAGCAACTCGCCGTATTATTGTCGACTATTTACCGGAAAGGACCCTTGAAACAAAGGTAACTAATGGGTATCTTAGGTGTTGAAGACTCCCCCCTGTACAGCCATATTAACATCTCGCATCGCCTTTGCTTTCTCATGCGAGTGACTGTGCTCCTTTGGTGCGTCTTCCTGGCCTCATCCATGTGGGCTTCCTGATTAACTAGTTAATTAACTGTGTGGATGTCTTTATTTCATCCTTCCGGAAGAAACCGCAGCATCACTCATTCTGACTCTTCTTCCCGTCCTCGCCAGAGCCTCAAGGTATCTGGTTATCGTTCTTTTTCTTCAGCTGTGGCTTCGAGTGACTCACTAGGTGCGGAGGCTGAAGAGTCTCCTGCATCGTCTCCGTCGTTGTGACGGCGTCCGTATTGCATGCGCTTCAGCTGAACTCCCCATCCTGCCCAGGCACGGACTGGCTGAATCACATCAACGTACGACAGCTCTTGTCCCGTGTTTGACCCCCAGCGGAGAACTAATCGGGACAGCCCGCTGGTCGGCCAGTTCGTAAGCCAGCGAGTTGACGAGCTTGCTAGTAAACACTAGCTTGCTGGTTTGCGTTTCGCCTGGAGCTTCATCCTTGCCAATGCTTGTTTGTATCACAAAAACATCAGAACGCTGCCATCTAGATGGACGCCGTGCTCTTAAGGACAGTTGGCTAGCTGCGTGTCTTGTCGATCATGCTGGCTTCGACTTTCTTCTGCTCTTGCGCGTTTCCTCGTCCAGCCTAACCAGTTGCCTCCTTTCGCCGTGTCGTCATCGACTGCGAGCTTAGCTACTTAACCACCACGCTTCTCGCTGGTACATAGCTAGCTGAGCTTCCCTTCTCGCCATCGCAGCGACCGTTAAGCATTTTTCTACCTTCATCTCATGATCAAGGCAGCTTCACTTGGGTCCCCGTAGCTGCTCACGATGTCGCCGAACATCGATCCTGTCGGCGTGGGCATCGGAATTGCTGCAGCTGTACTGATACTTTTAGCTACTTTGCCAGCGTTCAACAGCACCGTCCAGAAGCTGTGCCATGGATCATACACGAGCCTGGATTCACTGCCAGAAGACCAGGATGGAGAAGCCACGGAAGAATCGATATCATCCTACTCGACTACTATCCAGATGGCCGTTATCTACACGGCGTCTCTGGTCGGCTTAGTCGCATCGACAGTTAAAGCTATCATGTCAACGACACAAGACTCAATCCGCTATAGTGAAGTTGAGAGCTGGTTTCAATTTGGAACCTTTGTATGCACCTCTCTTCTCCTTTGATGATCTGTTGCCCAATGTTTATATTTACCGATTTTTTCACGTCTTACTGACACGCTCCATAGGTATTGCTTCTACCACATGTGATGGCACTTTCCTTCAAGCAGGAATACGCGAGCCAGTTTCGAATAGCTAGCTATGCATCTCTTGCTTCAGTGACTCAATTCGTCATGTCAGGCTTCCTAGATGTACGGCTTTTGACACCGGCTCATTATGACAACCTGACCAGCTTCCAAGTGGCCATTTTGATCATTCCGTTAGTGGCCACTGCCTGTCTGCTTTTTGCCTGTCTCTGTCTGCCGAGGCGCCCGGATGTGTTTATCAAAGACCAGGTGGTTGATCGGCAATATACCGTGTCTGCACTCTCACGGTTCACCTTTGCCTGGCCGGGCCATCTGGTAAAGTACATCATTAAGAACCCCAGCATCGACGTCCATGAACTGCCTCGGATGGACCACTATACACGTTCGGAGAACCTGTTGACCAAGTTTTCCGAACGTTCTCCGGCTCAGGCACTCTGGCGGCAGATCTTTGGCTTGCACTATATCACCTTCGCCAAACACTGGATTCTGACGGCCACTGAGGCACTACTTAACTTTGTGCCAAAAGTTTCCATGTACTTCATTCTCCATTCTCTCGAGCGGAAGCAGGAGGGTGAGAACATAGGAATTGACAACTGGATTTGGACCTTGATACTGGCTGTTGGATTGATCTTGTCATGTTGGACAGGGACCTGGATGCGCTGGGTTGGCGACTCTCAGCTTGCTCTGCGCATTGAAGCCCAGCTTTGTGCAGCAGTATTTGCGAAATCAATGCTCAAAAAGGACACCAGAGGCGCGGAAAACTCAACGGCAGACGAAGACGGGGATGAAGACTGGGATGAAGAGGAAGTCGATAAAGAAGACTCAGAGCAAAAGGGTACTCAACAGTGGATCATCAACCTCATGGGCATCGACGCGTAGGTCTACAATTTTTTCTTGTGAATTTGCTATGTGGGAGAAGGCCTGCTAACAAGGACGGTAGTGAGGAGGTCGGCCTGTCAGCTGCTTTTATGAGCACCATTATACTCTCTACTTGCACATTCATCCTCTCTCTAGTAGTTCTTTTCAAGCTTATCAAGTAAGTAGCATGTGCATAAATATCTGATCCCAAGGCTGACAATTTTTAGATGGAAGAGTTTACTGGCCGCATTGCTCATCTTTACGATCCTGGCTCCATTAAATGCCTGGCTATCGAAGGCTTATTCTAAAACACAGGTGCAACTTCAATGGGGTTACGATACCAGAACAAGTGGAAGCAATGAAACTGATATAATAAATAGGACCGGCTCATGTCAGCGCGTGATATCAAAACAGGGGTGATTTCAGAGGCTCTCCATGGCCTTCGTCAAATAAAATTTGCAGCCTTAGAAAAAGAATGGCAAAGCAGAATTATGAGCGTGCGATTGAATGAAATGAATGAAGTATGGAGATCGTGCTTGTACGGTAAGTACTAGGGACCCAGCACCCCCTCAACTCTTAGGATAAAGGTTAATTATTCCCCCTAATAGATGTGGGCATGATTTTCTGCTGGGGTGCTGTTCCAACGATGATGACTACTGTCGCTTTGGCCGTGTATGCTATCTTTGAAGGAAAACTTACCGCCTCCGTTGCATTTGCCTCTCTGGAAGTCTTCTTTGAGCTTGAGGACTCGCTATCGATGATACCCATAGTTATTACCGGGGTAATCGAAGGCATGGTGAGTTTGAGTCGTCTTGAAAGCTACCTTAGTTCTCCAAACAAGGAGGAATACCGCAAAGATTCGTCCTCAATCACCTACCAAAATGCATCCATCGCCTGGCCTTCAGACACCTGTAACCTGGAAGACCGATTCGTCCTTAAAAATATCAACTTAACATTCCCTAACAAGGAACTCAGCTTAGTTTGCGGACCTACAGGATCAGGCAAAAGCTTGCTTTTGGGTTCTATATTTGGAGAGGCTGACCTGGTGTGTGGAGCTATCAGCGTTCCCATGCCCCCTTTTACAGTCTACCATACACCAGATAACGCCATATCGCCAGACAATTGGATTATTCCATCCTCGATAGCCTTTGTCGCGCAGTCACCGTGGATTGAGAACGGAACATTGAGAGACAACATCATATTTGGATGCCCCTTCAGTGCTGAGAGGTACAAAAAGATCCTTGACGTGTGCGCTTTGACTGATGACCTCCATATTCTGATTGATGGTGACATGACTGAAATTGGGCCCCGTGGTATCAACCTGAGTGGTGGTCAGCGGTGGCGCGTGTCTCTTGCCAGAGCATTATACTCAAGGGCAGGAATACTCGTTCTTGTGAGTCTTATCTTTGCTTCACCGTACCGTTACACATGTTTAGCTAACCCTGACCTAAGGATGATATCTTCAGTGCAGTCGACGTCCACGTCGGCCGGCACATCTTTGAGAAAGCACTTACCGGAGAGCTCGGTCAAGGCAGGACACGGATCCTAGCGACACATCATGTTGCCCTATGCATGCCCAAGACAAGTTATATGGTTGTGCTTGAAGACGGTGCCATGATAAAAGCTGGCCACCCTGACGAGATAGACGACACAAACACGCTTACAAAAGTTCGGAGCACTGCATCAGCAGTCACCAAATCAGAAGCTCCTGCACCACTTAGCTTCCGCAGGAGAAGCAGCTCCTTCCGAGATAACATGGGCAGCCATTCAACCATGGCCTGGGCATCAAGAAAAGATTCCAATCGGGAAAAACCAACAACCACCTTTGTACAGGCGGAAGAACGTGAAATAGGTCAAGTCAAATGGGGAGTTTACAAGGAATATCTAAAGAGCAGCGGAGGCGCAGTCTTTTGGGTAGCTGTTGCCATATGCTTATGCAGTGCTCAAGCACTGGGCCTAGGCAGGGTAGGTTCTATATTCTAAGGATCAATTCAAAACTATTGCTGATATATTTATTCTTCTATAGTCCTGGTGGTTGAAAATCTGGACGGGGTCCTCAAAACCGAAAGAAAAAGCCCAAATCCTCCTAAACCAAACGGTGATGTCAATGAACAAGCCAGCAGATGATGCACTTTGGTTCTACTTGGGAATCTATTTTGCGTTGGCCATGAGCCGGACGTTAATCAAGTCATTCAGTCATCTTTTCATATGGACGGGGACCATCCGAGCATCAAAAGACCTCTTTGAAAAGATGACTTCGCGAGTTCTCCGAGCACCGTTGAGATGGGTGGATACTGTGCCTGTCGGCAGAGTTATCAATAGGTTCACTCTTGACTTCGCGACGTTTGATTCAAAGCTCGGAGACGACCTTGCTTACCTATTTCTCGATATCTTGGATCTGTGCTCCATTCTTGTTGCTGCGTGAGTTAAGCCTCTTATCTATATTCACTATAATCCTTCTAACTGATGTCTTGGTAGCATTCTCGTCTCCTCGTACATCTTAATGCTTACAATTGTCCTGTCTGGAGTATGCGCACACTTTGCAATTCGATACATGATAACGGCACGAGAGCTTCGACGCATCAAATCCCAGGCTAGGTCACCTATTATTGAGCAATTTGGTACGTCATTACAAGGCATTGGCACAATTAGGGCGTTCGACAAAGCAGACACCTACATGGATAAGATGTATCGAAACATTGATGACCATACATCTGCTCATTACTATATCATTCTCTTCAATGAGTGGATGGCGTTCAGAACCGGGATGGCCGATGCACTATTCGGTGCATGTCTAACATTCATTCTCATGTCGACGAAGGGTATTGAACCTTCGCTTGTTGGATTTGCTCTCAACTTCATGCTTGACGGAGCCCAACTAATTGGATCCGCAATTGACAAGTATACTGAGACACAGCTGGACATGAACTCGACTGAACGTATAATTGAATATTCACAGGTTGTTACTGAAGATCATACTGGAGAAGAAGTACCAGCAGGATGGCCAAGCAAAGGTCGAATAGAGGTTGATAATATCACAGCATCCTACTCGCCAGAGCTGCCACCGGTCCTCAACGGGCTTACGTTCAGTGTTGAGCCAAACCATCGTGTCGGAATCGTTGGGCGCACGGGTTCTGGCAAGTCAACATTGACACTCGCATTGTTCAGGCTTCTGGGGCTTCGAGGTGGCACGATTCACATCGATGGCATAGACATTTCCACCATAAAACTACACGATCTGAGAAGCCGGCTGTCAATTATACCCCAGGATCCAGTCTTGTTCTCAGGTACGATACGCTCAAATCTGGACCCTTTCAACGAGTATACCGATGAGCAGCTGCAGACAGCCCTAAAGCGGGTGCATTTCCAGATATTCGGCGGAGAGACAGACGAGGAGAGCGGTAACGAAGAAGGTGAAGAAGACCGAAGCAGGACGCCGAGTCTCGACTATGCCATTAGCGAGGGTGGGCTGAGTCTTTCACAGGGACAGCGACAGCTGCTCTGCCTGGCTAGGGCAATTGTCGCGCGCCCAAAGGTCATGGTTCTCGACGAAGCGACGTCTGCCGTCGACATGAAGACGGACGCCCTGATCCAGCGTAGCATACGCGAGGAGTTCCAAGACTCGACGCTGCTGGTTGTCGCCCATCGTCTGACCACGGTGGCCGACTTTGACCGTATCCTGGTCATGAAGGAGGGCGAAGCCGTCGAATACGACTCGCCAGGGGCTTTGATGAAGGCTCATGGGGTCTTTTGGCGTATGGTCCAGGGGAGTGGAGAACGAAAAGAGCTGGAATCGCTTCTCGAGGACAAGTAAGAGGACGGTCCGTCTCCCGTCCCATCAGGCCATGCCATCGCTCCCTCTCCCACTCCCTTCCCTCTCATCTCGCTCGTTCGTGGGGGGGCGAACGGAGGACTTGCCTCCCCCCATCCTGGTCCTGGATTTGTGAGGATTATGTTACCATTTGTAATAGAATAGTGGATAAGAAGCAGCGCGCCGATGAGTCGTGGATATTTCTCTCCTGACCAGCCACGGCGCATAGTATAAAACCTTCTTCGGTCCCTAGCTGCAAAAAATAAAACATGTACTTGGATATAAGATGAATGCAATAAAATATAGGACACACCACCGAGGAGAGCCAAAGAGCCTACTGACTTGCCTGTTCGAGCATAGGCTAGGACACGCTCCCTTGCTCGGAGTGTTCTTCCGACATGCCCTGCTGGCAGCGTCTGCCCCTTAGCAGGGCATGCTATATGTCTGAATAAACAGGCATATCCCAGCTGCAGAGGTTCGAAAGAACCTAACTAGCCCCATCTCGGGCCGCCGGGAAGGAAAATCCTCCAGCAAGGGGCCCAGTAGCGATATCGAACCTCAGGGACGTATATCAAGGCAGACAGGCATGGGGAAGAGCAGGACTGGCCAACGTCTGCGCTGCAAGAGTGAGCCATCCGAGTGCAGCTTGGCCCGGCCGTTGCTCCCTTTTCCCCAGATCCCCGTAGGGGCTGATTAGTAGGTCTTTGCCCTTCACCTTCTGCGCACTCTATCCGTTAACACGAAGTCTAGGTCGTGATGTCTGTCCAATGATACCCTCGAATGCACGACGGTTAGCTGTTGGGTCCCCGAGGACACACTCAAAATGGAGTCTCTAGAGACATTGAACGGCGACTGGAGCAGTTAACGAGCAGACTATTGGGCCTCGTGCGTGTCCCCGCCGTTGTCCCGTTAGCTTGCCTGTTGTAACGGCAAACGACTGTCGGCGGCTTCGCTACCAGGCGGTGATTGCCGAAGCAGAGGGAGGCAGGGAGGAAGCCTTGCAAATTGATACTGCAGCATATGCACCCTAAAACGGCAAATGCCTGGGCCAGGCAGCGGAAGGAAGAGGGAGACGAAGACGAAGAAAAGAAAAGAAACACCCTGACTTTTGCCTTCAATGGTTGGTCCTGGCATTAGATACTCCTACTATCAAAGTATCCATTGCTGTATTTTGCAAGTCTCTTAAGAAACGCACTAACTACGCCTCCATGATCTTCGGCCTTGCGTCCACCGAATCCATGCCCACGTTCTGTTGCGAGATCTTGACAGGAGGCGTGGACGCCGCAAGATGCGATGGATGGTGCGATCTCCTTTCTTCTCCGCGCCTCAGCAAATATATATATACATAAGGCGTCTTTTTTGCAGTAGCGGGATGCAAGCCACCACCCCCTTTGCTTCTGCCTCTTTGATGCACCGTTGCCGAGGATATGATAGCTCATGTCGTATCGTACCGCAGGAATAACCGTTGAGAAACTAGGAAGCGGAGGAATAAAACCGATGAAATACAAAAACACGATAAAGCCCGTGGCCGTCCGGGACGGTTAACTAACTACTAGTTATGTACAGGCAGATATACAAAAAAGCAAAAAAGGGGCTGCTTTTTCTGCGCACGTCCCGTTCGATATGCATTTCCATATTATTATTTGCCATGTCCATGACAAATGCTCTCGTCAGGCCAGGCTGGGGGAGCAAGAGAGGGATAGAGAGAGCGAGTTATTACTCAAGGAAAAGAAACGAAGGGAGAAGGGGAAAAGAAAGAAGAAAGGAAAGGAAAAGAAAAGGAATGCCGGCATATGCAGAAGAGCGTGAGGCCTGCGCCTATACGTCGATGCATCGAGTTGTTCATGTATGCATTTTCTCCGTGGTATCCCCTTTTCCCACCCAGGGCCAGACTAATGTCTGAATCACGTTGAATGTCAAGGATGCATATACATGTCTATACCGACTGCATCATCCCACGGAAAAGAAAAGAAAAAGGCAAACGGGTGGGGGAATGAGAACGAGGGAGAGGGAGAGGGAGGGAGACAGAGAGAGAGAGAGAGAGAGATGCAGAAAGGATCAAGCGTTCGCTCTTGGATCATCGAGATGCTCGCCGCCTCGCCCATCTTTGCTTTACGTCAATGTAACGTACGTTCGAACTCTCCTGGCGACTGTGCGTATCCTCTCCCTTCGTTTCTTCTTCCTGCTGCTGCTGCTCGTCCGTCCAGCTTTGCTTCTGCTTGGTCCTGTGGCGAAGTCACTGCCTGGTCGGCTATACTGGTCCTCCTTTGTTTCAAGGTTGATTATAGGCTGCAAGAAACGCCGATGGGGACACGGGGGAACGGCCCCATGAATATACGAAGTTGCAGGGCCCTTCCTGCTACTGTGACTCCGGCTACTGCTCGTGCTGCTACGACTGCTACCACCGCTACCACAGTTGCCAACTCGAGGCTCGCGCATGTACTCCATGTACCACGGGATAGCCACCCTTATCCCCCGCAAGGGACCAGGCCGCTAGTCACTACTAGCAACTAGTTAAGGGGACGGGAGGGAGAGGGAGGAAAAAGCACAGGGCCCTCACTAGCCATCCAGGCGGACCAAGGGATGTACTCTAATAGTACCAAGGCCACCAAAAAGCTCGGTCAACATACCTGATTACCGGTCATGCCGACGTGTGGTGGTACGAGATTCCCAGCCCAAATTAGCGGCCGAGACAGAGTCACGCCTGGCGCAGCTTCTCTCTTGCTGCAGCTTTCTATACGTGCATGCGGGTTGTCTTGTTGGCTTTTTGGCGTCTCGACGTCCTGCACGGTTAACTACTTTACGAGAGGGATAAAAAAACAACTAACCAGGGGGGAACAGGGCGCTTCGCGAGTTCGCGATACCCACTAGCATTCGCTCTATATGTGCATACCCGACAAGATATCCTGTCGACAGGGCAATCCCTCCCCTCCCTTCAGGCGTCCCATCTCCGTCCATGTGGGAGCGGAATCGGGATGGCTTACTCTTGACATTTGTACGACGCTGCAGTGAAGCAAGTTGGCATAATGATCAATAGGCTGAGAACCCTTTCTCCGTCCATCCCCTTTTGTTCTTTTCCAAAACCTTTTTTTTTTTCGGTCTGGCTGGTAGCTGGTGCATAGATGTCGCCCCCGAACAGACCTGCTGGCTGGCTCATCTCCAAGGCCTCGATATGGATACATACATATGCCCACTCAGAGCCTGTATCAGTGGCACACTCACATGGCAGCTGTGGACGAAAGCAAACCCCCACAGGCAGACCTGATGGCCGTCGTCTTGAGGGAAGATCTGATCGAAATTATGCCTTGCATAAAAGCAGCTCGTAGCGCTCACTCGCTGCCGCTAGGCTTGATTTGAATAATGGAAAGAGGCAGTGAGAGACGAGGCCTCGAAAGGTCAAGGCGGACGGGGCGCGGAGATAGCCAGTGATAGACGAAGAGTGCAGCAGGACATCAATTGTAGGGAGAACTTCCTTTTGTTTCCTTCTGCTCTCTGAGAGACTGCTCAAGGTAAACCAAACCCTTAATGTTCACATAGTACTCCGTATTTATTCCCTTTCCCCCTTTTTTTCCACTACCATCAAGCATACAGCAAGCTCGACAGTAAATGGCCTGTTTGTGGGGTTTTCTGTGTAGCTATGTAACCAACTAGCTAGCATAAATATATATATATATATGTGTGTGTGTGTGTATAATACAAGTCAAACAGTTAACTTTATACCAGAGCAGGTAAAAGACATATACAATAGGCAAGAAGAATTAAGCACCAAAAGGCGAAAACAGAATCGAAAAAGGAAATATAGAGAAGAGGGAACAAGAGAGAGAGAAAAAGCAAAGCAGGAGTACCACGGACTCAAAGTAAGCAGAAAAACGAGAAGCATATGTTGCTTTTCTTCTTTGCTTCTCCCCACGCTCTGGGCTCTCCTGTTTGGCTTTTCCCAGTCGGGTTTCCCTTTTGGTTGTTATCTTCAGCCCAGCCTTTTTGGAAATGCAGCACCTTCCAGATCCCTTCCCAACCCAGTAGCCGAAACGCCGGTAAGAATAAGAATGTTAACGTAGGAAGGGAAAGATGAATATGTGAGTGTGTGAGAAAAGTAGAAAAAAAAGAAAAAAAAGAAAAGTAAAGGACTTCAATCGGACTGGTCACCGACCGTAGTACATGATGTTTTCAATCCATTACCAACAACCGCCATTAACCCAGATATAAAGTAGACGAGAAGGGGGAGGGGGAAACAAGGGAGAAAGAGGAAAAAAAATGCTTTAATTGAGCAATGCTTGGAGACCCATCCGAGAATCACGAGAAGTAGAACAAGAAGAAGCAGGTTTTTCGAGATCCGAAATTGGTGGTAGCTGGTTATGCGGAGCTGATATGGAGTGCTGGTGGTGCCGCAAGGAGGATTGCATAGGATGAGGCTGGTAGAGGAGGTTGTCGCTTGAATGATGTGGTTTGGCGAAAGACGAAATTAACGGGGCACTGCCTCGCCGTCTTTCGTCGTATGAAGAGGCGGATGAGGAAGACCGGTGGTGGCTGTGGTGGATTTCAACTGGAGTTGCCAGGGCAGAAGGAGAGGTGACTGTCTTGGGCGAGGCGGAGGCGACTGAGTTATGGTCCGACACCATGGAAGGAGGGCCTCCGAGTGAGGGAGCATGAGACATCTCTGAGAATGCAGGAGAGGTCATAGCCGATTCTGTTGCCTGGTTTGAGTTGCGTGTGGTGAAAATCGGGGTCAGGACTCGCCGTCCGGCGGCTGGTGACTGCGGCTGTGAGTTGCACTGCTGCCATCTTGCACTGTTCAGGGTCTCCTTGGGTAGGTCGTATAGTGATGAACGGTACTCGAGCGGACGGGGTGAGTGAATTCGCTGGTGCAGGTATTCGCCTCTTTCATCTTGCTGGTGCTGCTGGTGCTGGTGTTGTGATGATTGATAGTCCGAGATGGAAGTCCAGGATCGTTGTCTATCCATGTGCGAGCCCTGGCTGTACATTGCGTGTTCGGTCCGTGGGCATCTGTACTGCGTCTGCGGGGATCTGGATGATGCTTTCTGGTACGGCGGTTCAACCCGTCCGTTGGGAGTCCTGGAAGGCGACGAAGAAGAAGCAGGCGAGTGCGAGGAAGCACCACCGCCAGCAGCCATGCCCCTACGCTTTCGGTTCACGCTTCCGTTCCACCAGTTCTTGACGGCATTGTCGCTTCTGTTGCCGAGTCTCCTGGCGATTTCTGCCCACCGCTTGCCCATCTCGCTCACAAGTCGTTCGATTATCAGCCCTTCTTCGGCCGAGATGGGGTCGTGGTTCAATGTTGGTTTCAGGTTCTGGTGGAATCGTTCTCTGCACTGCTTTGGTGACCGGTATTTCATATGCTGTGAGATGCGGACCCAGTTATTTGGTCCTTGACTGCTGACTAGCTGCAGCAATGTTTGGTCCTCCTCTGGGACCCAGGGTCCTCTTCGTTGGCTCTGAGGCATGATGAGAGTAGAGGTATTCACGGATGTTTATGTGTATGTGTGTGTTTGTGTGTATGTGGTGTTTGTATGTATATATGTATATGTTTTCCTTGGTTGTATGTATTTTGTCTTCCTTTCCCGCGTGCGCCAGAGCGGGTGAAGACAGGAACGAGTGACGGATGATTGACCACCAACGGTGCAAAGGAAGGGATATCAAAGGTCGATCGACGGTGGTATGTTGTTCATGTATGTTATGTGTATATACGGGGAGGTGACCCTCAGGTGTGATGCTCCGGAAGGGAAAAGGGGGTTGTTGGAGGGGGGTGGAGGGTATATGTAGTGGATGTGAAGAGACGGAAACGAAGTAGCTGGACCCGGGAGTTGGAAATAAGACGAGCGAGTCAAGGGATAAGAGAGAGAGAGGGAGAGAGATAAGATAAACTAGCAAAGCAAGTAAGCAGAGGAAATAAGGTCCGCTGAAGCCGGGAATAAAAGTCGAGTCTTAAACTTCAAGCGTCAACGGATCTTGCCTAAATCAAGATTGTGATTAATTTAAGAGCCGTAAAGAGTTGGAAAAGTCATGAGCAAGTCATGGAAAAAGCAAAGAATATGGATCGAAAAGTCGAGGGAGAAAAGGTCAGGATGGAGCAGAGGAAAAAGCAAGGAGGCAGATAGGTAGCAGAGAGTTTGGTATTTTTCTTTTCTTTTCTTTTCTTTGATTTGAAAAAAAAAGGGAGAAGAGCAAGCAGGAAAAAGCAAGTTGGCGGGTAGGGGAGAAGCAGAAGAGAGGAAGAGTGGGAATCAACACCTTAATTCCCCCCTGGTCTTCTGATGGAGAAGCCCGTAGGTGGGTGCGGTGGACGGAAGTGTTGCTATACTTAAGTATCAAGGTGTCTGGGGAGGAGGTGACTTGGGGGAGACACACAGTACTAGTTGCATATGGAACAGTTCATAGACCGATGTAGATATATATACTTAAGTATGTAAATACTCAGTAGAGACCTGTGTTTATAAATATATTAGCAAATGGACACCGTGAAAGGGGGAAAAAGAAAAGAAAGTGGCCATGCATAAGAACAGGGAATCATACTCTGGGAGAGGAACGACCAGAGAGAGGGATACAGAGAGGCAGAGAGAGGCAGACGCAGAGAGGCAGAGGCCAAGGGAAGAAGCAGGAGGGAAAAAAAAAAAAAAAAAAAAAGCAAGCAGGGAAGAGGGCCAGCAAAAGAAAAGAGAGAGAGAGAGAGAGAGAAGAAGCAGAAGAAGAAGAAAAAGAAAGCAAGGAGACCGAGTGGGAGAGACGCTTTGCAAAAGAAAAATATCCAATCGGGAAAGTAGATCAAAAATGCAAATAAAAACAGGAAGAGTCTAACCAGCTCTCAAGGCAGGTTTTGTCCATGGAGGCATTTTAAGCGTACCTTGACAACTGAGATCTGAGATCGTCAGGTCCGATGGGGGTTCTCGAGCACGCCAGGGGTCGGATATGGATGATCCGGGGGGGAAGGGTGAAGGGAAGGGGGCAAGTAGGTATGCATACAACATAAAACATATATACATACACTTAATATCTAATAGAAAATATATATGTCAATATCAGATGGAGAACGGTTTATGTAAGGGCAGGGGTATACCAGGCCTAAAGGAGTCAAAGCGGAATGCAGACATGGGTTGTTGCAAATGAAAAAAAAAAAAAAAAAAAAAGGCAGCAAATATGGTTGTAATCTTTCCTAATTTTTCAATTCTTTTGCAAGAAAAGGGAAGAGAGCCATGGAGAATGGCAATAGTTGACAGGACAAGAAGGCAATGAAGCAAGGTAAACGGGCGTGCACGAGAATTTGGAAATGGAGAGAGGGAAGACGAAGAAACGAGGCAGCGGGCGGAGACATCTCGACCGAAGATACGTACTTACACAGTTCCTGCAGGTAGATCAACCAAATATCCGAGGTGTTGCAGTGCAGTCAGGGCCCAGGCGACCTTGCGAAGGGACCAATGCGTGGTTCGGCCGTGGTAGTGGTGAAAGGGATAGTACGGTGATACCACAGCACGATGGCAGATGCAGGTCAAGGTCAGAAAGGAAAAAGTAAAGGCGAGGGAGACGAAGAGGAAATCCTGATCATGTAGTTACTCCGTCACTGCCCTGGCTTGCTTGTTCAGAGTGGGCTGCCTGACAAGGAGCAAGACGAGAAAAGCCAAAAAAAAAAAAAAAAAGAAACGAAGACGTTCGAACGAGAGTGAGGGCGTATAATATCGAGGCTGAGAAGGGGAGTTCTGTCAGTTTGGGGGTGATATAAAAAAGGGACACGCCCCAAAGGGGTTGGGGGGGGGGGGGGGGGCAACGAAGGGGAGAGCGTAAGTATACTTACTCACGAGCCACTCTTCAGAGCCGATTTTTGCAAGATAGTTATGTAGCATGGGCACTAGAAATGCAAAAACAGGAGGTAAAGAAAAAGCAAAGAAGGGCCATCCAAGGGCGAGGGAAAATATAATGATGTATACCTCGATGGCTGGTTTTCTTTCTTTTTTCTTCCCTTCCTCTTTTATGGGTATCCAGCAGCAAGTGTGTGGCAGGTATTCCAGATCGTGGGGATACACACATAAGTAACGTACACGCAAGGAAGCATGTAAACTTATGGAGCGTGTAAAGCTCAAGGGTAATAGTGTCATACTATCATCACCCTATGGATACTGCTAAGTATGATGCTCTTCCGCCTCTCAGGCCAAGGTGCAGGGACAGTTTTACTTACAGGGAGCTTTTTAAGGCTTGGAAACGATCAGCAGTGGAGAGTTATTCCTTGCTTTTTCCTGCTTCTTCTTCTTCTTCGTCTACGTCTTCTTTCTTTTTTGCAAATATGATGATGGTTTGGCCGGGATATTTGCAAAGCGTTCTCCAGATATAAGTAAGACCCGGCCCACCAGCCCAGGGCCCAGCAGGCGTAAGGGTTGCGATGTGGATGTGCTGGATGCCGCGAAGGTTCACCTCTGTCTGCTTGTCTGCTACCCTTCCGCTCCTCTGCTGTCCTCCCACCCCCCCTTCTCCCTCTGCCAGGGCCAATCAAGGGCATGGGAGACCCAGAAGCGAGCAACGACAATGGGAAAAAGAAAGCAGGCCGAAAGAAGCGCAGTCGAAGCACTTGCTGGAGCAACAGTAACGAGTGTATAACTCCGTAGTCGTAGTTTGAGCGAGCAGTAGCGGCAAGAAGAAGCAAGCAGCAGCCAGACAGGATGCGAATAATATTGGAGAAAAGCAACGAGCAGTTCGGGCTCATCCCGGTCTTTAACTAGCTCTTCATCTTCTGCCTCTGCCCATCATCCCAGGCCAGGGATGCTATTACCCATACTCACTACGGCGTACTAGTTCAGGGTCCTTGGAAGCTGCATAGCTAACAATATTATAGCTGCGTTGGATGTTGATATCTGATGCCCGGGACGACAGTTATAACAGTTATCAGAAACCGCAGCAGCCAGGGTCCAAACCCAACCCATCCCCCTGGACCTCTCCCCCCGTGGCCAGCATCGAGCAAGGACAGACGAGCAGGCGTTGCACGAAAACAATGGACGTAATATTAGCCGTGCAAAGTACATTACAGTCGGGGGATATCCAGGCCCTGGATGCCTGGACGGAGACGTCGAGCAGCAGCATGTCTGAAGCATGTCTGATAGTTGCATGCCCTGGCTCAACCAGCGAGCCCGCAAGCTGGCCAGCGCCCTCGCATTTCACATGCTGCCTCTCGCGCTGCTGCTGATGGCCGCTGGCGTCTCCTGGGCCAGCAAGTACCGAGCAACAGTCGACGCAGGACGACGCAGGAAGAAGCAAATACAGCAGCTAAAAAGCAAGCAAGGAGCAGCGAAAAAAGAAACAAAAAGAAGCTCAGTCAACGGCTTCAACTCTATCGGGCTCGGAGCATCTCCTTGCCAAAGGCTTCTCGTCGTCCAGCCTTGCAAGAGACTTTCTGATAGAGTCATAGAGTCATGTAGCAAGAAGTGCTGGTTGGCCTGCGTGTCTCGAGACGGAGGCGGGCTCTATCAAAAACCAAAAAAGGGGGTGACAACAACTGCCGGATGCAACGCCTTTTTGCTCCTCCTCCTCCTCCTCCTCCACCCCCCCTTCGTTGGCCACGCCGAGCAGGCCCTTGAGCTTACTTGCTTAGTTGCTTGTCAGTGAGTGTCCAGGCAGGCGTTGTCCGCCGTCTCGACCAGACTAGCCCGCCAGCGTTTCATCCCGGCTGGCAAGGCAAGGCAGAAGCGCAGGAACGGACTGCTGAACCAACTGGACCAGCGTCCACCGTCCACCAACCTAAGCTTATCCAGGGCCGTCCTCCGTCCGCCGCTCTTCGTTTTTTCGTTCATCTTCGTTCATCGTTCAGCATGATGATCGCCCGAGTGTTTCAATCGTCTTGGAGGGCCCCATCATAGCGATCTATCTATCTAGCTGGCCTTCCAGAAAACCCCAGCCGAGTAACCGTGATATATCCCGTTTCCAGATGGCGATACAGACGGGGCTCAGGCATCGCCCCCAGGTTTCCCCCGTTACAGAAAGTCGTTGGGCGCATGTGTTGTCTCTTCGCTTTTCTTTTTACTTCCGATCATCCCATTTCAACGGACGTTTATCCCATCTCACGGAGGGTGCGCCACGGGCTGGAGTGTTTTGTCCCTTCAAGGCAGAGATGGAATCATGTATGAATGTGAATCCATGCATGCACGACTGAGCATCGTCCGTTAAAGACGGGATGAATCTGCTAGATACGCAGAGAATACGTTTTCTTTCTGCCGGGCCATTACTTTTTTACGGAATTCAGGGGGGGAGGGTCTATCTTTTGCCTTGTCGATGCTGCTCTCCGGGTAGAACCCTGTCAAGATACACCACGGCTCTGAAGATGATTGACAAGGTAGGGTATTATATTATTATTTACTTGAGTGGAAGTCGAACTTCAAGGCGAAGACGAAGAATAGCAGAAAAGAAAAAGGAACTTAGGAAAAAAAGAAAGAAAGAAACAAGAAAGACCAGATCTGAGCAAAAGGAATTCAGCCATCAGATTCGAAATATTTTACAAAAATACAAAAGGGCGTGCAAAAAGGCATCATGTACGGAGTACGGAGTGTGCATAACGAACCAGAAGGAGTGGATGAGAGTACCGTGAGGGAAAGCCGTTAAGCTCTGCTTCCTTCTCCTCTACTTGTGATATTGCCAAAGATGGGAACATTGATCCTCGGTTCTCTTCAGCCATCGTCTAGTGGTAAATGTCAATAAAGACAAGAAAGAGAGGCAAAATTCCCTCCTAAGCGAAGCTGGGCGGGCTGACATCATGCAAACACACAGGACAGGCAGGCAGACAGGATGGCCAGAGATCGATATACTCCATGCATATCGTCCATCCCCGGGGGGCGTCAGGCAGAACGCTCTAGTGGAGATCAACGATAATACGAGATTGCGAGCCAGAAGAAAGGAGACGCAAGGGAAAAGGAAAAAAAAGGAGAGGTAAAGGGGGGGGGAAGCCCGCAAGGACGAATATGACCAAATTCTCCGAAGAAAAAGCATTCATTTTTTCGGTTCCTTCTAATCATCGTTACATCCAAGTGACCTAGGGGATAAGATAGGCATTGATGTCGATATATCATGGGCTGAAAGCGGGCAGTGACAACAATCATGCAACATTTCACTTAGTCCTGTTTCCTGTTTACTCGAACAACTATCAGTTATCCAATCTTACTGCATTTGCACTTAGCCTTTCCATACTATGTATGAAAGGGTAACCATCTCCGCGCTGTCAGCAGCACAATGGACGCCTCTTTTTTTTTCGCCATCTAAGCGAAAGGGGATGGGCCTAGAAGCACGAGACGATCAACCTCGCTCTGTTTACCATAACCCTCAATCACCCCCGCGAGCGCGCGAATGGCGCTGACTCTGGCGCTGGTCGTTGCATGCTTGGGGGAAGACAGCGTGAAAGGACCAGTAGTCTGAATCAAATAGTTCGAATTTTCTTTCATCGGACACTCCGACGGATAGGGTTTTCGTTGGTGAATTAAGAAAAAAAAAAAAAAAAAAAAAACGAAGAAGTAGCAGCATCAGAACAAAAACATTGCTTTTTGGCATCGGCTCTCTCACTCACCCTTTCGCTGGCTTTTTTCTGGCTCTGGAATCTGGCTTGTGGCGCTTCCAACGCCCATTCATACGCCATCCCCCATGGGCAAAAACTCGTTTAGTCGGCATCAGTAAGGTGTGGGCAGTGCGTCCACGAACGTTTGGTAGAGCGTACTTTTTTGATATAGTCATAGCCGTCCTGTCAATCATTTGTTGGCGTCACTGCAGCCTTGGTTCTGTTGTACGGCCTGGTTCTCATAGTCCAGAGTCCAGGTATTTGGTAACAGGGTATGGGAAGAGAGACGTCCCTGACGGGACACCAATTATTCCAAACAATGCACAACATTGCGCTCTTCCGCCGCGAACTCCGTCGCAGCGGTAACTGGAAGAATGCATGGAGCTTTGCTTGTGCTGTAGGGTGAGTTACCGACAACCGGATAGGGGGGACCACCTCTGCCGAACCGCTCGCCTGTCTGTAACATAGGCGTGAGGAAGCGCTGAAACGCCTGCTACTGCTCAAACAACAGACTATTTGTCGCGATCACAGCTCAGCCGTTTGCTCACCCGTCTGTGGGCTAAACACGTTCCTCCTTTGGGCGTGTGTAAGTCGTATGTGCTCCGTATGTCCATCTACGGGGGTACAGGTAACTTCTTACAGCAGGCCAAAAAAAAAAAAAAAAAAAAAAAAAGACAAAAAAGACTGAAAAAAAAGATAACCACAAAAAGATAGAAAGATTAAAATAAAAACAAAAAAGTACAGAGAGAGGAGCGACAGAGCCAGTTTGACAAGCAGAAAAAGAAGCAAAAAGCGTTGTATATTTGCTTCTTCCTCGCAAGCAACTCTTCAATGTCCTAATTAGGAAATTCGTTTTAACCGTCCCGTAGTAAAAGGTAACAGTTTGCTTGTATCGAGTACCAGGCTGCCAGCGCAAACTCCATGCATGCCAGAGGCCCGAGGCCGTACTGTATACATGATGGGAGACGCTTGCATGGAACGGGGCATCTGTGTAACAGACCTGCTCCTGAACGACTCCCCAGCGCCAGAGAAAAGCAGCCGAGGACCAGCCAGTGGGGGGAGTTCCTTTTCTCCAGGCCGTTGCACTAATCTTACCTTAAACCCGCGTTTAATTAGTATCGGTTGAAATAAAGAATCCATAAGCACGGAGTCGGCCTATATGTCTTGACCCCTTACTGATAATAGACGGCTGTATTGGTTCTGCTCCCAACCGATTGGGACTCCCGCCAGCATACAGGAGAAGGGAAAATATGGCAAGGGAGGAAGGTCAAAATAAAAAAAAGAAAGAAAGAATGGGAAAGAAAAAAAAAAAAAGAAAAAAAAAGTAGAAAAAAAGAAGCTGTGGTCGGCTGGGTTGGTTCGGTCCAGTAATCTGCCGGTAACAATCGTTTCATTCTCCGGGCCGTAGATTTACCTAGCCTGTCCAATAGACTGGTTTCGAGCCCTGGCCATTCCATATGAGAGCAACAATATAGGGGAACGGGCCTGTGGGCCAATGGCAGTGGGACGTTGAATAATTTACTTCAAACGCGATAAGTAATCCACAGAGAAGCCAGACGCAGGGGACGCCAGCAAAAGTGAAGAGAGAGCCCATTCTGCATCTGCAGTATTCACCTGGCAAGGCTGACATCTATACCCGCGACGTATACGGAGTGCTGAAGTATGGGATGCGGGAAAAAAACAAAAACAAAAAGGAGCCTGTATCGAGATAAAAGCCGAAAACTGGGTCTCTGTCAGCGTCATGCATGGCCACGAGGACAAAGATGTTCGAGGAGAAATGCATATTTTGACAAATAAACAATATCACGAATGGATATTAGCATGCATTATGCGCCCCAGAACCTGCTCCTTCTTGCCCCCTGCATATTCATAACATAATGGCCTCCTCAAACGAGATAATTCAACGAACGCTCAACCTTCGCGGGCGTAGGCGGCATTCACAACTCGACTCGGCTGGAAACGTTAAAATAATTGATCTGGTCCTGTCTCTGCTCGTGAATATGGAGGGTGGGGGGGACCGCGGATGCTGAAGTGTACAACAGCACAACGACAGTTGCCGGACTGGATTGAAATTTTGCGATGCTCAGATCTCCAAAGCCAAGCGACTGACACAAGATGCATGTAATCAACAATAAGGTCGTTGAGGAAACTCTATTCCTTGGCAGGCAATACTGCCAAATAAGGTGAATCGGGGCGCGAGTTCGCGAAACCAGCAACTAGTTCTTTTTAGTCATAGGCCGACGAGTGGCTCTTCTATGGAGTAATTCACGTATCTCGACGGGCCATGCCATGGAAGAAGTCGAACGGGCCAAAGGGTGGAAATTGATTAATGATAATAATAATAGACGTTAATATTTAATATAGGAAAAGAAAAGAAAAGTCGGAAAGGGCTGTGCAGACGGGTTGGAGACCTGAGGTCGGAGTCGAGTTCCCCAAAGGTCTAAGCTCCTGCATCCGGCCTGTCCTGTGTGTCGTTGCAACTTGCAACTCGCAACTGGAGAAGGCGACGAGGCTATTGATTGGATGCGGGAGGTTTGTTTGTCATGTTTCAACTAACCTGCTCCCCATTTCAATAGCCTATCTCAACCCGGAATCATGGAGCTTTATTTTTGCATATTATTGTGCTGGTCGTTCTGACATTCCTGTTTCGATCCAATGGGGCTCCATAATCGGATAGCCAGGGTGGGCATCCGCGATGTATAGTGCACAACTAAAACTGCTTAAAACATCTTAAGTTAAGCATTCTTGGTCTGGCCGTCAAGACACGAGGGCGACCGACAGCAATTCCACGCCATGCTTAGTATTATATTATTATAATAATTTTTTGCAGCTATCTTTTCCTGGAGCGTATACATACCTCTGGAATCAGTAGTCAGTATATAATGATAAGTAATATAGCAGACAGGGTCAGGGGCAGACGGGGAAAAGGGAAGACGAAAAGAAGTTTCAAAGAACGCACGTACATAATATCCCGCAATTCTCTTTTCTTCTTTTGGACTTAAGTATACTTACGTCGATTAATAGCATGGACCTCCTGCTCCTTTTTTTTCAGTCTTTTCCCTTCCGGCTAGGAGATAAGATCGACCTCGTTACAGTGTTCTTTGCATTGCTGAACTGCGTTCCTACCTGGTCCCTGGTGCCTGGTCGTTATATACGCCAGGACCAGGTTGTATATCTCTGGGGCTGGCGACTCGCCCGATAAACGGCATGGTAGCGGCGGTGGTTGGTCCGCCATCTGGGGATGATGGGCGATATTAAGCTCCGAACCATCATCCGCCCTAGACTAACGGCAACGTTTTTCTTGGTGCCATTTCGGCCTGTGCCGGGCGCACCAGCCTGAGGGATATCGTCAGTTTTAATGCTCCTGTCCCCAGGACATGGCTCTGTGGGCTTTCGGCACCGAGGTGTGTTCCTGCACACGGGTCACTGGAACGCTCTTGGTTCACGAGCCTTCCTTGCTGCTGCATATTCGCTGTCGGCCGTCAGAGTCTGCAGTCCGGTCCTTCCCATCCTTCGTCTCGTCCTCCTTTTGGCCAGTATTGCCGCTGTCGCCCTCGCTCCAGCCGGTCTCTCCTTGCCCTGAGGTCCAAATGGATGGTGGACGTTTTAATACCTTCCAATAACTCCCGGACATGCTGCGTTTTTCCGCGACGACTCCCCGTTACGTTACCTAATCTCTTATTAAGCATGTCCATGACTAATAGAATCATTCCCGAAGCGGTTAATGGCTTGGTGATGTCCCGATCGGGATAAGCGCCCTTTTCTTTTTCGACGTCGTTTCTTCTTTTCTTCTTCTTTTCTTCTTCCTCGTCTTCGTCTTCGTCTTCATCTTCGTCTTTGGCTTCCTCGACTTCCACATAACTCAAACGCACGAGAATGCACATCTCGTTGGCGAACACTGCAAGAGAACGGCAACAGCAGGATGCCTGCAGTGGCGCTGATGCCTGCACGATCGCCGTGCGCTGGATCCTCGCTTAAGGAGCCGTTATCGAGATCGACAAGATCCACAGCCGAACGTTACATCGTCTCGACTGTAGTCCCAGTCAGAGTGCGATGTCTTCCACAAAGTCAACGCCAGCGTGGATGTTATACATGCTCTAGACAAATGTATGTCATCACGGAGAGCCTAACCGCCTCGTATCTCATGGGACTAGTTGCTCCATTGGAATCTATATTTATATTTTTATACGTATACGGAGGATAAGAGAAATAGTCTGATGAAGGCTGCCCTTCTCACGGTGGAGAAATTACCCGTCTCATTGGCGCTTATACTCTCGATGTCTGGGTTTTTATGGAGCTCACCCGTATACCATTCAATCATGCTAACAACTACCAGATGCAGTTTAACATCGCTTTGTACGGAGTATTCTCCGCGCCTTTCCTCATCACACAGGGTCAGATCAGCTCTCTTCAGTGTTGACTGGGAGTGCGCTTAGATCGCTCAAAATCTCCCCTTGAGCTCAAGTACGAAGTACGGATCTCCAGACCATCCAGAACATCATGCATGGATGCTCCAGAAGCCTCGCTGGTGGAGTCTGCGCCATTCTTCCAGTCTTCTTCCCTTCTTTCTTTTTATTTTCGTGACAAAACGGGCATGTCAAAAGGTTGGTTGTGGAGAGTGGTCATGGGTTAGAGCTTAAGCAAGCTGGGGGAAGGGGGAGAAAAGGGGGGAAAGGGAGACACTGCGTGTGGGTATATTCGATTTTCAAAAAAGGTAAATTCATGTTAGCTTTTCCGCCAATGCATTGAATATTCCATCTGACTGCCCAATTCGTTTTCTTTGCTCGCGAAAGCTAGCGCAGCCGGCTTGCTTATGAAAGAGTTCTTAAACGCAGTTCAGCCGAGCACGAGGCATACGAAACCCTCAAGCACTTCATTATTGAAACACCCAAAGGAACCAGATATATGCCTCTTCCGAGAGTCAAAAAGACCTCAGCCCCCTACACTGTGAATATGGGTTCCCCATGTAAGTAACTTGCCAGCGCACATCAACGGATGCATATTGCCCGACCGGGAAGGCCAGCTTTCATTGGTAACCAATTACATCCTAGCCGACCCTTTTCTTCTTCCCTTCTTTGCCTTTTCTCAACTTTGAGGTGCATCACTTATTGTCATGGATCAAATCAATATTGAATCTGATTAAATTAGATTAATTAATTGGGCGCTGGGACCCAGCCAGCTGGGTGGGATTCATCAACATTGACCTACTCTTTGGTACTCGTCACATTACCAGTCCCGTCAGCAAGGAACGTACGAGGTATGAGTATATAACATCGGTATATATATGTTCAGGATCTCAGTTTGCTATTGATGATAATGCTCCATGTATTCCCCTTTCTTTCGCTTGTGCCCTTTCAGCTGAACACGAGTTTCATACCTGTATCTTAAGGCTAACACCACTAATAATTTCTATTATTGTTGGGACTTGTTGGGAATGTTGAAGGTGAAGGATTCTTAGCTGTTCCCTGCAGCTGGGTCTTGAAGTGAGACAGCTTACCATGAAGCTACCAGCATTATGGATGGCGGGAATAACTGGGAGATCGATCCCACCCCCTCCGCTGGGTCCAAAATCTCTGACCGTCGTTTACTTCGCACATTCGCTTCCAGGAGCCCGCGGCTTTACTTTGTGCAAAACAAATGCCAGAAGAGCTACTAGATTAGGCCTGGAATGTCTGTTGCTTCAGTGATGGCGGAATCGATGTCGTACAGGAATTTATGCCAACCACATCCAACATTCATCCAACCACGGAAACAATTTGTCTCCCTTAGCTGGCCTCCGGGTCTTCTCTCGAAAACTGGAAAGCTAGTTAAACTAAAGCCCACAGTTGACTGCTGCCAACAATCTGAATGCAACGTCTCCTTGCACACGTATGACGTGCAGAATTACTGAGGAGATACGAGGGCATGTGCGATTGACCCTAGGAGATGCAGATGTTCGTCCTCCTTTTGATGCTCGGCTAAACCTGATCAGATCTGCCGGGCCAAGGCAGGTACCAGCATGTTCCATCACACTGGTTTAAAAATTTCCAACCAGGGTCCTTGGTTAGGATATCCTGCATGTTAGTCGTCCTGGTTTAATCTATGGGTGGCGGCCGGTGACACCGTCAAAAAGAACTCACGCATGGCTGATTGGAAACGTCAACCACACCTTTCCCTTATACTCCCTGCTACGGGGGGGTACACGAGAGGCGAATATGCGCTCAACACTGTGAAACCATTCCGCCGGATGTAGCCAATTGGTGGAGGATTAAGCATACGTTCATGCAATGAATGTACTTTTCTACATGTCATGTTTGGCTCTCAGAAACTTCCATATTGGACGTTTTATCTGATTCAACTTCTACTTTCGGTTTGATCCCGATGCTTTCCTCGGCCAGCTGGACAACGATCAAGTTCTAGTTTCAGATGTTACCCGGCATTTGAACCTACATACAGTTAGTTGGCAACAGAGTTATCAGCTTCTTCCTATTCCATGTTGGGACCAGAGAGATACAGAAACAACAAGGTGACAGAAGACAAGGAAGAGGACGTTGCACAATTCCATGAGGACGCGGAAAGTGGCATCCAATCATCGCTGTCAGCAAGCATACAGACTTCATCAAGCCCTCTCATGTTTACATGTGTATTATATCGATGCCTCTAGTCATACACATACATGTACATAATCCCAAATACTCTAGGGGTACCTTCAACGCCCCATAGGAACTAGGTATGTCATCCCAAGAAAGAAGTTGGAAACGGAAAAGCTACAATTGCACTGTTTATTGACTAAACAGCGCCCTTTAAGAGAAGCCAACTACCGGAAAAGCAGCATACCCCGTCCAAATGCAAGATGCAAGATGCAATCAGGACGAGATCTGCTTCTGTTACCGTCAGAGATATACACGCCTGATCACGCCCATCATATGGATCATGCTTATCCTGTGGTCTGAAGCTAGAGCACTAACTACACAGCAGCAAGTTCAGGGGCAGGAACCGGCCTGGTGTCTGTTTTGTTTCATTGCTCGGCCGTGATCACCTTCCTGACCCTGTCCATGTCTTACTTTGAAGTCCTGATAGTCACTTGAGCCCTCCTGTACATCCCCAAGTTCGAATTAGTAATGAACTCTTCCGTGCCACCAAAGTCCGATGATGGGATATCCCCGATTGACGGGATATTCAAGACTCGATACCACTTGACCCGTTCGCCAGGGGACTAGCATCGAGCACAGTCAATCTTTGATCCCACGGGGGAAACGGCTTTCCACTCCCCCCTTCTTGATGACCCTAGACTCCATCTTTGATTGGTGTTTATACTGGGTCCTTGCTCTTGACCGGGTGTTTCCTCGCCATTTATTTAGTTGGCCGAGCTTTTTGCCCGTTCAAACTTGAAGCCAATTAATCCATTATTCAGTTTCTCTTTATTTTTTTCAGGCCGTAAGGGGCGAATGAGTTGAAGCCCCGGCGTTAGTAATACCCACGGGGTAAGACGAAGCAACGTAAATAGTTCGAAAAAGGTCAGCTAAATAAAAATTATAAATTATAAATTTGGGACGGCGGACGAGTTTATGGGGATTCACGGATTCATCCCAGCTCCACAGTTGGTTGTGATATCAAATAACTAGTTCAACGTCCAATCGTAAGCGAATAACAAGGATAAGGCAGTTGGCTTACACCCTCAATTTTCCCCTTCTTTCAACCCTTAGATCGCACTAGGATCTGTGTTTTCCGTTCCCTCGGTTTCTCGAATTTTTGGGGCTCCCTCCTTTCCCACCAGTTGCTTCACGTCCAGCCGTGCTTAACGCCGAACGAAGGATGTGACTTTTTGAAGCAAGCCACATAAACTCGTCAGGTCAGCCCCCATGCTCGAGCCTAGTAAATCTTAGCTGTGGAAAACTGCTTCCACTCCGTTTTCTCGGCTAAGAAGGCGGAAGACGTCATATCACATCCGTCTTTGAGCGTTCGCCACCCGGATGCCTCCCCCGAAGCCGCACTATCACTTCGTTACGGCGTTAGCGATGGAGAATGGAGGCTTTGGGGCATGGGAAGCTGACCTCTCAGTTCTAGTTCTTCCTCTTCCTTTTTTTTTTTTTTTTTTTTTTTTTTTTTTTTTTTCCCTTTTAGTCCGTTTTTCTAGGATGAATGATGAATGATCAATCAACCCCTGAATCTAGCTCCATCTACCTGCTGCTCGGTACTTTGAAACGGCGAGAGCTGGGATATTCTATTCAGATACACACCATTTCGCCATTTATTACAAGGTGATTTCCCAAAGGGCGTGACGACATCGATATAAGGCGAGAGAGTCTGCTCCACCTAGTACTCAGCCCGGTTGGGATGAATATAACTATTTTGGCAGGCAATCTGATCGTGGCTGAGTGACTGGGCCACCAATCACCCAGCAGAAATGGCAAAGAAGCACATCTTGAGAATAAAATGCTGCTATCCATAAGGGTTCAGCCATATTAGAGACCCTAATATCCAATCATTGAGGGATGTGGTGATTCTTCTTCAGCCTGTGTGTTAGCAAGAATCTCTCGATGGCCACATTACATAGTTACCACCTATTTCCTGCTAGTTATTGGTCGCAACCAAGGAAGTCAAAGGATTACTCATTGTAATCCAATTCAATGCAATCTTCAATCAATCCTTGAATTGCATGTCCATTGGTTAACTTGCCAGATACCCCAGACCAAGGAAGAAAAAGAGGAAGCGAGAGCTGGACGTCCTTTCACCCGGCCATCTCCTGACTTGTTTGTTCTCCGGGAATTTTCGAACTGCTTGTCATTATGCTGTCAGCCATGCAACCAGTTCGTTCATTCCACCTTGGCCCCAGTTCTAGAACGTTTGGCCGGTACATGCCATTCCTCGGTGGGTTTGCCTTCAGCCCTTTTTTTTATTTTCT